GTTTTCTCTTTAAACAAACGCCAGTTGTTTCTAGTACGTGCATGTATTCCTTGGAAAATAACTAAGTGTATTGTCAACTTAAAGCCTTGAGGGCAACAGTATTGCAGCAAAATATGCTAAGCATGCTTTCCGGGAAAAAAACATGTTGAATGATGCAGCATTCCTTGAAACATAGACATTCCTTTCAAGTATGTAGCACTTCTTTCGATATTTCTTTCAAATATATGTAGAGGTGAAACATGCAATATTTCCTCAGCAGTGGTCTCCTTTGCTTCGACTTTTCATGACATGTGCATCTGTCCTTCTGAGCGTTTTGCCTCTCATGTATTTTGGGTGGGGGATATATCATGATATATCTATTTTTCGTATACGCGCATATGATATATCATATCCAACCCAACCCCCCTCTCCAAAAATAAGTTAGTTTTCTTTTTCATTGATGCTTCCGATTTTTGTCCTGATTTTTTGGGCTTTGGAGAGAGTACACCATTGTTTTTGTTTTTTGTCAAGATGGGTTTTTGTTGCCATATTGCTTGCATGTGTTATTAGTATTTGCATTTTATTTTGAGATATCCTGTGCGACACTGATGAATTAAGTATAATAGTTCAATACCATTGCCACCTCATCTTCTCTTTCATGTATTGTTTTATGGTTGTCCAATGCATGTTCAAAAAATCCTTTGATGTATCTGCAGTTACTGTAGTTTTTCATCCCAGCACACTTTCTAGGTGTTTTTGTTTTGCTTTGTAGTGAGACTGATACTCTCCTGCAGTAACGGACAAGGAAAAAAACACATTTCATTAAGAAAACATGATGCGTTTACCCTTGATTTACTTTAAGACCAACAATATATCATTATTATTCCTGACAATTCTTCTACAAAACATACTCCTAAGAATACACATATCATACGTTAATGAGTGTTAATGACTTAGATTAGATGGTGTTGAATATCTTTTTACAGTTTGGCATTGGTCTGAATATTCATGTTCTTTAAACCACCGTATTTCTTTACCTCATTTTTAGCAGCACCATCTCTTTATCGTTTTGCTGTAGTTGCTTCAAATACTTCATATTGTTTTGTGATTGTTCATGTTTTTGTTTTGTGTGTCGGTGTGCATGTGTTCTTCCACATTCACAGAAACAATTTTGGTATGCAATATCTTGTCTACCTACAGCCATTGTCTTCTATAGACATCACATTGTTGGATGATCTACTGCATTCTCTGCATATCAGATGCTCTCCCACCTAATGTTTTATGTTTATTTTTTATGTTTACCTTGTTTCACCAGATGCATGTTTGCATATTTTTCAAACGAAAGAAAATCAATCCTGTTCTTGGAGTTTTTCCCCCCACATCACTGTGTGGGGTTCTTGTTTTTCGCTTGGCACCCGCCGCGCCGCTTCCGCTTCCGCTTCCGCTTCTGCTTCCGCGTCCGCCCGCCGCCGCGTCCCTCACTCACCTCACTCATCACACCTCACTCATCACAGCACTACTCATCACACCACTTGTCAACCTCACTCATCACAGCACTACTCATCACACCTGTGGCAGGCGCAGTACACACAGCCTTCTGGAGGAGCTGGTGCGCGCGTGGGCGCCAGCTGGCCCGCGGCTGGCTTTCGTGTGGCAGGCGCAGTACACAGAGCCTTCTGGAGGAGCTGGTGCGCGCGTGGGCGCCAGCTGGCCCGCGGCTGGCTTTCGTGTGGCAGGCGCAGTGCACAGAGCCTTCTGGAGGAGCTGGTGCGTGCGTGGGCGCCGCTGGTCCGCGGCTGGCTTTCGCGTGGCAGGCGCAGCGGAGAGAGCCTTCTGGTACACAGAGCCTTCTGGCGAGCTGGTGCGCGCATGGGCGCTGCTGGCCCGCGGCTGGCTTTCGTGTGGCAGGCGCAGTACACAGCGCCTGCTGGAGGAGCTGGTGCGCGTGTGGGCGTCGCTGGCCCGCGGCTGGCTTTCGTGTGGCAGGCGCAGTAGACAGAGCCTTCTGGAGGAGCTGGTGCGCGCGTGGGCGCCGCTGGCCCGGGGCTGGCTTTCGTGTGGCAAGCGCAGTACACAGAGCCTTCTGGAGGAGCTGGTGGGCGCGTGGGCGCCGCTGGCCCGCGGCTGGCGCCATCTTTGACACACCATCTTTTACACACCATATTTCACACACAACTTTGTCACCCACCATCTTTGACACAAAATCTTTCACACCATCGTTGACACACCATCTTTCACACCGCTTTGTCACACACCATTTTTCACACACCATCTTTCACACACCATCTTTGTCACACCTCTTTGTCACACACACACACCATCTTTCACACATCAGCTTTCACACCACTTTGTTACACACCATCTTTCACACACCACTCACACACCATCTTTCACACACAGCTTTGTCACACCCTCTCTTTCACACACAACTTTCACACACTATCTTTCACACGCAACTTTGTCACACACCCATCTTTGACATACCGCTTTGTCACACACTATTTTTCACTCACCATCTTTCACACACCATCTTTGTCACACCTCTTTGTCACACACCATCTTTCACACATCAGCTTTCACACCACTTTGTCACACACCATCTTTCACACACCATCTTTGATACACCATCTTTTACACAACATCTTTCACGTCCCATCTTTGACACGCCATTTTTTTACACATCATTTTTCACACACAGCGTTGTCACTTACCATCTTTGACACACCATCTTTCACACACAACTTTGTCCCACGCCATCTTTCACCACACCATCTTTGTCACACACCATTTTTCACCACACCACCTTTCACACACACCGCCTTTGTCACACACCATCTTTCCTCCACCTCCTCCTTTGTCTTTCCTTCCTTCCCCGTCCCCGCTACAACATGTCTTGCTCATTATTGGAAGAAGTTGACTTGTGGGGTTATCCGGTCCCTATATTTTTTCCGGTCCTATGTGAAATTTACGTCTCAATGACTCTGGTTGTCAATCATCAATTTACAAACATGTAGATAATCCTACTGTTGTTTCATGCTGTTTCATTTATTGCACGGTGGCTGATCATATTTTTGTTCAATGCTGCTCCTTTGCTGCATATAGGTTGCGGTTCAACTCCAAGTTTTGCAAGGTCCAACTGGAACATCACTCCACGATCTAATCTACAAAGGGTGTCAATGCATTCCCGCTCCAGGATTTATGAACAGCTGTGAAATGATGTAAGTAGATTTCCCAGCTGGTAAGGCGACACTTCCTGATTCTCATGATTTTGTGCTAGGTACCAATCCCTACCCTGAAGTTTCGGAAGATTCCGCTCAAACCTTTGCCGGGATTCCCAGAACATGTGCCGTAAAATTGCGCTACGTGCAACGGTGGTTGATCGGATGCAAATCACGAAAACCAGATTTTGCTAGCTGAAGCCCCTCTTGCTTTAGCAAGGTCTTGGCAGGGGTTGGAGGGTCCAATTGCCAACTACGCGATATTTTCAGAGCTACACCCTCTTTGCATTTTCGCGTGTGTGTTTTGGAAGGGGATGAGTACGGGCTCAATCCCCCCTGGTCCCGTGTTCCCCTGGTCCCCATCAATTGTAGCAGTGTATTCATGACTATCAAACGACACCAGCAGCAGCAGCAGCAGCAGCAGCAGCAACATCGTCATCCTCCTCCTCCTCCTCATCATCCTCATCATCATCATCCTCATCATCCTCATCATCCTCATCATCCTCATCATCCTCATCATCCTCATCATCCTCATCATTGTCAGCCTCATCATTGTCAGCCTCATCGTCAGCGTCATCATCGTCTTCCTCCTCCTCCTCCTCCTCATCATCATCATCATCAGCATCGTCATGTTCCTCATCCTCATCGTCCTCATCGTCCTCATCGTCCTCATCGTCCTCATCGCCCTCATCGTCCTCATCGTCCTCATAGTCCTCATCGTCCTCATCGTCCTCATCGTCCACATCATCCTCATCGTCCTCATCGTCCTCATCGTCCTCATCGTCCTCATCATCCTCGTCCTGGTCCTGGTCATGGTCATGGTCATGGTCATGGTCGTCGTGTTCGTCGTCGTCATCATCATCAGCATCATCATCATCATCATCATTCATCACCATCATCATCACCATCATCATCATCATCATCACCATCACCATCACCATCATCACCATCATCATCATGGTCATGATCATGATCATGATCATGATCATGATCACCATCATCATCATCATCATGGTCATGATCATGATCATGATCATGATCACCACCATCATCATCATCATCATGCATCATGCATCATGCATCATGCATCATGCATCATGCATCATCGTCATCATCATCATCACCATCATCACCATCATCATCATTACCAGGTACCAAAATCATCGCCAACATCATTTACCATCATCAGCTATCATTTATCATCTAACATCTATCACCCATGATCATCTATCATCATCACCACCACCACCATCATCATCATCATCATCATGACCACATACCATCATACCATCGTCATCTATCATCACATATCATCATCTGCCATCATTTATCATCATTTATCATCATTTTTCATCATTTGTCATTATCAACTACCATCATAGTTCACCATCTATCACCATCTATCACCATCTATCACCATCTATCATCATCTACGATCTATGTATCTATGTATCTATGTATCTCTGTATCTATGTATCTAAGTATCTATGTATCTCCCTATCTACCTATCTATTCATTTATCTATCTGCCTATCTACCTATCTACCTATCTACCTATCTATCTATATCTATCTATCTACCTATCTACCTATCTACTACCTATCTACCTATCTACATTTCTACCTATCTCCCTATCTGCCTATCTACCTATCTACCTATACCCATCCATCCATCCATCCATCCATCCATCCATCCATCAGTCATCATCATCATCATCATCATCATCATGATCACATACCATCAAACCATCATCACATATCATCTACCATCATTTATCATCATTTATCATCATAGTTCACCATCTATCACCATCTATCACCATCTATCATCATCTACGGTCTATGTATCTATGCATCTATGCATCTATGCATCTATGTGTCTATGTATCTATGTATCTATGTATCTATGTATCTATGTATCTATGTATCTCCCTATCTACCTATCTATTCATCTATCTATCTACCTATCTACCTATCTACCTATCTACCTATCTACCTATATATCTATCTATCTACCTATCTACCTGTCTATCTATCTACGTATCTACCTATCTACCTATCTACCTATCTACATTTCTAATTTTCTACATCTCTACCTATCTACCTATCTACCTATCTACCCATCCATCCATCCATCCATCCACCCATCCATCCATCCATCCATCCATCCACCCATCAGTCATCATCATCACCATCATCATCATCATCATGATCACATACCATCATACCATCATCACATATCATCATCTACCATCATTTATCATCATTTATCATCATTGTTCATCATCACCTATCATCATAGTTCACCATCTATCATCATAGTTCATCATCTATGTATCTATGTATCAATGTATCTATGTATCTGTGTATCTATGTATCTATGTATCTATGTATCTATGTATCTATGTATCTATGTATCTACCTATCTACCTATCTATCTACCTATCTACCTATCTACCTATCTACCGATCTACCTATCTACCTATCTACCTATCTACCTATCTACCTATCTACCTCTCTACCTATCTACCTATCTACCTACCTACCCATCTATCTATCTACCTATCTATCTATCTATCTACCTATCTATCTACCTATCTACCTATCTACCTATCTACCTATCTATCTCTCTATCTATCTATCTGTCTGTCTGTCTGTCTATCTATCCATCTATCTTTCCATCCATCCATCTATCCATCTATCCATCTATCCATCTATCCAACCAACCAACCAACCAACCAAGCAAGCAAGCAAGCAAGCAAACAATCATCATCAATAGTAGCAACATTCGTTTCATTTTGTCTCAACATCTTCATGAGCACGGGACATTTCTTTCAACAATAGATGCATAATCATATGCGTGCACCGGTTTTTGGTTCGTTTTGTGCCTAAACGTGGGAGGTGGAATTTTGATGCCTCATGATTGCTCCACAGGTTGTACTCACCCTGCTTGCTTTCATTGTACCTCCGTGCTTCAAGTTCATTGTGCGAATCCACGTTTTATTTTGCACAATTGTAAGGCGCCTTGGTATTTGGAGAGTTTGGACATTGGTATTTGCAAAACGACGGTGGAACTAAGGATATCTGAAACATTGCCACCATTTTTTGACGGAACATACATGTAAAGGTACCCATTTATGGAAAACAATTTAACATAGATGTGTTTGGCCGCGTTGATTCGGACATTTTAAAATAGATGAATGCCTGCTCGACATGAAGGGGGTATAAGAAGAGTTGCAGGCACGCGTTCACATGATGATTGAATTGTGCAATGACTGATTAGCTGGTTGTTTGAAGGAATGAACGGATGAATGGCTGACTTAAATAAATGGCCAAGTGATTAGTGACTGACTGACACCAAGAGTGATTGAATGACTTGTTGATTGACTTTTCCGTGGAGGGCTGAGTGACCGACTAAGAAAATGACATGTTTTTGTTTCAAATTGGTTCTTGAATGACAGCATGAACGGCTGATGGCATGGCTCAATGACTTTACGATTGACTGCCTGTATGACGTTTTGAGCTACTTCTTCTCTGAGTTCCTCCTCTCCGCGCAAAGTTTCCTTCGAACCTCTGAGCTGAAACCCTCTCTCTCTCTCTATCTTAAGCTACCCCTTCTTTGAGATACTTCTCTTGTAAGTTTCGTCCTCCCTGAACCAACTCCTCTCTCAGCCTCTTCGTCTCCCAAGTATTTGAAACTGTTTCTCACTCCTTGGCTCTCCATTTCACCTACCTTTCTCCCGACGGTTCTTCTCTGAGGGGGGCAAACCATTGGTTTCTGTCAACAACCTCCTCTTGAGCCAAATCTTCCCAGCAGCCGCAACAGATCCAGCTTTCGGCACAGCCGCGGAATGCTGACGATTCTGGGTCTTGGTGATATGGGGCACCACAGCTACAAACAATTCTTCCGAAACAATTGCGGGATCCACTCGATTGCTACATCACATTCGCTAGTGGTACTCAGCGCAGTAGCTGCCTCCTTCACTAGATGCATGCATTGGTCTTAAACGTGCACAGTCCTACGATTTTTCGAATACAATGGTTGGGCGACGGGAAGAAAGTGCGCGAAGAATCACGGTGTCTTGGATCGCGTCCTTTTCGGTGGCTGATTGTGTCCGTCACTCGGAAGTTGACCATTCATTTTTTGTTTTTTTAGACTGGAAATTGTCTCTTCTCCTATGTTGTACTCGCAAATGGACTGTATGCGGACAATTGTTTTCTTGCACTCCATATCATATACTTATGATTTCATGCGCGTTCTTGTGTTATGTCATCGCCATTGCGTGTCGCCTGTCATCGCGCGGTTTTGATGTCCAGGGTCAGGAGGTTCTGCACCATGCGCCGCATGTGGAGCTCAGGACGCTGATGGTCTCAGGCTCGACCGACGGTAGCCTGGACAAGAGTGCGTTGACAGGGCACTTGTCTCAGAATCCATCAAGCTGAGGGCGTTTGCCAAGTCATGAGGAAACCAAGCAAATCAGTATCCACGCAACCAACTTCACCAACTTCACCCATCCTGAACAAGCTTCGCGATGTTCATGTGAGCATTGAACATCAAGCACTTACCAAAAACTTTGTGTTCAACTTGATTTTGGCATTTCGCTTCCCAAAATCTTAGAGATGGCAAACTCTTTTTCAGAGCTTGCGTGAGCACTGTTCAAAACCCCTGCTGGTTGATGATCATAGGGGATTATCATGGATTATCATATTAACTTTAACCAATATATTGTGGATACTCTCAATCCATGAGGGGAATCCCTATCAACTCACCAGTGTCAAGGGACGACTTTGCCAATATCATGAAGCCGTGTAGTCTCTGGATGAACCCCATCAGGTTCCCGTACTCCACGGACAATGCGGCTTCCCTTCTGCTGGGGCCCAGCTCCATTCACCAGGGTCATGGGCTGCCTAGGACTAGAGACATGAGTCGCCACGGGCGCATTCAGTCACAAGATGGCACAAACACGACAACACACAGACACAGATACACACACACACATTATAAACACAAACATACATTATACATGTTATATAATTATATATAACATTGTATCGTGTCCTGCTTTCTGTTGGTGTATCCTGTGGTTCTGTATTCTGACTAAGCTTTTATCGTTTCTAATCCCGAGGGACACGATGGATCCAAGATACAAGACACAATTCTCCTCAGTTCTCCTGCGTTCTCAAGCGAGGCTGGGTTTCCCTCGCTTGGGCGGACAGTTGAGTTTGGGAATGGATGCGAGAAACTCAGATGCTGCGTTCAACTGGCACTGGTCCATGATGACCTGGCATGGCATGAGAGCGAAAGCAGACAGCTTCATGCAATATGCGAATATGACAGATGTGGACATGTTGCAAATGTGAAGTGAATATGACACGATGCAAATGTGAGGTGAATATGATGCGGACATGATGCAAATGTGAGGTGAATATGATGCGAATATGATGCAACTATATGCAACTATTAGGTGTCATTTGGTTTCATTGGGGTTTTCCGCTCTTGTAAGGCCCCTGCAGTGAATTCTGACAGTGATGATTCCAATCATTTGGAAGCTGCTTATGAGCAACGTCTTCCAGGCGTCAGCAGCGTCACCTCTGTGTTCGATGCAGTGTAAGAACGGAACATGGAGACCTCCTGGAGACCCTCGCTTCAATTTTTGAATCAGACATCTAGAATCTAGAACCATAAGGAAACACACATACTTGCACGCAGGCCTGTGTGGCCCTGTCCTTTGGTCTTTTGGTCAGTGTCCCCTATGCCTTGAATGTAGCCATCAATAGACCATGGAAATAGCTGCAATATCAAACATAGCGTAACTCACATGAACATGGGAGGCTCAACAATACCCGTCACATTACGGGTTGTAGCTCAGAAAAATGTTCAGGAACCATTCAAATGAAAGGCTCCAGCTCCAAATTTTGCAAAGTCAAATGCCAGGTGCACACTAAGCTCCAGTCCCCAAACACTCCAAATGCCATGCAAATGGAAGGTCCAGAATATGTATACCTACAGGTTTTTTTCAATTGTTTGTCCAGGGCTTAGTTTTTCTCTTTCCAGGGTCTCTGTGTGACATGAACCTCAGATTTGTTTTCCACGGAAACTGACTTGTTTCTCCAAGGCGTGCCTTGTCTTGCAAACAATATTAACATTGACATTTACTAAACTCGGTTTGTTCAAATCAATGTCCTTTCCTTCTTTGGTTTTACCATTCTTTGCATTCTGGTTGACAAACTGGACTGTACTGCTCAGGGGCGACATGCAGAGCATTTGTCTGGTTCACCGCACATGAAAATCACTGCGGGGCCACAGCATTTCGGCATTTCAGCATGCTGTGCAGGTGGTGGCAGGGTAGCAGCAAGACTGCGCAGCAATGGAGAATGGGGTGCTTCCTTCCGGCATGAGGTGCGTTGAAGTTGATTTTGCAACTGTCGAACGTGACTGACGTCAATGAAATATTTGACTTTGCGCAACCTGGAGGACCAGAATGACTGACCTTGGCGAGTTTTAGGTGAACATGGTTTAACGGAAAACAACGCAGTCTTATTATTCTGAGCTCATTTTTTGCGCTGTGTGTGGTAGAATGTTGTGTTTATTGCAGGTGGAAGACATGGGCACTGTGAGTGGCGGGTTGAACTCGCAATTGGATTGGAATTTGGACTTGAATACGTGCCATGGCAAGAATCGTTCAGGTTTGTGGTCAGTTTCAGTCTGAGGGAGCCATTTTTAATCCAAATATTAGTTGCCACCGGATACTTGTTTTGAGAACTTTCAAACCGCCACCTGAGGATCTAGGGACAGCCTGACAGCCTCCACTTTGATTCGACCAGGTGTGAGAACCAAAGCAACTGTCAATATCCCAACTTACACTCTTTCTATCTCTTTCTAGGCTGCAAGCTAACATAAGCTAACTATGGACCCACGCACAAACACAAATGTCGCCCAAGGGCACTCACAAACTCCTTATACTCCTTTGAAGGGTGAGAGGTGGAATGTTCTACCTTCTACCCCTCCGTGCCCAATGTTTGTTGGGGGAAGCCTGGTGCAGGGGTAAACTCCCGACTCCCTAACGGACTCCCTTGACCCAGTGTCACCGGGCGTCCGATTTCCTTTGTCCATTGCCACAAGTAGCGCCACAGGAAAAGTTCCTAGACAAATAACATTGACAAACACGGGAAGTCCTGAGAAAACTGAGGCCGCAGGCAAAATTCTAAATTGTATACAATGGATTTACAATGAACTGTTCGCGTGAACTTAGATCATTTGGCATTTTCAGGATTGTGTCCGACACATTTTTTGTGACTTTTTACATACTTGATGTATCTTGATGTGCCAAGGAGCTACGCGCCAGCCAGGATCTTATCCTTTGTGGGTTGAGACATGTTGTTTTTTGTTGAGATGGTCACAACGACAACTGATCACCCGAGGTGCGGGGCTTCACGCCATCTGTAGCCTACGGAGCCACACAGGCAACGGTAAGGGGTAAGACTCCATACTGTACCTACTGTACTGCCTTATATATCCTTATATGATGTTACATGCATGTCTTCACAGGATTTTGGAGGCGAAGCTAATTTCTTACTTAATGGTACTTAGAAAGTATGAAGCACTTCGGAGTTTCAGCTCTATTCCCCCAGACAGGTTTACAAGTGTGGTTTTCTTATTCCTTTTGACACGGTTGCATGCTTGGGACACATGATTTTGCTTGTCTTTGGGCTCGTGTTCTCGTGGGTGCGTTCGGACGCACATTCTCAACCGGTGTTCTTCTTCGGCATGATTCAATTTTGTGTTTCTATTTTTCTTCCCATGTGTCTTTGGGCTTTGGGTGCGTCCTAAACTTGGGTTTTGTCACCTTTTGCCCCCATGCATTCTTTCAAATAGTACTGATGGGTGCAAGCGTTAGGAGGCTGTATTGTCACCTGGTCTTGAGGGCTGTTTGGACTGCCTCAGGGCGGAAGATTTCCCTTTTCTTCCATCTGTCCCTCTACTTGGCTACCTTGGAACAGATTCTTTTTTGTGTCTTGCTGCAAAGTATTACCGCTTTAGTGTGTGCGTATACGTATGTAGATTCATGTCTATATATATATATATGTGTGTGTTTATATAATATGCATATATGACACCTCATGTTCATTCTTTCACTCGGCTGCAGCTTCTGTGGCTCTAGATGAGCCAGGCTCTGGCTACTGGAGTGTCGACTGGCACTTCGCTCGCTTTGCTGTGGAAAGCTCTTGAGGGTGTGCCGTTGAGTGCTCCGGTGGCCTTTTGCCCTCCTAGGCTTTGGTGGGACATCCATTGGCCGAGCCTGCTGCTTGGATTGCTGCTTGGGGTCCTGCTGGGGCCGCTGCTGGAAGCCTTGGTGGGGCTTCGAATCTATTTGAGCCAAGTGGCCATACGCCGCCTGGTCGGCTATCTGGCCTCCTCGCCGAGTGCTCGGCCTCTTCACCGCCTTGCTTAAGCCCTGTGCATGGACAACCGCCTGTCTGAGCTCGAGGACATTGTCGACGAGCTGAGGGAGGAGATCCGGTTCTTGAGGGGAGAGGTGAGGCGTCTTCGGCGCTTGGTGGAGGACCGAGACAGTCGGGACACTGTCAGTGGAGATTCGCATCGTTCTTCGCGGGCCCCGTCGGACGGCAGTTACAGCTTAGTGAGCCGGGAGTTCAACGAGGAGGCTTCCAGGTCTCGGAGCTACACGCCCCAAGCTGGTACGCCCTCGGCCCCTGGTTCTGACCCTGAGAGGAGTGGTGGCTCGCGGCTTTCTCAGCCTTGGCTGGAGCGAGAGGCTATCTGCGACGAGATCGGCGACTTCATTCGGCGCTCTTTGGACGGTGATCACCGAGGAGCTTCTGGACGAGATCGCCTGCATCTGCCCTCAAGGATCTGGTTGGTTTTCCGTGACTACGAAGGCCTGTGTTATAAGCCTGTGCGAGTGTGCAGGAGCTGGCAGAGCTGCAAAGACCTGGTGAAACGTGGAGACGGCGCGGGTGATTCCGTGTACGTCGGCTTGCCCAGTGAGCGAGAAGCCTGTCGGGTAGCAGGGAGAGCGGGTGTTGGCTGGCCCCTAGGCCGTTGAGATGGATGGTTTAGATGGTCTAGAAGGGCGGCCTGAAGAGGAAGCTCTTGCACGACCCTTTGTAGTGCTCGAAGACGGCACTGCTGAGTTCCACTACGACCTATGGAAATTTCGAACTCCTCTTGGAGTTCTAATTCAATGCATTGTTGTGAGCCGTCTTGCAGATGGCCGCTTCTTGGCTGCTTTCCCCTACAGTGCTTGGCACCGGCAAACCTCAAAGCGGAGTCTGCCAGCTGTCCTGAGCAAGCCTTTGCTGGTGGAGGTTGTGATTGCCCACGTCTCTGCGCGCGAGGCGGCCCTGGAGGAGTACATGAAGGTGTGGGTTGGCTACATCACTGCGGAGACCTTCGAGGAGATGGAGCCCTACCTGGATGGCATGCAGATCGACCAGCCCTTCAAAGTTCCTGCTGGTTCCGACTACTTGCCCTACGCCCCTGCCCTGATCGAGGCCCTGGACGAGCGCTTCGCGTTCCTCTCGGCGGAGTCAGGTTTGGGGGACACGAGCGTCGTGCGAGAAGAGGGACAAGAATATGGATTGGGCGAGGGGTCCGACATACCCACCCGGGTGGCATCTTTGGAGAGCCTCATGGACAAGATGAATGGCAACTTGGAGACGGTTTTGGAGAAGCTGGGTCACTTGCCCAACCGCAAGGCCGCCCCTGCCCCTGGGAGAGTTTCTTTTGCTGCAGCTCCGATCGAAGTGCCCGCAAGAAGTACGAGGCTGGACCCCCTGGCGAAGAAGTTTCCAGGTTTGGATGCCGCTGTTGTGTCCGCTGCCTTGGCTGCTGGAGTCCCGGAGGAGAACCTGACGGAGATGCAGCGCCTCATCGGTGCGGGTGGCAAGGCAACCCATCGGCTGCGGGAGCCGGCTCTACGGGCCAGTGCGAAAAAGGAGGCGAAGAAGACCGCGGAGCCCCTCGACGAGAGCGAGGACGAGGTCGAGCCCGACTTGGTGTTAGACGAGCCTGGTTCAGCATTGGCTGGAGGACCTGCCACTGTGGAAGGAGCCCTGGCAAAGCTGACCGAGTTGGTCGCCATTCTGAGCGACGACAAGCTCAAACGCGCGAAGAGCACCAAGATGGACCTGGCGCTCGACAGCATTGCCAACAGTTCCGGCGTGGGAGAAAGCTCTTCTGGTTCTACTGGCAAGCGTGCTGCAGCTGCGAGAAGAGCTCTCCGTGTCGGCCTGCAGGAGAGTCCGGAGGAGATCAGTGCCGTGGTGGAGAAACTACTGTTGGAGGACTTGGTGCTGAAGACGCAAGCTCCTGGAATGCCTGCCAACGACTTCAATGCCCGTGCCTGGGTGGAGCATCGCAGCAGGATAGGAGCATACAAGACCTCGGCGTACATGGCATGGGCCGCAGCGGGAGTGCTCGACGATCTGGTGAAAGGCCGGGTGAGTCATGCTCGAGCTCGAGCAGGGCTTATGCTGGTGATGCTGGACCAGGTTGCCATAGACCGTGGTTCATGGGTGCTGGGAGCCGAATTGATGCTCGAGCAGGGTCCCCCTCTCTCTGCATTGGCGTCCCATACGCTCCCGTCCGTCGCCGACGGAGAGTCCCCCTTCAGCAGGATTCTGGACAGCAGATGGGCCGAAGTGATGCTGAGCCATCTACGAGATGCAGAAGACTACCTGCAGAAGCGGCGGACCCTTGGGAAAAAGCTGAACGACGACGGGGAGAAGGACAAGGAGAAGGAGGCGGGGAGGCAGCAGAAGCCCAAGGCAAAGGCAAAGGGGAAGAGCTCCGCCGAGACGGCGGCCGATGCATGAGGAGCCCTTTCAAGGCTGATGACCTGGAGGACGCGCAACAGGTTGATGGAAACACGAAGAAGGTTTTTGTCCCTGGAGCCCGAGCCCCAACGGTCAAGGTTCCGGCCTTTCTGAATTCATGGCTCAGGGTCCTGGCTAAGCACGGCAGCTCCCTGGGCTCTTTTGTGCGCACTTTTCTCAGCAATGTGCCTCAGCCTCGTGAGGAGGCTGTCTCACTGGGGCCCCTTTGGCCTATCCCTGCACCATATCCAGAAGTTTTTGGACGTGATCCCGCTTTTGGTGGCTCCTGGAAAAAACGGAGGCTGGTGGTGCAAGTTTTGGTGCTAAGTTGGCTTTACTTGGGTAAGCCTAGTGTCTGCCCTATCCAACTTTGGGTGGGCCGAAGCCTTACAGCTCGGCAGTGGCGAAGAGTCCGCCTCTTGGAGGACCTCAGTGAAGATTCGAATTCGTTGCTTGAGGTGGATGCGGCGGGCATGGCGCGGGCTGCTATCAAGGCGGAGTCCTCGGCTGACCAGCTGGACTCCCTCCACCGTGCTTTGCTTTTTTCATCCACTTTGTGTTCCGGCCCCTATGGTGCTGAAGTTAGCTCTGTGAGTAGAGCCGAGCGTGAAAATGCTGGTGAAGATGGGGAGTGGGCGGCCGGGTTGTACGGCGCTTTTGTGGGAACCGTCAAAGCTGATCAGACCGTGGTTGCAAAGCCCATCCAAGCTGACCGTCTTTCCTTTGTAGGTTGTCCCGGTTTTGATCCTCTTCCTTACCTAGATCCTGTCACCGCTCATGCTTACGAGTCCCCTCTAGATTGTGTACGGCATCATGGCTTGGAACCTCCCCCTGCTGTCAGTGTTCATGGCTCTGTTGAAGAACGGAACAAGTTATACAAGAGGATGGCTGAAAGTGGTAGGTTAGTTCCTGTTCTTGAAGGAGATGTGAGAGAGGGACTTGTTTGCGGTTTGTTTGCCGTGCCCAAAGACCTGGAGAGAGATAGGCTGATCCTAGATGCACGGCCACCCAACACGGTAGAGCCAGTCTTAAGTTCGTGGACTAGAACCATGAGCAGCAGTACATGTTTGTTGGGCTTTGAGTTGGAGGAGGGAGAGAGCTTGATCATGAGTGGAAGGGACATACGGGATTTCTTTTACCAGTTTCAAGTATCTCCTCAGCGGTGCCTTCGGAATGTTTTGGCTGGGAAGCTAGCGGCCTCTGACTTGGAGTTCATCTTCAAGCGGCCTTTCGATGGCCCGGGTTACGTGGGGTTGAGCACCTTAGCCATGGGCGACCTCAATGCTTGTGAGTTCGCACAAGGCTCTCATTTGCGGCTGATTCTCGCCTGTGGTGGCGCTTTGCCCAGCGAAGTGATGATGATGCATCGGCCTTGTCCCAGAGGTCTTTTGTCGGTGGGAGTGGTCATCGACGACTTGGTGTGCTTCGAGAAGGTTCTTAGCAGCGACCTGGTGGATGGGGCCTATGCTGGGAGGTCGATGCTTGACGAGCGCATGGAGGCGATCATGGCCAAGTATGAGGAGGTGAGGCTTCCTACCAACCCGAAGAAAGCCTTCGACAATGCCACATGCTCCTCTTTCTGGGGTGTCCAAGTTGATGGGAAGAAAGGAACCGTGAGGGGCAATGAGTCCCGGTTGTGGCCGCTGCTGCTCATCACCATGAGGGTTTGCTGCTTAGGGCTCAGTACCGTGGGACTTCTGCGTTCACTGGCAGGATCCTACATATCGGTGCTCACCTTGCGGAGGAGGCTGCTGTCTGTCATGAACCTGATTTTTGATGCTATAGCCGCCTCCAATGGTGACGCGCAGGTGGTGCGTTTGTCAGGCACTCTCAAGGATGAGCTTTTCACTATGATGGTGCTTGCGACCCTGGCTGTGGTTAACCTCCGCGCCAGAACTTTAGGCTGTGTCCGAGCTACTGACGCCTCAGATTGGGGCATGGCGGCTGTGGTTGGCGAGGTGCCCGTCGCCGTTGCTCGTGAAGCCTTGCGGCTCAGCCTTAGCAAGAGCTGCTGGATACGACTTCTGCCACCTGGCAAAGCTTGGCTGCGGGCGAAGGAGCTTTTACACCCTTCAGAGGAACTGCCTGGCGATGAAGAGTTTGACGTGCACCCCTTTTGGGAGCAGCTTGCGAGAAGCGTGGAGTACAAAGAGCTCTGGAGGAAAAAGCACGTGAGACCAGTTCATGTGAACAGCGGGCCCACCTCCGTGAGGAGGCACGGCTTTCGGTGAATCATCTTTCTGTGCGAGTTCCCTATGCTTTGGATTCGCAAGTGGCCTTGGGATGTTTGGTGAAGGGCAGGGCTTCCTCAAAAGCTCTGAACGCTGAGCTGTCCAAGAGCATAGCAACTATGCTTGGGTCGGACCTATATGCCGGTTACGGCTACTGGCCTTCAAAGCTCAACAGGGCTGATGGGCCCACTCGGGACTCTGATCCAGACCCTCCTGATGCGGCCTTCCCATGGTGGTGGTCTGAGGTGACAGCTGGAAGGTATGGACGCTTTGATGCCTGGCTGGAAGACCTCGAGGAGCGCGTCACACCTGGCTTCTCTGAGGTTCATGCTGTTGCTGCTCACGCCCTTGACTTGCGCACTGGGAAGCAGGCGAGGTCGTCTACCAGACGCACACAGCCGGCGGAAGTGCGAAGCAAAAAGGGGCCAGCTTCCTGCCAAGGTCCTGGTGATGCTGACGGTGGTGTCGGTGCGGCCTATGGAGATGGTGCCGGGAATGGTGATCTACGTCATGCAGATTCCGCTGATGCCCTACCTGCTGGAGAAGTACGCGGCGCTGGCCGACTACGCCCTGGAGGAGCTCTTCGAGGTCTATGTGGTGGAGAAGTTCTTCCTTCTGTTCTACGTGACCGAGATCAACGAGGTGGCGACCCTTTCGGTGCAGACGGTCGAGATGGACGTGCTCAACATCGTGGAGAAGCTGATGGCCGTGGTCTTGGTGAAGAAGTTCAAGGAGGTGCTCACCTTCGCTCTGCTGAAGCGGTGGCTGTGGGCAGTCTATGTGCGGAAGCACTGGACATTTTGCGCAGCTTTGACAAGAGGCAGTTCCTGTTTCGTGATCCTCGAGCCGGTGAATTTGTGGAGCCGGGGGCCCTCGACCTGTATACAGGCCGTGGTGGGGTCGCAAAAGCCATGGTGGCAGGCGGTTGCCCCTGGGTGCTTACCTTTGAAATCAACAGAAGCCCAAAAGAGGATCTGCTGATGGCTGAAAACAGGCGCAAGGTTTTGCGGCTCATCGAGCTGAGGGCTGTTCGCTGTGTTGGCTCTGCCCTGGTTTGCAAGTCGTTTTCTGTGGCAGTGACGCCCCCTGTGAGGAGCCGACAGTTCCCGCGGGGAGTCCCTTGGATGTCACTTGCTATGAAGGAGAAGGTGAGAGAGGGGAATAGTATGAGTGATTTCAATGCTGAGATCCACTCCTTGTGTGAACAGTCGGAGAACGGTGAGGAAGAGGAGAAGGTCTTTTTCTGGACGGAGAACCCCGACAGTTCCTTTTTGTGGAGGCAGAAGAAATACCGTCGTTTTAGGCGGCCCAACTCTCAGAATTTGTTCCGGTGTGATTTCTGCCGTTTTGGCACGGGGTGGAGGAAGCGAACCAGAGTCGCTACCAACGTCCCGAAGTTAATGGGGCTGAGGATGCTTTGCGTGTGCACGCTAGCCCATCAACGACTGAGGGGGCAGCACCCAGTACTCAAAGTGCCTTGGACCGCCGTGGCTCAGCCTTACCCGCGGGGCTTCAGCAAGCTTCTTGCCAGATTTTGCCTGGAGGCTGCTGGTTGGGCAAAGGATGGCAAGCTGGATGTAGCGGCCTGTAGCAAGAGCAAAAGTCTGCGGATTGGAGAGGCTACCAATCCCGGACCCCGCGGGCTGAGAGCTGCTCGCGGCTTTTCTCTGGAGGAAGCCCCAGTGCAATGTTGGAGCTCCATTCAACTCGGCGAACGCCGCTGGACTATGTTTCTGGAGTGGTGCAACCTATACCTCACGGACGACCCGGTGGACTTGTTTTTGCGGGTGCCTTTGTTCCTGGCGCATGCGGTGCGGAAGTACGGAGACAAGGAGTTCATGTCTGGTGGGTCCCTTCTTTACTACAGGCACCTGGTCTTGGTGGCACTTCGGAAGATTCCCAACATGCGCCCCTTCGCTAGCATTTGCTGGGACCTTGCGACGAGGTGGGAGAAGGCTGAACCTACAAAACATCGCCCTCCGGTCCCTGAGGTCTTGATCGAGGCAATGATCTCTTTGGGCTGGTGTTTGGGTTGGAAAAGGTGGTGCGGTGTCTGCTTACTTTGCTTTTATGGCATCGCCAGAGCTGGTGAGGTGCTGCGATGTCGGCGTGAAGACCTCCTTCTGCCGTGTGACATGATGTATGAATGTGATGCTGCTTTCCTTCTCCTTCGCCAGTCAAAGACTAGCTTTAGACAACTGGCCAAGGTGCAGCATCTGAAGATAACCAGTGTGCATGCTGTGAAGCTCTTGAATTTGATCTACCAGGGTGCAGATCGTTTGGATGTGCTTTTTCCTGGCAGTGCTCATGTTTTTAGGCGTCGCTGGAACCACGTGCTGAAGTTGCTCCTGATTCCGGACGCCGTCCATGTGACTCCTGGTGGCCTTCGCGGAGGAGGCGCTGTGTCTTGCTACCGGAAAGGAGCTTCGATACCTGACCTTCTTTGGGCCATGCGACTGAAACAGGTCGCCACGCTGGAAGCCTACCTTCAAGAGGTTGCGGCCCTGAGCGTGCTTACGGAGTTGCCTTGGAACTCTCGCAGAGCCATACGAAGCGCTGCCTCCCTCTTCAGCCACTTGCACTAAGCTGGGGTCTACGACCACAACGCAAGGTTTTGCCTTGTTTGGCTGCTATGGCCGGTCCCTTCACCCATGTGCGCCTCTTGTAAGTTTGGTGGAGGGGTTTTACGTGGTGCTGGCTGCTTGCGCCCTCCTCTGGTGGATCTTTTAGCTTGCGGAGCTCTTCAGGCAGACGCTGGACGAGCTCTACGCTGGTGGCTTGATCTACTTCTTGGCATTTGCAGCTGCGCTAGCACCATCGCTCACCATGCCTTACTGGCGCTGAGAAAAGTGCCAGCTGGATGATTGTGGCAGCGTCGTGGGAGGGATTAACATATATATATATATGTAGATTGCAGTAATATTGCACATATCTATATTGCATATATCTATATTGCATATATCTATATTGCATATATCTATATTGCATATATCTATATTGCATATATGGACCGTCACCCCCCTGTGGTGGGGTGGGGTGTGGGGTGGGAGGTGTTGAGGGGGATATCTAGTATATTATCGGTACACAAGGAGCAATCAGGGCACTCTGACCCATTGGGCATGATCATGGGACGCGTGACCATATATGTATGTATATATATATATATGTACATATATATATATATATATATGTATTTATATGTGCATATATATATATACACACATATACACACATATACACACATATGTATATATGTATATATGTATATATGTATATATGTATATATGTATATATGTATGTATGTATGTATGTATGTATGGAATGGAATGGAATGGAATGGAATGGAATGCAATGCAATGCAGTGCAGTGCAGTGCAATGCAATGCAATGCAATTATTGGTATTGTCATTTTCACTTTTATTTCTTTATTACTATGATTACTTACTGTTATCTTTGTATAATATAGTATCATATGTATGTTTATTTTTATCCTTTTGCACGCTTGTTGGGACACATGATTTTGCCTTTGTGCTGGGCAAGAGCGTTCTGGGCTGCTGTTTTGGTTTAGGATTCTGGAGCGAATCCTGTCTCGGCCCTTTGAATTTTTGTTCTTTTTTGGGGGCCCGGGGGCCGGCTTCCCAGCCAGGATGGCGTTCATTTACGTGGACGCGTGGACAAAGACTTCTCGCCCCACTGGCATGGTAGCTATGGTTTGCAGAACATCCCGGGAAAGTGCGCCTGAAGAGATTGCACTGATTGGCATATGTAATTAGTGATTGAGGAGGTCACGGCATTTGGAAACAAACCTACTTTGCAGCAAGGGTAAATCAACTGATTTTGGTGCATTAATTGGCACTTGATTTCTCAACATATGTGATCTTGTTTGGGACGTTCAAAATCATTAGTCCTCTCACTTAAGACTCAAACTGCTCAAAAACCGATCGTAGGTACTCCCCTGTGGACTTTGTGCATGACAGCGTGGCTGGCATGTTTTTCTACAGCAAAGTATGCCTGCAAGACCTTCAATGGTGTCAGCATGACCTTTGCTTTCGCATGGGTTCTGACTTTTTCATATTTAATATCTCACCATGGTTCATGGTCTCGTCATGTCTCATTTCGCATCGTGTGGCACCATGTCTCATTGTGTCTCCTCATGTCTCATGGTGTCTTGTGGTGTTTCATCATGCCTCATTGTCTCTCATGGTGTCTGATCAATGTCTCATCGTGTCTCATCGTGAATCATCATGCCTGATTCTGTTTCTTCATATGTGATGTCTCATTGTGATATTCACCTTCATTTTTCTTTCATCATCATCATCATCATCATCAACAACAACAAAAACCAAATTCATCATTATGATCATCACGATAAAGATAATAATCATCACCATCATCACCATCATCGCCATCGTTTTCATGGTAGTCCTATATAGTCATCATAATAGCATGTAATATAGATGTGGAATGCACAGCAATCCGATGCAACCCAGTAATTCGATCACGGTATACAACCATTCAATATGAGTTGTTACATTTGTAAATATCTTTTGTGTGCCATTGCGCCTCTAGTAGTATTTTGCAAAAACTTCATATTTTCTTGGGTTTTGCTATGTCATGCTGATGCATACCTGTGTAAGTCACTTCATGTTGAACAAGTGCACCCTGCACGCGGTTCCTGCACCTTCACAAAGGTAGTCTGCGCAATATGTGTATATCATGTAGTCACGGCACCAATCATGATGTATACAGTGTGAGGTTGCATGTCGTGTTTCTTGTGCAGGTGTCTTTGAGGCCTAACTAGGCCATAAATCCATTCATTGAGCCAGCCATCCAGCCAGCCAATCCTCAAATCCGGCATTACAAAGTGACGCTGATTGAAATCTTTCGAAGGGAACACGGAACAAGGTATTGTTGGCAAGAGCTCAACCAGAGGAAATACTTATATATAGATTATAGATCATGGATACAGGTGATATAGTGTACAATTAAACATCTTGTAAGGCATGCCTTGTATTTGCTTAACTATCTTAACTCTTGCAAACGGCAGCAGTTGACCAAGTGTAACACATCCAACATCATCCAACATCATCCAACTATTCTGGTCTTTGTCCAGATAGAAGCCCCTTGAGGCACCATCACCCTTTCAGCAGGCCGGCACACCATTCAGGCAAGTTGCCGGTTCAGTGGGTGAACTGCTATGCCAGAAACCGACCATAAGGACTAAGTCTCCGAAACCAAGTTTTCGTTAAAATTTCTTTGTTTTTGTTGTCGTTTTCCTTTTCTCTGGGTTCAAAAGTGATGCAGCTGCCTGCATTCTACACATTATTGAAAAAGATAGACTGGCAAAATAAAGCCAGGTTTGAATGTGATAACATATGAGTCGTCAATAGTCATGATACTTATTTGTTTTAATTATTGATTTTTCAGGAGAATCCAGATCTTACGGTGCTGACAATCTCTAGTTATGCAGCCCGTTGTCTCTTTCCCAGGCATCGGCAGCATATGACAGGCAGATGTTGATGCTTGAACTCAAAGGGGGAGGTCCCAACATGATCAACATGGATTCATTGAATTTTAATCAATATTGTCCATATTTTGATGCATGATCAACATGTCAGTCATGGATTTTATTTGTGCAATGCCAAAAACATTGCGAAAAAGCCAAATAGTTTTCTGATGTTTTCCTGCTGAGGAAGTCTCCTTTGACTGGTGCCATTTCGTACACACTGACAACCAGGCGATGGTGAGGTTTGTGAGGTTTGTGAGGTTTGTGAGGTTTGTGAGGTTTGTGAGGTTTATGGGTTATTCTACTCGAGGTCTCTTGTGGATTTACCATGTTTTACCATGTTTTTTTGGTTTAAACATGATTTACCAAGCATTCACCAAGCATTACTCATTCTTGCCAACACATTGTGCAACACCTTGCCACACCTTGCCATGTGCCAAGGCCTGTCACACTGCATGCCCTGATGGATGGATCGCAGTATGCCCTGGCAGCTCAGAGCGGAAGAAAGAGCTTGGCGGCCACCTTGGGGCGGCCCAATGAGGAGGGCCAGCGCAGCTCACAAGTGGAGCTCCGATTTGGGCAGGTAGGATCAGGGCAGGTCACGGCAGGTGGTTCAAACATGTTCAAACGGTTTTCTCAATCTTCAGTCCAAAACAAATCAAAACAATGTTCTCAGTTTGGAATCGAGCAACCCAAAGAACCAAATATGATAAATATGACAATATGACACTATCACTTGACTTCTCTGTTGCCAATTTCCTTCAGCTGTGCTTTTTCAGGTTGCGGCTACCATGAAGAAGGAGGGCTCTTCCAAGCCACGGATACGCTTGTCCAAAGATGCAGTGCTGTAGTACGCTGAGTCCGGCTTTTCGGCGAATGAAGCCGTTGCAGGTTGGAGAAGACCTCGATTTGCGCCGATCTGGGAGCACACTTTGGACAATTTTCATCAATGTTCATCAATCAATCTTCAATGGCAAATGATGTGCTGAAGTTGAATAAGCTGAAAAAAAAGCCCACACTGTGAAGGGCACTGTGCAGACCTTCAGAATTGTAGCAGAATTGTAGCTACGTTACATGTCACCCTGTAAGAAAATTATCAAGTTAAGATCAGAAAGGCAAGCTTTGCTACAGATGTGAGAGCGCAGTAATTCTCCTCGCTTTGATTGATTTTTGAGAGCCCCGGCCAAGATCACAGTGCCTCTCATTCATGCCTCTCATTCGTCAGCATTGTGGCAGACCTTGTCAGTGTTCAGTCTGCATTTGGGCACATTTTGGCTGGGATACCAGTTTCACTGCGTCGCTTGCACGCATCAAATTTCTGCTCCGGCGTTTTGGCGGCCTGATGAGTTGATCTGCACGAGGCGTTTGATGCTCGTGCAAATCTGGGCATGGATCAGTACTTCATAGTACTTCTCGCTTTTTGCATTTCTTGCATCACTCGCATCTATTCGCATCTCGCATTTTCTCCCATTTGGTGTGATCTGAGTGTGCAAGCGTGCCATGGCCTTCCAGCGGAAGATTTCCAACGCCAACTTTCGCTTTTGCCGCTCGTTGCCGCATCACTCTGTAGAGATGAAGGCTGATCCAGTCCCAGAGTCTCATCAGTGCCCTTTTGAGCCCTGTCCAGATCTCCTGTGTCGTCGATTTGAGAGCATGAAAGTTGTTCGCTCTTCAGACAGGTTTGCACTGCAACTCCGTGTACTTTACTGTAACATACTGTAATCTCAAAGTTCCTGCATGCCGGATGGGTAAGAATGTGGAACATTGTGGAACTATTTCTTGCAATCTTTGGGAACGCATTGCTGGCAAAAAATCATTCTAGTAGAGCTACTTGTTCCATGACATGAACTACCAATCAGTTTTGGCAGATTTGCTCAAGTCTCTTGCTTATTTTCTGTTCTTCCTTGTTTTGGAAACTTACATTTGACCTTGCTCTAAACCAGTTAGTTTACAACAGCTGAGATCTGACATCGCCAGTCTGGCGGCTGGCGGGTATGTGCAGTATGTTTGTCAGAGCATTGTCGTTAAATGCTGCGACCATGGACAGAAAAGTGAAAACCCTTGAACTCAACCAAACTCCGCCGCCACTTTACTCACACCCTAGGTCTAAAGGCACTTAGGCCAGGAGGTCAAAAGGTGCTACTATATCTATAGAACTAATATAGAAACTTGCTAAATCCTGCCATGGAACTAATTGTCAAGAAGGAAACGGCCGCAGTTGAACCAGGTATCCTTGCTTGATGGGTCATCTGGCGCACAGATGGCTCTCAGCAGTCATAGACTAAATTCAATTTTGATCCGGCAACCAGGTCTAACCAAACAAGAGGAAGAGGCAGCCACTCACCAACATCAACCAACACCACAGATAGGATCAAGAATTAAGCTATGAACCTGCTGGATGACATGCACTATCATCCAGACTGTTTCCAGGTCTTTCTTGATGTAAGTGCTAAATTTGGTTAAAGGTCACATGTCAAAGTGCCGACAAGCAGGTATTCTCCAGCAGAGATGGAGCAGCCACATCGCCTTGTCTCTTCCTTTTGAACCTGCGAGAAGGAAACGGCCGCAGTTGAACCAGGTATCCTTGCTTGATGGGTCATTTGGCGCACAGACGGCTCTCAGCAGTCATAGACTAAATTCAATTTTGATCCGGCAACCAGGTCTACCAAACAAGAGGGAGAGCCGGCCACTCACCAACATCAACCAACACCACAGATAGGATCAAGAATTAAGCTATGAACCTGCTGGATGACATGCACTATCATCCAGACTGTTTCCAGGTCTTTCTTGATGTGAGTGCTAAATTTGGTTAAAGGTCACATGTCAAAGTGCCGACAAGCAGGTATTCTCCAGCAGAGATGAAGCAGCCACATCGCCTTGTCTCTTCCTTTTGAACCTGCAAGAAGGAAACGGCCGCAGTTGAACCAGGTATCCTTGCTTGATGGGTCATTTGGCGCACAGACGGCTCTCAGCAGTCATAGACTAAATTCAATTTTGATCCGGCAACCAGGTCTACCAAACAAGAGGGAGAGGCGGCCACTCACCAACATCAACCAACACCACAGATAGGATCAAGAATTCAGCTATGAACCTGCTGGATGACACGCACTATCATCCAGACTGTTTCCAGGTCTTTCTTGATGTGAGTGCTAAATTTGGTTAAAGGTCACATGTCAAAGTGCCGACAAGCAGGTATTCTCCAGCAGAGATGAAGCAGCCACATCGCCTTGTCTCTTCCTTTTGAACCTGCAAGAAGGAAACGGCCGCAGTTGAACCAGGTATCCTTGCTTGATGGGTCATTTGGCGCACAGACGGCTCTCAGCAGTCATAGACTAAATTCAATTTTGATCCGGCAACCAGGTCTACCAAACAAGAGGGAGAGGCGGCCACTCACCAACATCAACCAACACCACAGATAGGATCAAGAATTAAGCTATGAACCTGCTGGATGACATGCACTATCATCCAGACTATTTCCAGGGCCATTTTGACGCAAGTGCTGGGTCCTGTGTGTTGTCTTTCATCCAGATTCTGCAACTTTTACTCATTTGATGGGAGTCATTTGTCACTTGTTTTGACTCCCGTTCATGGCCCTTCTCTTCTTGTTCTTCTTTGAGGCCACGGCAAGCAGTCACTTGATTTGCAAAAGTTCATTTACTTGCTCACGATGTTTGAACTTGCCTTGCTCAAGCATTGGCGCACGACCATGTCCATGGTTTGAAGAGCCAAAACATAACACTGGAGTCTCTACCGGTGAAGACGGAGCAGACAATTTGGTGGGGCAAATGTTTCATGGAAACAGAGGAAACAAACGACATAGACGGCATCGGATGGGAGGTCCCTGATGCATCCTCATACCTTGACATAGCTGCAACCCACCAGCATTTCAATGGAGGCAACCTTTTATTGACAGTGGGATAGAAGCGAGGCTTCTTCATCGATACTCTTTCCTAGTCCGGCACACTTGCACACTGACAATGGCTCCGGCGCCAGCTTCACAGCAGTCGTTACCCCAGGTTCAGCCTAGATCGCCGTTCAAGAAACCTGTTGGATTTCAGAGCACTTAAAGTCCAAGTATTGCAGCCTTGGTGCAAAGGTCTCGAGAGGACATGAAGTTCTCTGAACCATGGCGAGGATGGATGCAGACAGCCTGACTGGAGATCTTCAAGTTGGTTTGCACTCAAGACAGTCTAAAGTTATTGGAATTCACTCCAAGTCACATGGGGCACGTTCCAGGAAAAGGAACTGCTCCTGCACATGTCAGCCGGGACTGGGTTGCACCATTGAGACCTGGTCGAGACCTTAGCCGTTTGTGGAGCTGTGGCACGCAAGTTCAGTAGAGCCAATGAACAGTTTTGTTTGATTTTCTTTGATAGTAGGCTGTAGCCGCTGTAGTACGGCCTTGGAACATTTGGTGATTTTTGGTGTGAATCCAGGTGGATCCATCAATGTCCCATGGCAGGTTCCCGTCCAACCTCTTCGGTGATGGCAGGCTCGCCTGAGAAGTGTTTCTCCAGGTCCAGGGCCTGTGGTGCCATGTCGCATTGCGCTTCAGGTTCCAGGCCACCTTCAAGTCGATTGACTCCTTTGGAACGTGCAGGTGGGACTCAAAGTGCAGGTTTGCTTTCAATAGGTTTGCATTTCTTTTACTAGTATGCGGTATGCGTTCCAAATGCTTTCAAATGCCTGGACCCATTTGGACCGTTGGCTCCCGTGGAGAGAGTTGCAATGAGCGAAGTTGACGGGTTGACGGTGTGAGATCTCAAGGATTTTCGAGACCAAGTCTAAGCAGTGAGCAGAGCAGCCCTCGCGAGTTGTGTGGGCACCAAGATGAGGCTTTGCCGCTCCCCAAGAGCCAAAACCATACAGGGATGTAATTTTGGATGTACAGGATATTTTATGAAATTTTCATGTATTTTCAAATCTTCTGTTTCAACGAGTAGCCTGACGGAGTAATTCAGACGAATAGATCGAATAGCAATTTGTCAGTTTCTTTTTGCCTCGAGATCCTCGAGTATGGGTCCTTTGTTCCACACGGTGCGCAGCGGCCTAGTGGCCTGGCTGAGGAGTTGGCTTCCGCCACTTGGCATGTTTGGCGCTCAGACGGCAACTGCCGCGCGGGGCGGAAGGAGTTTTAACATGTTTTCAATGGAATGCGTAAGGGAAAACCGTGGAAAACCATGAGCAACCTGAGCCTTGCAACATCTTGCAGCAAGATGATGGGTCCTAAGGTCTACATCGCTTTTTGTTTGTTTGTTCGTGTTCCCATGTTGTAGGCAATGTGGCGAGTACTTTTGTGTTTTGCAATTCTTTTACTGCATGCTTTAGACGAGTCAGGCCACTGCAAGGCTGCCGCTCATCACCATCACTCAGAGGTTCGCCGTGACATTGCATTGCTTTGCTGGATAGGCATTTTATATTGCTTCTGCATGCTTCTGCGCTGTTTGGGATTTCTATGCCTTTGCGTCTCCATGGTATGTTCCAATGTCATTCTCCCGAGCCTTTGAGCTGTCCGCAATGTGTCACGCCATGGCCAGTGTTCGGCTGCAAGCAGTTAGAAAAACCGCACCTTCCATTCAGCAGAGGAGACTTTAGCAGAAACAGCACTTACTTGACCATCTGACCATCATGGTCTGCAGTCCATGAACACGAAATTGTGTTTGACAAGCCAGCCCATAATATAGATTCGAGACAGTCACACCAAAAGTGAATGAACCACCTTTGCAAGGAGATGCAAGGAGAAAGTACCACAAAAGGATTGCTGCAGATTGCTGCAGATGTTCCTCTTCTTTTAGGGACAACACAACATTTGCATTTCTGCCCAGAAATGGGGAAGCAAAAAAGACCTGCTTCTGCAGTGCTGGAATCGCCGAAGATAAAGACCCATGCGAAAGAAGCAACGGGGATTGATACGCAGCCTTTGAAGGTGGCAGGTCAGCACCTTACCCGACAAGTGGAGCAAGGGCGGCTGCCCGGATACATGAGCTATGTCTTGAAGGTGGGATGGGATGGGGTCTTGGCATGTCTTGGCTGGACATGGAATTGTACAAACGCGACAGCTTTGAACCGTCGATCCAGGGAGGAGCTCCGGCTTCATCAGTTGAATTTGTGCAGCCATCTTTCATGCTCCAACTTCTAGGATACTGGAACATGATGGAACATGATGGAACATGCACTGCTTTCGCGCTAGGACGGCCAGACGATGCATTTTGAGGCCTTTGGGCATGCAGACTTAGCCGCTGGACAAATGATGCGATTGGAGACACTGTTTCGCCTGTACTCTCAGACGAGACTTGGCAGATCCGAGAAACTCAGGACGGAGACTTCAAACATGGCCTGTTGGGAGCTGACTCCCCTCCAGAGCATTTCAGTGTTTCTGTAACAGATCCACGGTGTGAACCCTGGATAAGCCTGGTCCTTTATGTGTTGTCAGGAAACCCTTCCTTGTGGTCGGCTTTTTGATCCTGTACGAACGTGGGATTGTGGACCTGCATGATCCAATTTCGAAATTTCTGCCGGAGTTTGAAGCTGCAGTAGTCGGTCCGAAGAGGTGCGACTGCGGTGCCGTTCTGTGCTATGCAATCGGATCTGGCTTGTGCGATTGACAGTTTTGGTGACTCGTTAGCTCCAGAAATCAGGAGCTTGACAGACTCAATCTTAAACCTCCTGTTTTGCTCATGATTTCTATTTAAAGATATTTAAAGATAAACTAATCACTGCAGTGTGTGTTTGAGCATTTTGAAGCTTCCTGGGGGGTAGGCTTCCGTTGCTGCGGCCGATCTCGGTGCACGACCTGCTGGCGCACACCAGTGGTATCGGCTTCGGGCCTGGCTTTGGCTATGACCCCGAGAACGCCTATGAGAGCAGCTACGTGCCACTGGTGCGGAAGGTCGACCTGGGAGAAATCCAATCCCTGGCAGAATGGTGTCAAGAGCTGGCAAAGGTACCCTTGAGGCGGGAAGCGAACATGGGGGACCCATGGATAAAACCCATGGGGGACCCATGGGGGACCCAGATCATGAGAAAATCCTTCTGAAAAACTGATGGTGCCTGTGATGCAAAATGGTGCCTGTGATTCGAGTAATTCGAGGCATGATCAACACTGCAGCCTTTGAAGTGGTTGTGTAAACGGATGGACTCTGGGAAACAGACACAACGGATGTCGTGCAGTGCGTGCAGGTTTCAGCCCGGCAAAGACTGGGGTTATGGCTACAGCTCCGATGTCCTCGGCAGACTTCTTGACTCGTTTCTGCAGTCAGAGAGTGAATGTTTGCAAAGAACTGTGGGCTAATTACGCTATGAGTGATCCAGGGACTGCAGAAAACATGCAGAATACATTACATTGATATATATATATAATATATGTTAGAATGTAACATTGGTCCCAACATGCATACCATGTCTCACATGTGGCTTACAGGCCTTGAGCCATTGCCCAACAGTGCAAAAGGCAACAGTGCGCACAGCTCCGGCATCAACAGTTCATACAACAGTCGACTGCCATTTTACATGGTAGCGGAGCAGTGATCCTGGAAGCATCCAGGTGAGCTCCAACAGGCAGAGGGCTTGATCCCAGAACACTGGGGGACTCTCAACAACAGCTGGAGCAACAAAGGGTAGCAGCCCAACACACCACCACTGCAACGACAAGGAAAGGAAACAAACACAACAACAAAGCGCACAGGAAGAGGGCTTGATCCCAACTACACAGTGTGGGGGACTCTCAACAACAAGGATGGCAACGGCATATGAGATAGGATCGCCAACAGCAGGAGAAGCACAAGCAGAAGCCCTAGCATCAACACACAGGCTGAAGTTGAAACCTCCAACATACGATGGAAACTATGCAACATGTGAGGAATGGAAGTACAAGTTCTCAGCGTACATGGGCCTACAAGACAACATCTTTCCACAACTGCTATCAAGAGCAGAACGAGCAGCAACAGTGCTCACAGATGCAGAGCTGCTTGGTGCAGCAACAACAATAGAGGAAGGAGAGAAGTGGACACAACTGTGTAACAACCTCAAGTACATCCTCATCAACATCACAAGCGGCCCAGCAGCAACAATATGCAGACAATACCAAGACGCAATGGGCTTGGAAGTCTACAGGCAACTTTGCAACAGGTTTGCAATACCTGTTGGAACAAGAAGCATAGGCTACCTCACAAAACTACTCAAACCCAAGTTCGACACCAACAACTTTGAGGAGTCCTTCTCAACATGGGAATTTGAGCTTGCACGTTACGAGCGTGACAACAATGCACAACTACCAGACCAAGTGAAGATAGCAGTTCTCATGAATGAGACAACAGGACCACTCCAACAACACTTACACCTCAATGCCAGTGCAACACCAACATATGCTGAGGTGAGGACGACAATCATGGAGTACTACAGGACCACCACGGCGTTCTCAAGACTTCAACAACAGTCGTCTTCAGCAGTCAGCAGCAATCTAAGAGGAGGCCCAGCTCCAATGGACATTGGAGCAACATACAAAGGCAAAGGAAAAGGAAAAGGAAAGAACAAAGGAAAAGGATTCAACAAAGGAGGTCACAAAGGAAGAGGATACCAACAAGGAAAGGGCTACGGCGGCTACGGCAGTTATAACAAAGGAAAAGGCAAAGGAAAACAACAGCAATGGTATCAGCCAAAAGGAGTAGAGAAAGGCAGCAAAGGAAAGTCGAAAGGAATTCCCAACAAAGGAAAAGGAAAGAATCCAACAGCAATATGCTACAGATGTGGTCAACAGGGCCACTTGGCAAAGGATTGCCGAACAGCGGTGTACAACATGACAGAGACACCGCAGGAACAGAACCAGGATGGAACATCCCAATGGTATGACCCAAACAGTGGGTACGACAACTGCTGGTACAGCAACGACCAGTCAGGCAACTACAATATCCAGCCAGTCCAACAACAACAACAACTAGCTTTGCCAGCGCCACAAACCAACACGCAGACACCAACAATACAACTTGTGGGAGCACTGGGCCATCAGGCAGCAAGTGCCCACAATGAAGCAACCACCACAGCCCACGCAGTGCAGCAGCAGAGAGGAGACAACGAGGTGGACATTATGATCGACAGTGGAGCAGCAACACACGTTTGCCCAACATGGTTTGCACCAGACACACCACTGTACTCACTACAACATGGACAAGGACCTAGGTTGAGGACAGCAACAGATGAGGATATCCCAGTGCATGGCTACAAATGGGTGTACATGCACAACACCAACAAGCAAACAATAGTTGTTCCCTTCTATGTGTGTGATGTGACGCAACCCATCATGTCAGTAACAAGACTGGCAGAACAAGGGTTCAACACACAACTCAACGAAACACCAACAATCACACACACCAAGGGATTCAACTCAGCACTCAAACAACGAGAAGGCCTATACTTCTTGCCAGTTGTGCTGATCACACTTCCAGCCAACTTGAGACTTGAAGTCAGCCAGACAGCAGAAGGAACAACAGCAAAAATAGCACCAGTCACACTGACACCAACAGGCATGGAAATCCTTCGCAACAAGAATGACCTATGGACGTTCAACAGCCAAGGTTTCTTGGTAAGAGTCCACAGGACAACACGCAAGGCATTGTTCATGCCAGACAGTAGATGTCCAGTTCCAACAGAAAGGTTGGAGAACTACAGAAGAACAATCATACAAAGACCGAACAACAACACAGAGGTCATCGAAGAAGCATACCAAGACCTCGACAAGAAGCAACAGAAGAGGATCATACAAGGAAACAACTGGACAGGAGAAACATGGTTCAAAGTGAAACGTGGAACAGTACTTGCAGGCAACATACCACCACAACCAGCACTTCCACCAGCCAAAGAGCCAGCGACACCATCTCAACAAACCACAGCCGACCAACCACAAGCACCAATGTATCGACACAACGTGAAGAAGCCTCTCACAGAGGTAAGGCCAACAGACCAAGCAATGACCGCAACGCAGCCATATCAAACAGCAATTCCACATCCAAAGGAAGTCAGTCCAACACAGGACTATTGGATCAAAGAAGGTCCATATTGGAAACGTGTGCATGTTCAACCAAAAAGAGACATGTACATTCCACAACAAACAGATGATGGACCAGATGTGACAAGACTGACAACATGGAGACAAACAATGGTGAGGCCCACAAGTGGCAACAGAGGATATAGAATAGATGATGACTAGACGACAAAGAGGAGAGCAACACTCGACATAGAGTGGACAGGCTCAACAAATTTTGAAGAAAACGCAGCGTACAAAGATGAGTTCATCACAGATGAGCCAGAGGAGCAACAAGAAGCCAAGAGAGCAAAAGGAGTGCCAACACCACAACAACCAACAGAACAAGAAAGAAGAGAACACGAGCTCACACACCTTCCCTACAGAAGCTGGTGTCCAACATGTGTACAAAGCAAAGGAAGACAGGACAACCATCCAAAGCAAACAAGCAAAACACCAGTGATCCAAGTGGATCTGATGTACTACAAAGCATTAGGAGAAAAGCAAACAACATCAGTCCTTACAGCAGTGGACGTTGAAACAGGCATGTGTATGGCAGTCCAACTTGAGGACAAGACGCAGCACGTACAATACCTGTCAGTTTGCCTTCAACAATTCCTGATGGAATGTGGCAGAACACATGCAATTCTCAACAACACCGTTCTTCAATCAGACCAGGAAGACTTTATCATCTCCTTGCTCAAGATGGTGTCAACAGCCATGGGTAGCAACATAGCAGTCAGGCAAGCACCAGCCTACACATCACAAGCACAAGGAAGCGTTGAACGTTTCCACAGAACACTGATTGGCCAAGTTAGAGCCCTCAAACTCCAACTGGAGACCAACTATGGCATCAAGCTCAACAGCAAGCATCCCATCATGCCGTGGCTTGTCAAACACGCAGCATACCTGCTCAACAGGTATTCCATTCACTCAGATGGAAACACAAGCTACTATAGACGATGGGGCAAAGAACACAAAACACCAATATGTGAATTTGGTGAAACAGTTCTCTACATGCTACCAACAGCAAAGCAGATGCCAAAGATGGAAGCAAAGTTCTACCCAGCCATCTGGCTAGGTAAGGACAACTCAACAAACGAGAACATACTTGGCATCAGCAACAAAGTGGTCAAAGCAAGGACCATTCGAAGACAAATCAAGCCAGACAAGTACAACAAGCAGTTGATGGACATCATCAACTCTTCGCCAGCCATGATACCACCAACAACACCAAGCATTGTGGTACTACCACAACCTGCTGCAGCAAAGCAGCAGACAACAACAAGCACACAGACTCAGCAGAGTCCACAACCAAAAGCCATGGTACAACCACACGCTACACCACCACCAGCACTTACGGACCTTCCAATGGCAACAGCGCCAGCAACACAGCAAGCAAAGCAAGCACTTCCAATGCCAACACAAAGCAAAAGAGAAGTAACAGATGAGATTACACAAGGCAGCTCACCAAAGCAAGCAAGGACAACAGAAAGAGCCACAGCAGCCAGCCGACCTGACACAGCTCAGGAGCCACCAACAACAAGGATGAGGATATCACAAGTCACAGTCACAACGAGGAAAGGACAGAAGATAGAAGCAACCTCCAACGAAGATGAACAGGAGATACAAGCTGAAAAGATTCTCCTGGAACCTTGGGTGAGCAACACCGAAGGTTTAGAAAAAGAACAAACAACGGAAGGAATGAAGCAAGAAATCAAGTCAATGAAGGAACAAGGAGTGTACACAGAGGTACACATAAGCCAACTTACACCAGAACAACGCAAGAAGATCATCAAATCAAGATGGGTTCTTCGACAGAAAGGCAACACAGTTCGAGCACGAATTGTAGCAAAGGGCTACACTGAGGAGATCAACGACAACGACGACATCTTTGCATCAACACCAATCTTCTGCGTGCTAAGGATGCTACTTGTCTTAGCACTTTGCAACAACTGGATTTGTCTCACAGGAGACATCTCAACAGCCTTTCTACATGCCGCAGCAGCAACAGCAGATCTTTTCATGTATCCACCAGCAGAGTTCTACAACGCCTTCGACCAGATCGTTTGGAGACTCAACAAAGCCATCTATGGCTTACGCAGCAGCCCAAAAGCATGGCAAAATCACCTAGCAGAGGTGATGCAACAACTTGGACTACGACGACTTGTCAGCGAGCCCAACGTTTACGCAACACCTGGAGGAGATGCATACATACTATGCTACGTCGACGACCTGCTCTTCATTGGACAACAGGAGACGGTTCACAAGCTGTTCAAAAGCATTCAGCAACACCTTCTACTCCGTCCAACAGGAGAACTCACAGTCGGCAACACCATCAGCTTTCTGGGTAGAAACATCTGCAACAAAGGTGACTACTACGAGATCAGCTTAGCAGACAGCTACACAACACAGCTGCTAGAAGAAGCCAGCATGCTCAACTGCAACTCAACACCAGCACCAGGCAACAATACTCTGAAAGCAACATCAGAGATGGAACAAGAACTCAACAAAGAAGAACATGCAGCCTACCGAAGAATGGTTGGCAAGCTACAATGGATGACCTACACAAGGCCAGACATTGGCTTTGCAACAAAGGAGCTTGCAAGAGCTCTGACACAACCAACAACAGCAGACCAGCAGAAACTGAAACACTTGCTCAAGTACATCAAGGGAACACAACACTACAAACAATACATAAGACCAACAACCAAGACACCAACAGCTGAAGCAGTACCAGACATCCAAGTCTTTGTCGACAGCGACTGGGCAGGATGTGCAACAACGAGGAAGTCAACAACAGGATTTCTGATCAAAGTCTTTGGAGCAACAATCCACTATGGAAGCAGGACGCAGGCAACAATCGCGCTGAGCAGCGCGGAAGCAGAACTCTACGCGATCAACACAGGAGCAACAGAAGCACTCCACATCAGCAATTTCCTGAAGGAAGCTCTCAACATGAAGAAGATCAACATCCGCATACACACCGACTCATCAAGCGGAAAGAGCATGGCAACCAGGATTGGAGCATCAAAGAAAGCCAAACATATCGAGCTCAAGCACCTTTTCATACAACAACTGGTCGCACACGATCTTGTGAGGATTGTCAAGATCAACACGACCAATAACCCGGCCGACATTTTCACCAAGTACGTCGCGACAGAGACGCTTTTGCGTCACATCAGTGATGTTGGCATCAGCACCCAGCGTCACTGAGCAAACAACAACAAGCAACAACAACAGTTTCACTGCAGCATGCGTGTTCATGTGCGAGCGCGTGCACAACGTGCGAACATCGTGCGTGGCATGCACACACAGACATACAGATCCAGAGAGCCATGGTGCTGACAAAGGTCAGCAACATCCTCTATTTCACCTACATCCTCGTAACATGAAGTATCACTACATGATCAACTATGTCATATACTTCTTCAACATGATGTGCACTACATGATTGTGGACGTATTTGGCAACATGATCACGTTTGACAACATGTCGACTTTCGAGTACAGTGTTTCAACAGTTTTCTTGAATTCAACATGTTTTGCATCTGAGTTGACAACAAGTTTATTGATCAAAGCCGTTTGGTTCAACAAGACCTCGAGCTTCAACATCGTTGAAACCTACGGCAACAATGTCCCTAGTCAACAATGCGTTGACAACTCCACCTGTGAACAGGTCCCCACACAAGGTGACCTTGGGCAGCATTGGCCTGACAACAAGGGCCATTCAGATGAGCGCGACCAACAACCCTGAAGGCCTCAACCCGGATGCCTTCAACATGATGATGGAGAATAACAGTTTGGAAGCATGGTGGATCTGCCTTCCAACAGAGATCCATCAGTCAGCGCTGTGCCCAACAACGAACCGACTCTTGGGGATTAGTGGCAACATCCTCATGCCAGAGTTTGACAAAGCCATCTGGTCAACAGACCCAGGTGCCGCGGTCACAACATGTGCCTATCATGCAACAGAGTTGCATTTGGAGTCAGCAAATCACCACACGTGGATGTTGACATGTGTGGTTGTCAACAAGCTGAAACAACTCCAACGCCTGGGCAACAATACGGTCAACATCTTTAACCGTGGCTACGTTCGACCTCAATTACAGATCCAGGCAGGCAACGTCATGCGGTTCACAGTTGATGAACAGGTATCAACACAGATCTGGGAAGTCACCTCGTCAAGGGACAACACTGTCCTTCATCAGGTGACAACAGAGCTGTCTTGGTCCAACAACTACATGTGGACCTACAACTACGTGTTTCCAACATCGTTGATCTCTGCTGAGAACAACGATCATTTCATCTGTTTTCTCCAATCTTTGGAATACTCTGGGGCAACAGTGCTCCAACAACTGTCCACTGATGAGACAGTTCGCCTATGGGGATTGCTGTCAACACCTCAGAATTGGCGTCATCTCCAACAAATCTCCATGGGAGGCAACAAGACTATGGAGAGATTGAGGGGCAACGCCAGAGTGATCGAATGGATCACAGCCAACACCAACATGGAACAGTTCGTTGCGAAGTACAACCAGTATCGCAACAGTTCCAACCCAGAGAACAGAGAAGATGATGAGGACATGCCTCACAACATCGAGGACAGCGTGGAGGCACGGGATGGCTGAACAATTCAGCAACAAAGGGTGAAACTGCAACATCCTGGAGTCAACACTCCAAACCAACAGAGATGATGGCGACGTCAACATGGAGTGCAGCTGACAACATTAGTTTCCGATGAATAGATGTACACTATCTCAATAGACAACATCTTTCTTCAACAACTGATGAATGTAAAGTGTACAGTGTCAACATTCTTAGATTCGCCATGCAGGCAACAATAGCCAACATGTCGAGGGGGCGTGTTAGAATGTAACATTGGTCCCAACATGCATACCATGTCTCACATGTGGCTTACAGGCCTTGAGCCATTGCCCAACAGTGCAAAAGGCAACAGTGCGCACAGCTCCGGCATCAACAGTTCATACAACAGTCGACTGCCATTTTACAATATATATATATATATTGATTGATGGCATTGATATTATTGGTGTTGAAATCTTGGAACAAGCTGTAGATTACCCTCAGGAATCGAGTAGTTTGTGCTGGTTTATTGCGTAGTTTGATCATGGATCATATCCTGGGGCGAGTCATGTTTTCCTCATCGAGGTGCGCAATTTGGAGTCGCTCCAAGCATACCCATGTCATCCCAAGGCATTAGATTTTCCAAAGCGGCCTGCTATATGTAGTCCACACAGTCACGTGCGGCATGGCATAGCATGGTGCCAAAGCAGCAGAGTGTTCAAGATTGGGCATGCTCTCAGATAGCAGGACCAAATTACACAAACCGTTTCTCAATTTGAAGTAGCTTGAAGTAGCTGTGTTTTGAGATGTTTTGAGACAAAGCCGATGGTGTTTTCAAGGTGCTTCCTATTCTCTTTCTGAAGATTAGTCGGATTCCTGTACAGTAGCAATTCACCTTACACTTGCAAAGACACATTCGCTTCAGTCATTCCGGTTCGGTTTGCTCAGGAAGTGGCAGCTGGACAGCCTTTGGAGCAGTTTCTTTGCAATGAGATCTTGTCACCGCTGAATTTGAGTGAGACCTTTTTTCAGGTGCCAAAGAATCGAGCAGGTGCTTTAGCAGCGCTCTACAAGAGAGAACCCTGGCATGGAAACAGTTCCTCGTCCTACGCAGTACTGCAATATACTGGAATATTATGATATATTACAGTATATCTATATATATATATTGTATTATATATATAATACAATATATATATACACATCATATATATATACACATCATATATATATATATATACACATCATATATATATACACATCATATATATATATATACGTATACATCATATACATATATATATACACATCGTATATATATACACACATCATATATATATATATATATATACATATATATATATATACACATAATATAATACTGCATTTGTTTTTTTTAATTTTCTCCACTGCTACTTGGTAGCTGTTGGTCCCCCGCCACTGGTCATGGAGAGTGGTTCTGGTGGTGTGTTGGTCATACTGCTACCCTTGTCGTTGCTCTTGCTTTTATACATGCCGCAGGCTCGGACGGGCCAGATAGGAATAGGATAGGATGGCTTCAACATCCCGAATCCTTCAGGCTGCTCTCACTTGATGTGTATATAACCCACAAGAAGTCAGCGGTGGGATTGGCTGGACGTTGCATTTCAGGATGATTTGGCATAGTCTGGGCTTGGTTTTGCAGAGGCTTTCCATGGTCGGCATGTAAATCCCATTTCCATGAAGCATATACAAGGCAAACGTGTACACTTTGTGACAGCGGATGTGGGTGGCAGCGGCGTACTGGAGAGTACACATCAGCGTGTCCTTGCAAAACCTAAAATCGACCCGTCTTCGGTCCTGGCTTCAGAAAATTCAGTCTTCCTGGAAGGGCAGGCCATTACCAAGCAGGCACGTCCAAAGTGGATGCTTTTTTGCCTGGTGCTGTGAGACCTGGTTGTGTTGTGGAGTTTTAGGCGCCAACATCATGCTGTGAACTTTGAAAAACTGGCTCAACATGGCTCAACCTCCTTCGTCTTCGTAGGTCACACAGGGTGGAGGCTGTGTTTGTAGCGTCGCTGGTGGTTTGGCTGCTTGACTGCACTGGGCCCATCAGGTCAACTGTGTTGGTTCGTGGCAGGGCTTTCGGAGCGCCTGCGCATCACACGGATGCGATCTAATTGCTGCTGTGTAGCAGGAGGATGCAAACCTTCTTCTTCTTCTTCTTCCAATTGATTTTGGTGGTATAAATTTGAGTGAATATGGTCCAATATGTATAGAATATTGTATAAATTACAAGTAAACAGAAAGAACAACCTTTGGAACAATGCTCTGTGCGGCTCAGACAGGTTCCTTACTTTTTGGGTATGACCAATCACAATCAAAGAAACCCAAGATTCGTCAACCAGCAAAAATGGACTCTGGCTTGCAGGCTTCTGGGCGAGGTCCATTTTGAAGATCATTGGTAGCTGTGATGTTTCAGCCGAGGTTAGCAGCCTTAGTGACTGCGGCCGCTTCTTCACCATGCTGGTGAACGAGGGCGAAGTGAATGGCCTTCGACTCCTTTCCGAGCAGAGTGTCCAGCTGCTGCGAAGAGATTGGCTCAATGACTTTACCAGAGAGAAACGCAGGCGTGTCACTGTACCGGCTCGGATTAGCTTGGGCTGCCCTAAGTGAACAAAGTGGTTATGGCCGCGATGATGGAGAATGATCATCACAATGCTGATAAAAAAATCCATATACATATACAAACATATACATGTTTATACATGTTTATATTGCATTATATGTGCAATGAGACACAATCTAACTTGGCAGGACAGGGTTGTGTTCTCACTTGCGACCAGGCAACCGCTGTGGGTTTGGAATGCGCCGGGCATTGGCTTCTCACCTTTGGGTCAGTTGGGCGTCCCTGTGCCGAAAGGTACCAATGCAGTACCCCGGCACATGCCAGGGGCGCGGCTTGGTGCTGTGCACTGGGGTGGAGCTGGCGGTTCTGGATACATGCTGACACTTGGATACACTTGGTCCATTGGTCGTTGAATGTCGTTGATGTCATTGGGCCAATGACAGGATATGACAGGGATATTGACTGCCACTGAAAAGCTGCAGTCTGAAGGCAGGAATGTGATATGAATGTGATATGTTTATGTTTGATTCATATATGTTCATATATTTTCATTGGGTCATATGCAAGGGAAAACTGGACACCTATATAAGTGTCGGAATGAGATACTGTAGATGTTCAAAAGGCATACAGACATTGTTTGAAGCCTCGTTGCTTGTTTCACACTTTAAGCCCATTCGTCCTTGGCTTTCTTTACCTGATGACTTGGGAGAAGTCTGTAAGCATGCCAAGGGACTGGGAGCATCGCTTGGTGGTCCTTACCTACACTGGTTGTGTCTTTGACACGAGCACACAGAAGGCAGGGGTTGTACAAGGCCTTGTAGAAGGCAATTTGGGCGATTATCTTGCTTCATCTTATTCATGATGTTGAGAAGTTACTACCCCATATCTTGGTGCGTGTAACAGGCTGTCTCAACTGGACACAGGCTTCTAGCACAGGTGATGGAGGACAAGAACTGGACAGAACGGATCATAGCCAGGATCAGGGTCAATGACTTCGAATGTTCGTGCTAAACAGGACATTGAACAAGGATGCTTATGCCTCACTCAGTCTGCGAGCAGTCTTTTTTCGAGGCCATGTGGCGCGCTGCCTATGGCACACTACGAAAGCAGCGGGCGACGGGGGCTGCACCCCAGCAACCTTGAGCTTTGAACCTCGAAGTGACAGAGCCAACGACCGCACCATCCAGAGTTCTTTGTGACATGTGTAGTTCATGTGTTTCATACGGTGTTTCATACAATCATCCGTGTGGAACATAGCCTACTTGTACCTGAATTCTATACACCATATGAATCCATATGACGCAATCCTGATCTAGGATTTTTCATCCATTGTTCAAACGTTTGTTGAACCAAATATTGATCAACAGGGCTTGGTCTCAGATCACTCGTGGCATTTTTTAAACCGAAGAAGAGCAGCAGCATTTGCCGTTGCCAGCGTTGTCTAGAAGATCTCCGAAGCAAAGAACTTCCAGATCTACACTGATCTACTTTTAAGATCTTTCAAGGGGTGTTCTTGCCTGATGTGTTTTAGTGACACGGTCTGGGCCTAAAGAGGCGCAAGCCATGGGAAGGGCAATCTTTTTTGGGCAGATGATTGTCCTTTGTATGCAGGCGTAGCAGTGCTTGGGTTGAAAAAGAAAGCATTGCTATGGATTTAGTGGCAGATTGATCAGCTGTTGACTAGATTCTGACTAGATATATAAATGGAATACCCCAAAAAAATCCCACTCCATTATCAGGACCCCCAGGGGTTCGCCAAAACCATTTTTTTGGACAGCCTAAGTGCCTGCAAGGATATGCTCAATGCAGGTTCCTGATTTTGGAGAGGGGACCTTTTGTAGCTGGATGAAACTGTAGGTTCCTCATTCTGCAGAGGTTTTGGGGTTTGTCAACATTCATGAGCATAAATATACGTATACAAATTATATTGATTTTACAAAATCTGGAAATGTGGAACAGGAATTGCCTCTACAAAATGGATTTTTGTACATTTCAGGGTTTTCAGGTGAGACGGGGAGACCAAGGTTCTTTCACATCATCCCTCTACAAAATGGATCTTTGTATTTTTGACGGTTTTCTTTCTTCCAAGTAGCAATTCTGCTTAAATTTTTGCTCATGCCAGGTTCCCCACTCTGTAGGGGCCAGTGTTTCTGAAAATCATAAGAGTGCACCAAAAAACAGGGGGTTGGGTGCCCTGATTTTGTAGAGAAAACCCCTAGATTTGTGGCAGGTTCCTCATTCTGTAGAGGTCCGTCAAGCCATTTTTTTGACAGCCTAAGTGCCTGCAAGGGTGTGCAAGGACAGGTTCCTGATTTTGTAGTGGGAGCATTTTGATGCATGTTGTAGATGGCTGAAACTGTAGGTTCCTCATTCTGTAGAGGTTTTGGGGTTTGTCAACATTCATGAGCATAAATATTGACAAATTATATTGATTTTACAAAATCTGGAATGTGGAACAGAATTTTTGTACATGTCAAAGTTTTCAGGTGAGACGGGGAGACCAAGGTTCTTTCACATCATCCCTCTACAAAATGGATCTTTGTATTTTTGACGGTTTTCTTTCTTCCAAGTAGCAATTCTGCTTAAATGTTTGCTCATGCCAGGCTTCCCATTTTGTAGAGGCCAGTGGTTGTGAAAATCACAAACGTGCACCAAAAAAAAGGGGTTGGGCACCCTGATTTTGTAGAGAAAACCCCTTGCTAGATTTGTGGCAGGTTCCTCATTACGTAGAGGTCTGGGGCCCCAAAAGTCAGATTTGGCTCTACAAAATGGGGACACCCAAACCCCCCAGGTCATTTTTTGGGGGTATTAAATGGAGATATATAGAGACTACAGCCATCTATAGTCATCTATGGTCATCGTCATCCCTAGTCCTCTGTGGTCAGAAACGGCAGTTTCGATGGCAAACCACCTTGGCCATCAGGCCGTTGGAGAAGTTTAGAGCATGGAGTCTCAGGGAGGACAACTCACAGACCTGGCATGTTTGGTTTGTTGATGTTCCCATCCCAGTTCCGGTTCAAGGATGTTCAAGGTATATATATATATGTTATAATATATATATAATGTATATATATATATAATATAATATATAATATAATATAATATAATATAATATATAATATAATATAATATAATATAATATATATAAATATAATATAATATAATATAATATGATATGATATGATATAATATAATATGATATGATATAGAATTCTATAGATATACATTTTTGCAACCGATATGGGTGCACTTTGCGATGCATGACATCTGACGTCGGAGATATCATCCTCGTCTTTGTGTGAATCGGTGTGCACGATGTTGTTTGCATTCGTCGGCCGACCTTTCCCATTATTACTTGGAATTTTTAGTTTGAAGTAAACTCATTAAGAATACAGGAAATCATGACAGAATAATAAAGAAGAGGTCTATTATTTGCAGTTGGCCTGAAACTGTGCCGAATCCACCAATCCTCCAGGCAATTCTTCAGATGGAACGTCATAAGACTTCATTTCTGTCCAGTTCGATTGCACGTTGGTGTCAGTCTTAAAATGACTTGAAGACAGATGGATTGAGCCTTTGTATTGCTCACCAGGTCCTTGCAAATTCCAAAGACGTTCGGATACCCAGAGCTAGGACGACGTTCCAACCAACAACTATGCATGGATATGCATGGTATCTATTGTATGATATTGTATGTAGATGAATGAAGACACACAGCCACACGGAGGACAAACATCGACAAGGCTGCATGCTCGTTTCCCTATAGATATGCAGTCACTTTTTGTTGTTATCAAACGGCTAATGTTCAGATCAGATCAGATCAGATTTTCACATGCTTCCTTTTTTCATCCTTTTTCCATTTGCAATGCCATGCCTGACTAGGGCAATTGAAGAATCGGATCAAATTGCCAGGCTCTGTGAAATGTTTGTAGCTCCAGTCTCCAGCTGGTGTCGTACTCTACTTCCATCTACTAGTGAGGTGTTCACCTGAGTACATGATTGTAGGGATAACATCACCTCTTCCCAAGGTGCAGCGAGAACTCCTGGGGAGGCTCTGAGGCTCCGTCGGCAAAGAAGTCTGTCATCTCAACAGGCCCCTTGGAGATGATCTTGAAATGGGAGATATCGGGAGAGCTCCACGGGAAGCCTCAACGAACATCAACGAACATCAACGAACATCAACGAACATCAACGAACATCAACGAACATCAACGAACATCAACGAACATCAACGAACATCAACGAACGTCAACGAACGTCAACGAACGTCAACGAACGTCAACGAACGTCAACGAATGTCAACGAACGTCAACGAACCTCAACGAACGTCAACGAACGTCAACGAACGTCAACGAACGTCAATGAACGTCAACGAACGTCAACGAACGTCAACGAACGTCAAAGAACATCAAAGAACATCAAAGAACATCAACGAACATCAACGAACATCAACGAACATCAACGAACATCAACGAACATCAACGAACATCAACGAACATCAACGAACATCAACGAACATCAAAGAACGTCAACGAACGTCAACGAACATCAACGAACATCAACGAACATCAACGAACATCAACGAACATCAACGAACATCAACGAACATCAACGAACATCAAAGAACATCAAAGAACATCAACGAACATCAAAGAACATCAACGAACATCAAAGAACATCAACGAACGTCAAAGAGCCTCAAAGAACATCAAAGAACATCAAAGAACATCAAAGAACATAAACGAACATCAACGAACATGAACGAACATCAACTAACATCAACGAACATCAAAGAACATCAACGAACATCAAAGAACATCAAAGAACATCACAGAACATCAAAGAACATCAAAGAACGTCAAAGAACGTCAAAGAATGTCAAATAACGTCAAAAAACGTCAAAGAACGTCAAATAACGTCAAAGAACGCCAAAGAACATCAAAGAACATCACGAACCAGGGTAACCACCTTTCTGTCTCTGAGTATGACATAGTGTGACACCTCCACATAGAGGTGGGGAGAGAACCTGAAAGCCTGAAAGCTACTAGTAGTGACATCTAGTCCCATGCCTTTCTCCGTGTTGTGCACTTTTCACCAATAACTCGTTGCCAGCCGTTGAGAGGTATGTGCTTACAAAGCGATCGGGTACCAAACAAAAACTCACTGTAATTGTACCTATAAATTACAGTAAACTGCCTAGGCCTATATTGTCAAAATATTGTCTAGAGAATGCCGGCTTTGGTCCACCAGCCCGGTGCACTGAGTACTCGTCCTTTGACAATCCCGCTATGTTCTTAGAACATATCCAACATTGACTTCCCACAGATATTTGGGACCAGCTTCAGCCTCTGAGGTTCCAGCATTGGTCGACCTGCAGCACAGTTGGCAGTGAAGAAGCATGTGAGAAACCACGCCGTGTATCAACGCTGGCAGGCTGGACTAGAGAGGACAACAGTTTAGGGCATCTTGCTGCACTGGGTCCGTCTTTGCTCTGAATCGAAAGTCCAGAACAAATCGCGATCATTCGTGATCTGGGATTTTGCCACGCAGCTGAGTACCTTGAGAGTTTTGAACCCACAAGTATAGCTGGGAAGTGGCCTTGCCGACGAGTTCTGACACTTTTCTGCGCTCACACCCCACGCCACTTTGGCTCGTAGCCTCGCTCGCTTGTGTCCCTGGCTGTGCCGGGTCTGTGGCGATGCCAAAGATTCTCGTCTCTGGGCAAGCATGAGATACAAGAATCATGAGATACACAAAGTTTCACCCAGTTTTACCCAGTTTTACGTTCTTCGCTTTCTTGTCCATTCCTTGTCACCGTTGCAATTGTAAGTTGTATGCAATTGTGATAGCTGAGTTCTCTCCTTCTGGTGGATTGTCATAGTTCCTTCCAGTGGATCCTTTCGGCTGACAGGTTTGATCAACATCATCTCCATAACCTGAAGATGCCAGCAGCTCAGACCTTTCAGACCTTTCAGACCTTTCAGACCTTTCAGACCTTTCAGACCTTTCAGACCTTTCAGACCTTTCAGACCTTTCAGACCTTTCAGACCTTTCAGACCTGCTCCTCCTGGGACTCCTGGGGCGGGCCTGGGCTGAGTCTTCCTGAGGCGACTTTGCTTCACCCATTGTACTCTGCATGCACTGGTGTGGCATTGTGCGCTGGCTGTACGACCTTCTGGTCGAGCCTTGTCCGCAGACAACTCGCTTGTGTTCCTCCAAAGTCTTGTGTGCCTAAAGGTTGAAACTTGCCATTGTTTTTATTAGATTTGAAGGTGTATCAGGCTAGCTATGAAATGGCCGCTGAGTTGTGCGTGAAATTTCTTGAGCCCCTGATAGTATGTTACTAAAACATACTAAAACGATTCTTGCATCCCACTGCCAGTCACTCGCAATTCCAAAAGCCAGCAGACTAAGGAGAAGCTGAGCTGTTGGAACACCAGGCACTGCAGCCCCACTAGAAATTTGAGTAGTCTTGATGTCTTGAGCTGTTTTCCTTTTAATCAAAACAAACACAGGAAAATCCTGTTTGCGCTGCAGCCATGTTGCTGCGGTTGTTCCTTGATCAGGTTGAGAGAATAACGGGCAGTTCACAGGCGGCACCTGCGAAATTGTCCAAACCGTGTTTGGTCACCTCGGGTCGAGCTATGATTTGGGACGCTCGATTTGGAAACTGTAAAATCTGTAAACAGATTGTACTAAGTGCTTTTTGAACTCGGTACAGCACCCATTTGACCATTTTGACCCAGTAAAATGATGCTCCGATGATCTCGCACGTTCCAATAGGTCAATGAATGCTGCCTGGCCAGGTCAATCGCGCCAGTAAATGCGAAGAGGATGCTCAGGCCAGTGATCATACTTAACTGATTTGAAGCGCATTAAATACGTTTAAAATCATTTAAATACTAGATCCGGACTCCACATGGCCCTTTTACTAGGCATGATTGGGATAATGATGATCAACCAGTGGATTTGGAGATTTTTAAGACAAACCCAGATGATGATAGCATGTAGCGGAGAAGCTTCTGACAGGCACCTTCTGACCCAAAAGAGGCCGGGGGAAGTTTCTGCAAGATGTGGAATGCTACGCTCTGGTAAACATGGCAAGGGGAAACCCCATAAATGGAGCTTCATCTATGCAGGTAAAATATGGTAAAATGGTACATGTTTTACTTGTTGGTCCTACTTGTTGGTTCGCTGGTTCCACACCTTCAATTCAGTTTTGTGTGCGGCAATGCATGTCGAAAGGCTTCTGACTTGAGGCTGTGCGAAGAGTTTGTTTTAGAGTCAGAGGTTGGCTTTATTTTACCATATTTTACCTATCCTCCACATTCCTCCACAAAATTCATGGATTTTGCTTTACTATTTCCTCTTTGCAATAGCATTGCAACAGGATTCCTTCACTTTTCTTTCATCACTTTTCTTTGTTTCCCAAACGCGCGAAGCACAAAGGCCTGCCCTTCGGAATGCCCGTTTGCAGCTGAACTGGCAGATCCCACGAAGTGCCGCGGTGAAAACGTTGGTGGCTTGATAGTCATGCACCACTCTCTCTCTCTCTCTGTGAGTTTGTCTAGCTTGGTGGGTCAACACTCAGTGAAAGCTCATTCTGTTCCCCTTCTTTGTTCAAGCATTTCTTAGTTCTTCTCAATCATTCTCAATCCGTATTAACTCGGTCTGAAACCGCGTCTCTCCAAAAACACGTTGGGTGTTTGGTTCAGGTACTGCCACTTCAAGTGTGTAAAGGCTGAGGACTGAAGTGGATCCGAATGGATCCGGGTTGCAGGTGAGCAGCCCTTAAGGCAGGGTTTCCATGGATGCAGCGCGCGCCAGGAATGCAGCACCAAAGGGACGATTTCAAACCAAACCATTCCTGAAAAGGAAAAGGTGAAAGAGATGCCTGGCTGGAAGATGCTGGAAGATGCTGGAAGATGCTGGAAGATGCTGGAAGTACGTGCAACGTTAGTGCAACATTGCAACATCTTGTAATGTTCGGTTAATTATCGGTTAGTTCATGTTCGTTTCATGGTTTGTGCTCAGGTTCCTTCACGTGGCTAGGCAGGTATAGGAAGGTTCACAAAGAGCAAGGCAGGATTTTTTTTATCATCAATCTGGACAGAGCATCACAGAAATCATCAAGCATGAAATTCTTGTCGTCGCCTCTTAAATTCCGACGCAACGCCGTGACTACAACAAACAACGATGCAAGGTCATGAGCATGGATCTGTCGTGATTTTGGCAGCTGAGGAATCCATACTGCCGCTACTGCGAAGTTGAAGCCTGTGCTGATTGCACTGCAGGTCGACCGGGAGAAAAATCAGAATCTGCACGAAACTCAGGAAGCAGCAGTCAAAAATGCTGGGTAATGATGGATCACTGTGATGACACAGCAGCCAGCGCAACATTGGAGATTCAGAATGGTAAAGATTTGGATGGGGATGCACGAGGCTTTTGATATTGAGACTGAGACTGGTTAACAGGCAAGTGCTACAGTACATAAACGTGAAGCCATCAGTCATACTCTTTCTACATGAGGTTCTAACTCACGTGTTTTTCAAGTTTATTGGCTGAACAGCCAGACAATCAATGAATCCCGGAATCATGCAGCTTTACTTTTTGTGTTTTCCCACATCAGATGGATGGAACACTTGCTCTTCAGACCCAATACACAAAGAACCTTGTCGTTTTGCTGAGGTTGAAACTTGCAAGAAATGCATGCCAGGATACACCTTGTCCTTTGGCATCACAAGTTTGAACCGTTGAAACTGTGACCGCCAGCTGTTTGCTTATGCTTTTTCGTTTGGTTGTGTCGACCATTTGCTTGGGCTCCTTTTGTGCCATGGTCAAGTTCCCTTTTTCCCTGGGGATGGCAAGATTTCAGCAGCACTTGGCACATCTCTTGACCTCAAAAGATCCGTTTCACCGTCGAATCATGTCACAATGTCGAATCTTCGGAGATGCTTCATGTTTTTTATTGAGGAAAGGTGAGGGCAAGGACCGGCTCGGGATCACCTCCCACCAAACAGAAATGGGGTCATTAGAAATGACATGCGCTGTCATCGGGTAACTTTTTCACAGAAGGTATACAAACTTCGGAGGGAAGGACATACTCACAATATCTCAATCTAAATCCAAAGGTTGTGTCACTATGGACTAATATGGTTTATTTACCGTTCTTTGGGGGGCAGTTGCCTATTCGTGGCCACGTCTCCAGATGACATAGATGACATGGAGGAGTGTGTGACCCATGGCGACTGGGTCTTCCTTGCCCTGGCTGCTGTGGCTGCTGTAGGTGCACTCTTCGGGTTGAACCTTGGCTGCCAGAGATGGAGAGACGATGAGAGACGTAGGAAGTCCATCGGATTTACATGTGGGGGGTTTCCATAAATGGGGGTACCCGCACAGCTAGATGGTTTATATTTATATATGGAAAATCCTATTAAAATTGATGGTTTCGGGGTACCCGTATTTTAGGAAACCTCCATATTGTGTGTTCAGGATTATGTTTGTTGAGAAGTTTATGTTTCTGGAAAGCTTTGTCCAACGAACTGTCAGCAGCATCTGAAGTTCTAAGTCCATTTTAAGGGTACTTGTCATTCTTTGCTTGCAGTCCATGTCAATCGACTCGGTGCAAACCGCCAACCTTGGCGAAGAAACATTGAGAGGATATTGTTGCTGAACTAGCCTGTCCAAAGCAATGCTTCACTCCAAGGGCCTGGTTCGTCACGTTGCAGTCGAAACCAACTGTCAACCCTGAGGGCTTGCAGCAGCTTGGCAGGCTTCGTTTTGTGACGTCGTAATGATTCGTTTTGTGGTATCATTAACCATATAATAACCATAGGTTATTAACCATTAATAGTATACAATAACCATGAATTTTTGTTTTCCATGTTGGATTTTGGATTTGGCCAACATAATGGGTGCCGAGGTACGGCATGTACAGCCAGTTGCGGATGATGGTGACTCAAGACCACCATGGAGATGAGGGTCAGCCGTACCCGTCCTTTGGATCGACGATGAGGGTCAGCAGATCAGCATATATAGAGATCCTCATACTTCAACAGTTTGTGATTATAGCATAACCATGCATAAAACATATTTATAAACATGCATAAACTTGCGCAAGCAAAACTGCAGCTTATATGTGTGACTGTGAACCACATCAATCACTCCACCTGATTGTCACAAAAAAGGCGTTGAAACGCGCGCTGAGTTGCCGTGGATGCCGTGAATGAGTGGTTTTTTGTCTGAGGTTTAACACAAACCTGCTGTCCGTGCATGTGGCTGGCCCTGGTGGAACAGCGCTGTTCCGCTTTCAAGCAGCTGCCATTCTGTGGGCAGTGCTTGTGACCCTCGGATTCCTCGGATTTACGGCTCTGTGAAGGGGCAAGAGATGCAAAGACAGGAGGACATAGGAGGACATAGGAGGACATAGGAGGACATAGGAGGACATAGGAGGACATAGGAGGACATAGGAGGACATAGGAGGACATAGGAGGACATAGGAGGACTAGCAAATGAGCTTGTTGGAAGGGTCAGGAGCGGGGCCAAAGGGCAACGGTTTTGATTTCTGGAATTTGCAGTGAACGCTTTGTATGTAGGCTGAAGAACACCACAGATTCTTAGCTAGTTGGAAGTGTGGCTGTCGACCCGCTGTGTGTGGACTTGTGAAGGTCTATGAAAAAAACACATAGTACAATCACTAGAACCCTGACGCGGCTATAATCGGCCACCGGGAAGTCAAATATGTTCGTTTGCCAAGGATTGGAGTTTGGTTAGGCTTCGTTTTCTTTGTCGTGACCTCAAGAACTGTCAAGAACTGTCTTTGCCAGCTGTGTTGAGACTTGTTGAGTGATGTTCAACGTGTAGCCCTGATTGCTCCTGAGATCTCCTGAGTAATTATTGACAAGTCACTGGCAGTTGCGCTTGTGCCAAGGAATGAGAATGTTTGAATGTCTTCATAGAATGTTTGTTTGGGAAATCTCGGATTCTCTACCAATCAGAACCTTTTACTCACCAGCGCTTCGTCGCTGCTTTGCAATGAGAAGGCCCAGAATGTATGAATTGAGTAGACAACTCTTGTTCATTCAGTTTTCATTCAGTTCATTTTTCTAAATATAGCCAGGACATGCCATGACTTGCAAGATGATGAGGTGAGCTCTGACCTCCTGTTGTTGGGCAATCGACCAGCTGCCACTCCAAGGCAGCTCTGTGAGGCGGGTGCCGATGGCGAAGAACATCGATGGATTCAATGGATCCAATGGATGCCATGTTTTGCTAATGGATCTAATGGTTTTTGGTTAACTGCCCAAAGAGCTCAAACCACCGGTTTGGCTGATGTAACACGGGGTCTGTGTTTCCATGAAGTCTAGATCCACGAGATGCCATTGCGATGGCTCTTCTCAAGGACATTTTGAACCCTCAAGCCGGAGCCTGGTGCGGCATGTGAAGCGATCCTTTCTCGCTCGGACGGTGACCATTGGACCATGGCATTGGTGGCTTCGCCTCCATCCTTCCTGAAAGATGTCCAAGTGAACTGGGGATCCATTGCCTCAGTGAGTGAAGAAGCCTCTCGAGCCATGGAATTTGTGCAGTCCAAAGTTAAACCAACAGAGGACATCATTTCGACTGCCCAGTTGCCAGTTAGTTCAGTTCGTGATGCTGTGATCTTGCTGCAAAGTCCGGGCTGTGGTTCAGGCCGTGAACTTGAACTAGAGGAATTGAAGGAGATTATTGCAGAGTTGATCGCAGCTTATGGTGATCCAAACATTCAAAGGAAGATCCGCTCTATCTATGACAAGCAGCGGAAAGCCCAAACCAATCCCGGCCATCCTAACAACTCTGAGGATTACATGGCAGAGTTGCGGGAAGCTTTGTGGCCATGCCAGACTGACATCGCAGAAGCCTATGGCTTACCAGGCACCAGTGAAGGCTTGCAACGTATCCAAAATTCCGTTCAAAGAGCCATTACGGAAGGTGATGTCGAGGTTCGCTGTTTGGCAGATGAAGCCTTGATGCTTTTAGGAATGAGTCCATTGCAAAATATCATTCAGGAGGTGAAAGCTGAGGATTTCCTCAACTGCATCTACACAGCTGCTGGTGATAGCAGTGATGTGGAGATCGAGGAATTCCTGTTGAATTTGAAGTGTGAGACTCCCTTGGAGAAAGCCGCCCGTGCCCGTGGTCTCCTGGCAGCTCGCCGCTTAAAGGAGGAACGGCAGCCTCCCGAGGGTCGCTTGACGTGTGGCTTGCTGAGGACTTGGGCGGCCTATGAGCGCCTGGAACTGGCGCCACAGCACATCGTCACCAGGGAACCCATGCCGGTGGCCCGGCTGAAACGGCCTACAGCAGCTCAGCTCTGGGAGTTTGTGATGCGAAATCAGCCTGTGGTTATTGAGGATGCTGTGAATTTCGATGACTTCCCACCATTATTTGATTTTGCAGACTTTGATTATCTCCGCGAAAGATGTGGCCATCGTTATGTGAAAGTCAAGGGCGACTCGTGCTGGGACAGCAAGGGGCGACAGCTCTTCCTGAACGACCCCACCATTGAAATTTCGATTTCCGATTATTTGGACCTGGTCGAAGTTGCTGAGGAGCATGAGACGTGCATCTCCTGGTACATGGGCAAGCTGCCGTTGCACACGGACGTGCCCGAAATGTTTGAGGATATCCTCAATGCACCCAAGTCTCCCTTCAAAAAGTATGGGAACTGTTTCGGTGAGAACAACAAAGGGGTCCACACCTACTTTGGTTGTGGTGGCAACACCACCTGCATCCACTCAGATCCCTCGGAGAATTTGTTGCTTGTGGTCTCAGGTGAGAAGTTTTGGGACCTATATCCACCTTGTGATGCTGCTTGTATGCACACCACTGTGAAGAAGTTCCTGAACTCCCTCGTACCACCATTCATTGATCCTGACAACGTGCCCGCAGAGGTGGAGAAAAATTGGTCCTGCTACAAACACGCACAGCCTCAACGCGTGCACTTGAAAGCTGGCGATTTGTTTTACCTTCCAATCTTTTGGTGGCACTCCGTGCAGGGTTCGATTGGAAGAAACATGATCCTCAACTGGTGGTGTCAACAGCACCCTTACAAGGAGTACAAATACAAGGGCTTTGAAGGCACTCGGGAGATCTTGGAGGTGTTGCAGCACCTAAATGAGGCCTGGTCTGAAACAGCTTCTGGACCAAGTGCCAAGGAGAGAGCTGTGGCCCAAGAGTTGGGGAACGGTGTCTTGTATTCTGATTCCATGTGTGCAGCCAGTGACAGCTACAAGAAACTCACAGCTCCTCCGCCTCCGCGAAATCCCATGAAATCTGGCTCCTTGATGCCATCAACGTCATCAACACCCTCCAATGGCTTCCGGTGGAAAAACTCTCGTTGAAGCTTCAAATCTTTTGGCATGTCAGTTCTGATGACCTCCCAGGCTTTCAGGCTTCGTCTTATTACAATAGAAGCTGATACACGGTGATACTATATGTGTGAAACTCTCTTTTTATTGCTAATCACATTTAGTCACTGTCCTTCACATTTGTTTTCCTGAATGTTGAGTTCTTTGGCTTCAATGTCTTCTTTGTGCGCAAAGAAGCCTGGAGTGTACCTTTGCTTATGAGGCAGATTAATTGAACACAATTGAACACTGAACCTTTGGCAAATCGCTGATGTGCAAAGCAGGCAACCTGGTTGAAGCATGTTGAAGCAATCTTTTGGTGGTCACCATGAACATTCGTAAGGATGTTGAAAGCAAACAGCATGATTGAAGCAAACAACTTTGCCCGGCGCAGCATTTGTTAAAGGCCTCCACTGACGCCTCTACCTACGATTAGAGGCTCTTTCAGGGAAAAGCCCTGGGCTTGCAAAGCTGCCAAAATTCATGGCGCAAGTTGAGAAAATTGCTCTTGTTGGTTCGCTGACCCACTGTGGCCAGAGACACAGCGAAAGCAGACGGAGATATGTTCTTGACCGCTTCCGTTCGAAAGTGCGGGTCGGACGGCCAACATGCTGGGTCAGATCGAGCAATCGGAGCACAAGTGTAGCCTCAATTGCCATGAACACCAGACTGAGACCTACTGAATTTCTCTGCATTTTTTTTGCATGCCTTTTGCGATGAGGAACCAGGTACTTTTCAAGGGTTGTCTAGGGATTTGATGATGTGGTCATTCTCTTCAAACATTTGCTTCCGACAGGTTTTATTCGCAAGCTTATGCAACTAATCGACTTTTCACACTATCAATCATTATATATGCATGTATATACAGTAATAGTATAATATCTGTATGTGAATATATATGTATGACACATGTGATAATTTTCCAATCTTGCATTGTGAAATGAGCTGCGCAGGTGGTTGGATGGGGCCGGAAGCGGCAGTCACCCGGCCTGAGCAGATTGCACCACAACATGGGGTGCCAACTTTGCTGGTTCTTGGTTATAGATTCTAGATATATATATATGATATCAATGATATCTATATAATATACATCATAATATGATGTATATTATATAGATATCATTGATATCATATATTTATATACAGTAACAAAAGATGTAATAATAATGATAATAGTATGTGATAATACTATAGTATGATCTTATTTCGATATTCTTTTAGTATTATATATAACATTACGCAACATTGGAGGTAGTATAAACTAATGTATTATAGGTATGTATACTCCCATTGTATCCATGGTTTGTTCTATTGCAACAATTGAAATCCGCCATGATTCGCCAGAAATATAGCAATGGCAATCCAAGGATGGAGCTGATCTGGACGAAAGTATCGTGGATTGCTTTTGCATATCTGTCTGGCACCTTCGGCACCTTGGCAAAATGCCCTCCGAAGCAAAGGAATTTTGTCGAGCCATTTGCATTTCAATAGACACCGTATTGAAGTATTGATATTCAAGATCTGGGAAGACGCCTGGACAAAAAAAAACGACCAACAAATTTCGCAGCACGACAATGGGTCATCATGACATCATGAGTCTTTTTGAGGTGCTATTTTCTACGGCATCGTGATGGCCAAGTTCTTCCGATCCTTCGACAGTGAGCGTGTCTTGATCAAACTGATCACGAAAGCTAGCGTCAGCTAGCTGGAGTCTTCTTGCTTTAGCAAGTATTCCGGGGGCTGCTCAAGGACATCACGTTATTTTTCACGCGAAAGGGGGGGACCCCCCTCCCCCCCCTCCCCCCCCCCCCCCCCCCTCCCCCCCCCTCCCCCCCCACCACCACCACCACCACCATCACCACCATCACATCATCATCATCATCATCGTCATCGTCATCGTCATCATCATCGTCATCGTCATCATCATCATCATCATCATCATCATCATCATCTCATCATCATCGTCATCGTCCTCGCCATCGTCCTCGTCATCGTCATCGTCATCATCATCATCATCATCATCATCATCATCATCATCATCATCATCATCACCACCACCATCATCATCGTCATCATCACTTTCATCATCATCATCATCATCATCATCATCAACATCATCATCATTGTCATCGTCCTCGCCATCGTCCTCGTCATCGTCATCATCATCATCATCATCATCATCACCATCACCATCACCACCATCATCATCGTCATCATCGTCATCATCGTCATCATCACTTTCATCATCATCATCATCATCATCACCATCATCGTTAATCAATTACATTTTATCATTATTGGCAATTATTGGCATTATCACGAAAGCTAGCGTCAGCTCGCTAGAGTCTTCTTGCTTTAGCAAGTATTCCGGGGCTGCCCAAGGACATCACGTTCTTTTTCACGCGAAAGGGCCCCCCCTGCCCCCTCCCCCATATATATCATTGTTATATATCATATATCATATATCATTGTTGCATCCTCGTTGGGACGAACAATGCCGCGACACGATGATGACAGTCCCTCCGCAACTCACCTCTTCCCTTCCTTCTTTCTCCTACCCCGCTAGCTTTCGTCATCCACCCCCGGCCTCAAGTGCATGCTATTTAAAGCTGCTATTTAGTCTCGGAGTCTGAGTCTGGACTTATTAGAGAGATGGTCATGAGTAGGCAAGGGAGGCCTGAGCTTCGGATGGTTCACGACCTGCACCCTTGGCCTAGGTGCAACGTTGTCAGACTACGTGGCAGTCTTGGAGGGTGTCCCCAAGCTGACCGGTGATGAAAAGGTGGAGGACATCCTCAAGGAGGCCAGGGGGTCCATGGTTTGCCGCAAACACCACAAGATCAGATATGTGGACAAAGTCTTGAACCTTTTTCATGCGGCACGATGCGAGTAACAGGGGGACTACGCATATATGACATATCGATACATATCATTTATTTGTCTAGAAACTAAGCCGTCAAGTACGTGAGAGTCTTAGCACTTTGAAGCTGATCCAGTATATACGTTAAGCATGTGTGGTCACAGTGTAGTCACTGGTTGCTAACTTGCGGTGTCACAGTCTTGGCATGCGAGAGTGGAAGAACTGCCCGTGAAGGCAGTTCAAACGGCTGTTGGCAGCTCCTTGATTTCAAATTGGAGGGACCCCCACCCATCCTGACCCAGCCTGATGTCCGCTTGATCTTGATATCATCTTGAAGCACAACATTGGGTGTTTTTTACCACATAAATTATGTATCATAAATTGTCCTCGCCACAACTGCGCGCCAAAGCTTGCAACTGGACATAACTGGATAAGGTGACATTGCCAGGGAGGTGGTGGCTGTGTCCGTTGGATGGGATTTCCAAGCTCATCGAGCACAGGTGCTGCCTCGTTTCCTACGTGAGATGTTTGTTCATTTCATCAGAGAGCTGGGTCGTGTACAGTAATATGGTGTATGATTTACATCACATATCATCATATTTGATAATGTAAAATGATGTAAAATGACAATATGTGGCGTGGGAAACTTGCGAGTCTCGGGGATATTTTGGAGACGTTTATTCTTCTTACATAGAGACATTGCTCCTAGCCCTGCTACAGTAGGTTCGACACTTCATCGACGAAGAGGCAGGGCCTTACAGAGGCAAAATGTGACGGGTTTGAATTTACATTGATGTAAACATTGAATTCATCGGCTGTTTGCGCTGCATTTGCTGTGGATGAAAATGGTGCAATCAGTTTTGACTCTTGCACAACCATGGTGCTGTGGACTCCTCTCTTCCGCCCTGCAGGTGGGTAAGTTTCATGAAGAGAATCATGAGCCATTGGCCATTCCAGAGGGCACTGGAGATGAGGCCAGACATTGACACCGGAAAAAGGACTTGGGCTGGGATGGATCTACAGGAGTTTGGGGAATCTAGGTGGAAATGTTGCTTCATATTACTTCGAGGACCTGATGGGAGAATATATACAGAACAGTTCTATGGATTCTTTCCCGAGACAAGTCATCCAAAAAGACTCAGACCTTGCAGTGTCTTGTGTCGCGGCCACAAAACACAATGCTGTGCAGTTCAATGGCGTTTGCGGAAGCATGAACAAACGGGTGCTCAACAGATGGCAACTTGGCACTTGAGGTGTTGCCATTTGTGGAGCCACAAAATGCCAGAGAGATTTTCAGCTGAGGTTCTGAACTCCTGTGCAGATGTGTGCCCTTTTTTGGGCTGTTGAAATCCTGTATAAACGAGTAGTTGTTTTGGTCGGTGAAAGCTTAAAGATCTCCTACTCAGTCCTACTCTGCTATGATTTTGGTCGCACAGTCGATTGAAGATTTTGAGGCACATCCACTTGGACGGCCATGGCGAGGAGTTCACAACAGAAGATTTAAAGCAGCTTTCTTGAAGGGCTGGGGTAGGGGGGATGGCTAGGGCGGCTAGGGGTTGTACGGTTATACGTTGTTTTCGCAGACATTCAATGGATTGAATCCAATGCATCGTTGAACTTGCGGCAAATGCCAGCCTCCTACACTTTCTGATTTCAGCCTGTTTCAGTATACGCTGCATGCATGCTGCATGCATGGTTCTTGCGTATCATCCGCTCCTGTCCGAGGAAGAATCTGACGAGTATGGAGACTGCTCCTGTCTCTTACGTCATTTTTATGACCGAAAGTGCAAGGCCAGCGCCCTTGAGGGCTACAATTGAATGAGAATGAACATCCAGGATTGTCCATTCCCAAGAGAACCCGCCAGAAGGGATAATTTCCATAATTACAGATACCATTTCTACGTCATCCATGAGAAAATCTTCCTTGTGCCCATTTGGAGCAAAAAGTACGTGAAGTCACCAACCGAAGTCACTGATGTCCTCCCGTGAGCTCACCAGGGACAAAGCTTTGGAGGCCACCAAGGTGCGGTGACAGTGACTTTAGTGCACCTGAGGCCACCTGTCGGCCTGTCATGAAACACGGATCTTTGGTGCTACGACTCCTCGCTAGGCAGGTGTTGTGGTGAAGGATGCGACCTGTACCTTGAAGCCCGAGACATATGAGCCGGAGGCAAGACTTAGCAGCCTTTGGTTTTGGCAAGAGCAAACCAAAAGTGATGTGTGATCTGTATGATCTGTATGATGATGTGGTGTCCGAAACTTCTGGAATTCTTCAAGGGATTTCAGGGCATTCCTTGTGAGTTTCCATCTCTTTGCAGAGATGCATGATTGTTTGTTCAGGCCCTCTTCTGGCACAACCTACCAGTGACCAACAAGGAGTTTGGATGGAAATTTACCGTCTCCAGTGTGTCTTGGACACGATTCTGTTGAACTCATTTCAAGCACTAAAGCTGAAACGGTCGGTTTGCAAAACGCGGTGAATTGCCCATGATATGTGGGTCTACAAGCACAAGACTACCGATGACACAAGCCATGAGGTGTTTTGTTTTTTTTTCCCAAGTGTCCTTTCCAGGTGTTGAAACGGATGAGAAGTCAACAGTTTATGATAGTTTATGATAGTTTATGATAGTTTATGATAGTTTATGATAGTTTATGATAGTTTATGATAGTTTATGATAGTTTATGATAGTTTATGATAGTTTATGTTTGCACGCCCAGGGAAATATTTTCCTGACCTGCATGGCGTGGACCATTCTCCTCTACTTGCCATATGCACACTACATGCTGCTTGGCAGAGCTGTTTGCCCGATGATGTTCCGAAGACCCCACAGCTGAAGATGTTGAAAGCACAACCTCACGCTCACAGCATTGAACTATGTGACATCATGTGACATTATATACTATCATATACTATTTTAATATATTTTAATGACATTACCATGTATTTAAATGTATTCAGAAGTGATTTTCTGTACATTTGTTACCTCAGTTCGCCAGTACAACTTGCTATTTCTATCTATTTGAGGTCAGCATTTTCGTATGCCAATGGCGATGAGCCGAGCCCATTGGCAGAGAGAAGCTTGGTGGCGCTTTGAGTTTTTTCAATGGGGGCGGCCAAAGTTGCGATTTTACAGGGAAAGTATGGGAAAGTGATGATAAACGATTGGAATTTTGGGACACCTGGGACACCCATTTCAAGGCTTGTGGTGGTGATGAATGCCAACATGTGTTGTGCACAGGCAGAAATGCTGCGAAAACCACCAAACACAGCACAATTGCAGCATCAAGCCACGCGAAAATCACAGGACATATCGCAACAGTTACTGTGGATAGACGTGGATGTGGCCAAAGGTGTTTTCATCGGCCTGGTGGTCGGAGCGCAAGTTGGGCTCTTTGTGGCCAGTAGCATCGGAGCAGAGTTTTGTGCGGGCCTTGGTTCTGGAGCAACAGTCAAGCCAGATGTGTATCGAAACTCAAACAGACCCACGGCAGTCACATTCTTCTTCATGCATCTTCAAAATTGATCAACATTCTACAACACTCTACAACATTCCATCAAGATTCTTTGAACATACCATTTTACATGTTCCTGAGGCCAGTGCCACTACGAGGAGCCAAGTTGAAATCCTGAAAACATCATGCAAGTCAACGGTCCAGCATGGTCCGCCCCTGCCACCATGGTCACCAGTGTCCATTGAAATCTTCGCTACTTGTACCAAAATTGATTCCTCCAACCAAACGAAATACATCAACATCCAATTCCTTCAAGGACCAGAAGCACAGGGTGTACATTATTTTCTACAATGCTGCGTTGATCCTGAACCTTGTGATGGACATTGTGTTGCAAGGCACAACGCGAACGGACGGGACGGACGGGCAAACGGACGAATGGACCTACAGAAAAGTTGCATGAACTGTGGTCAAAAGGCAACACAACTGTCAGGGACTTTATGTGGTTACATGTGGTCACATTCTTCAACTAGGCAGTAAGTATAGTTTCAGCGCCGGCATCATTGACGTTTCCTGAAAGGAAAAAGTCCTAGTTTTATGCTTCAGTGTTGCATATGTGATGATGCTGCCAAGCTGACGTACTAGATCGTCAAGCAAAAACCTTTTTCATCCTTTTTCCCTTGTAATCCTTGTAAGATCGTGACCCTGAACCATTGACCCCACGCTGTGGTATCACTTGATGTGTACACAATATGTAGATTGGTTTTCCGTTTTCAGATGCGAGGCTACTTGAGCTACCTGCAAATGGTGGGAGTAGGCGCTCGTGTGGCAGATGGCCGACTCTTGGGAAGCCTCACAAGTTTGCAGGAGCCTGTCCAGTCCTGTTGAATCTGTTGAAAGAAAAACACATCTGTTTTGGAAGGCTGTTCCCGGAGCAACATTTGCAGCATCAAAATGACGCTGAAACTTTGAAAACAGGAGATCTTCGAATCCTACCCCATGCAGAAGTCAGTGGGCAAGCTTCTCTTCAAGTATTGTGCCTTGACCAACCCAGGACAGTTGCGTGGGTAGCGAGCTCTGGCACTCCACCAATGGCATTGTGTGTTCCAAAGCCTTTCTGACAGAGCCAACCTCTCCACCTTTATCGTCAGGGCATATGGATACATATGGTAGATAATGTAGATAGATGTAGATAGTAGATATGTGTAGATATAGTACCACGAAATAGCACTGATCTCTGCACAACAACGCAGAGAACATCCTCCAGAGCAAGGACTAGGTTAGTTTTGATACCATGACTCTACCCAAAAGCAGACTGATATTCTTCGCATAGAAATGCGTAGAAACATCTCAGTGAAACCTAATGGTTGATGTGAAAAACTTATTCCCATTTGACTTGAGCCGCATTTTTTCTGGCACATGATTTGCATGCGCAATGGCACACAAGGTTGGCCCTGTACCTTCTTGGTACCTTTCCTCGCCGAGCCCTTCATTGCCCAGCTGGGTTGCTTTGATGCATTTCAACTGCAGAGCAGGACAGGCAGGTTCAGCAGGAACGACCTGCTGAGACCCAACGCTGGAGCAGACCTTGAGAACCCATATGACCCAAGGCCCGTATCATGTGGGTACGCTGCTGCTGCGAAGCAATTCGCCGCTGGGCACCGACTGGGCTGTTTGTTTCACTTGGCGTTTTGTCAAAGGAGGAGTTACGAAGGTGAGGCGGAGCGCCCAGTCTAGCCAGTGCCAGATAGTGCCGCGGTATCCACGAATTATCCACGAATGTAGCTCCAATGGGTGAAGTGATGTGAAGTGTAAGAGTAGTGTAATTAAGGGTCATGTTGTGATGTGAGGCGAATCCGCGGAGAAAACGCTGAGCGTGCTCTTGAGCTGTCGCTTGGCAGTGTTGGAACATTTGGAACAGGGTTCGAACACCAAGCAATCTTCAAATTCAACGGATAGGCAGCAGCCCATGTCAGATCTTGGGATTTTGCCCTGAGGCCCTCTGAGGTGCCTTTCTGGGATAGGCGACGATAGGTTCAGTTCGGATTCATTTGTCTCTTGATCAGCCATCAACAAGGTCCGAGATGGAGCAAGGGCGCTATGCAGACGTGATCTTCAACTTGATCCTGGTCGCATGCATTCCTTTCATCGCACCAGCCAAAAGCTGAGAATTGCAGCGGTGACAAGTGTAGAGCAGTGTAGACGCTGGTTGAGTTGGTAGTGTGGAACCAAAGCTGGGCAACGCGAGGCCTACATGTTGACCACCTACGGTGTTTTCTTGCTGGCCCACTTGTGACTTGTCCTATCTTGTCCTGGTGCATCCCTTATTCCGGGTTAACTGTGACACCAAGAACACCTCGACAGAGCCTTTGCAGCCTGGATTGGGTCACAAAGCACGGTAGTTGTGTAGTTGTTTGAAAGAGTATAAAGAGTTTGGAAGACTTTATGATACTGTTACTGATGATACTATTCGTCTCAGCTTGCCCCGCCGGGCTGTGGTTTAGCCTAGTTTTAAATCAAAAAGAACATACGCAGCAGTTGGCTATTTCGCTACCTTCTTTGCACATGTTTATACACAAGAAACCACTTCCGGACTGGAGCTTGAGATCTATTTTACGCACCATGTCTTACAAGCATCTACAAGCTATTTCAGCTATGTCTTGCGGCTTTACATTATTTTATTGTTGCTACCTACCTTCCCTGAGTTTGATGTGCTCACAAGTCTGAAGTGCCTGTAAACTTCTTTGGACCCTGTTCTGAATGCTTAACAAGCTTGAGAAATGTGGGCTGCTACACTGTGTTTGGACATGTTTGGACCAAAGTCCCAGCTGTCCCAGCTCATCGTTTGCAGTAGTGAGGTAGTAAAGGCTAATTGGCTAGTGCAACAAATTGCAACAATATGGCCGCTTTCCAAGGTACATTTACTTCTATGACCACTGGAAGACCTTGCGATGGGCTCGCAAGTTCTACTTTTCAAGCGATGAGGCGGCCTGGATCAGCTGGAATTGGTGAAAAACTTCGTGTTGGATCACTTCATTCTTCAGAATAGGCGATACTGGTCTCTTTCAATGTTCTGGCAGAACTGGAATCTCAGGTGCATTGGTTTGGGCAGCAACTGCTGTGTCTTCCTTTGGGCATTTTGGCCTCAGCGTTGGTCTTCAAGGCAAATCAGCGGCTTTGAACGCACTGGTTTGGCTATGGCTAAAATATGGGTAGCGGGGTTTAGATCAATTCATAAGAGCTGCCCCTCCTTTGCAGGAAATATTCATTGCTTTTGGGGCCAATAGTTTGGAGATGTTTTGAGCCGTGCATAATCTGTCCACAGTGCAGTGTTGCAAGCGTTTGGTGAAGGATGAACCCAGCACCTGAGGATGTCTGGTGGTCCAAACGGTGGTCTTGGATCAGGGGTGCTCCCGGCAAGTGGCTTCACTCCTGATTTCCGGGTGATGTTTCTTGGAGTTGCCAGTTGCCTGCCGGATTCCTTGTTCATGTAACAGTTGAACGCAGATGAATTATCAATCAGACATGTTGAAGCATGTTGAAGCATATCGACCGCGTTAATCATACCGAATCAAACCAATCAACCAGATCCATGGCCACTCCTTGTGGCAGGTGCTGCATGGTTCAGTGCTGGGCGCGGCCATGGCGGGAGCGTTCACGCTCCACGTTTTGGTGCATCTCACCTTGCCGCTGGACTGAAGAAATCTCTGCGTCAGGAGGAGATGAAATTGAAAGGTGAAACAGGTTGGAACAGGTTAGAACTTGTGAACCTCCGAAGTCAGTGCAATTCAATCCAGTACAATTGCTTTGTCGCACATGTAAGCACCTGTCACCTTTGCCTTCTGCCCTTGCCTTCTGTTTTTTCAGACAGTTTAATCAGTTTACTGCCAAACCCTGATCTCCCCAAGGTTGGATATGGTCGTCAAACCGCGCCGAAGCTGAAAATCCGGATAGCGGGATGCAATCGGAATTGTCGTTCGTCCATGTTCGTCCCCCAACCCAAGTGTAACACAAGTGTTTCACGTTGTTTCACGTTGTTCTCATGTGCATACCGGGCATACCGCAACCCCCCTACCCAGGTGGATGTGTTTGGACCATTGGAGGCTTCAGAGTGTATTCACGGCGCGGAAGTGAACACATTGTGGCGGTCGGTTTGCCAAACCTGAGGTATCGGTCAGATCCCAACAAGGCCTGGGCAGAGTGTGAAAAACCACGAAGCTGGGGAATGCCTGTCATTAAATCTCCTGTAGATAGATGTATGAGCCAAATCAAAACTCTAAGGATTTAATTCTGGATGAAGACTGGGGTTAGATTCTAGGTTGTCTTGCAATTGGCAGAGCAGATTTGTCCGGTAGGCTGAAAACACAACGCCTTTCTCGAAGGTTGCAGAAGAGGCCACTGGCTGCGCAAAACCGAAGTGGTTACTATATGTTTAGTAGACTATATGTTTACTTGAGCCTCTGTACTACTGTATTTGATTGTATTTGTAGTGGTCCAGACAAGGACCAGTTCACCCATTGACTTTTATGAAGCTGTGCTACGATAGCGACCGTTTGACTTTGACATTTATGTCGCATGGGCTTTGTTGCATTTCTAAGACCGTTGTTCTCAGGTTCTCAGGGAAGGGACCTGTCGCTGCCAGGAAGCAGCTACTCATCTGACCACAAACCCGGTGCAATGCTTGCGCTCCAAATACATTCACGAGGCCCTGACTCGCCCAACATGTTCCTTTCGCGATGTTTCTGCAAACCGGAAGACATTCGGAAGACTATGTTGGCCAAAACTCACCATAAGCAGGCTCTTCCCGGGTGGGGTTGAGACTTGGACAGCGGATGCACAGGATTCGCCGCCGTTGAGTCCCTTTGTGCTGGGCAAGGAGAGATCATAGATGTCATAGCTGATGACATGTCCTCTAAGGGTTGCAGTATGGTGCAGTAAGCGGGTTTCCTGCACAGACCTGAAAGAAACACCTCAGTCGGGTGGTGGTGAAGGTTGCGGTATCTTTTTTCCCAGGAGAAAATCATGAAGCCAAATCCAAAGCTTGGAGCATACTTTGATGGATTGCAGGATTTTGAGCAGAAGGTACGCACCTGCGTATGAAGTGGTCAATGCTTTACAACTTGAAGTTCAATAAGATCGCGGCTTGAGAAATGTTTGCAACATTTTCCAACTGCGAACACCATGTTTCCATTTCCCATGTTTCATGACCATGTTGGGTCTCTTAGAGATGCCGTTGTTTCACTTGGGGGCTGTCAACTTGCCAGGCCAAGTTTCGGGAGGAGAAGCGCAAGTCGCGCGAAAGCAAAGCTTCAGAAGCTGCGAAGCTGGACTCGGAATCGGGACCATCGGGACCAGAAGCGAAGATGGAAGCTGACCCGGCTGACCCTCAGGAGCGAAGCTGTTGAATCATGCATCATGCCGAATGAATCTGAAGAATTTCTTTAGCCTGGGAAAAAAGGCATAACAGAAAGCCACAGCATGTCTGGGGGCAGTTCAACAATTCAGATTATGCGTATTTGTTGTGAGGGGGTGATGAGGAGGCTGTTTCATTTGATCCAGTGTTCTCGCACCATTGGCAGGAGAAGGCTTGAATTGTCTCATCTCTTTGATGCTAGCTGCTGCAATGTCTTCTGGGTCAGCTGAATGGCAAGTTGACGATTAACCACGCACAGAGATGTGCCCTGAGTCAATCGAAAGGTAGCTGGCAATGTGAGGCAATCCCAAGTGGTCAACTGAAGAGGGACTTATGGGGACTTCCTGGTCTTCCTGGTGTTGTTGTGTCGATACAAGGGATGCTACCGGCTGCTACCGCCTTTGGCTGGCTGCGTCAAGAACCCTGTTTCATCAACTGGCCGGGCTGACGCTGCAAAAAGTTCAAGTTGACTGGCCCGCACACCTTTGACACTCTTGAACAGGGGTGCTCATGGTGAAACATGGCAAAATGAAGCCCATATTGGCGCAAAGTATGTTGCTCCAGATTTAAACAATTTGAAATACACATTGACACATATTGACACAGCTGTTCTTCAAGGTGCTTTCTTGTAGGGTGTTGCCCTGGTGCCTTGTCGTTTTGTTGTTTAGTGATTCCGTATGATTCCTCATGACCAGGTGGTTAGCTCTTCGAATCGTTTCCAGAGCGAAGAGGTCCTTGAGCGAGACAGACAAAGGCGGGTAATCTGGACATATGTGGACCATTCTGGACCGATGCCTTCGGTATGCTGTTGGTAATTGAACATACACACACTTTTGACATCTTTTGACAACAATACTTCGTGCAGGTTGATACTCTTTGGTGCCGCTTGAATTCATAGTTGTTCTGGTGCAGTTGCTCATCATCAATGAACTAGTTGGACACGTATGGATGCATATATTACTTGTACAGTATGCAGGAATACAGTCGAACTTGTAAGCACGTTAATCTGCACATATGTTGATATGTATGCAATGTAATGCAATGTAATGTGATGTAGTGTAGTGTAATGCAATGCAATGTAATGTAGTGTAATGTAGTGTAATGTAATGTAAATTAAATGTAATGCAATGCAATGTAATGTAATGGCATGGCATCTCATGTATGTATGTGTATTGTATGTGTGTCTGTATATGTATATAATATGTGTACGTACATGCATAACTACTTGTAATTGTAGATATGTACTATGGTATGTGCATTCATGACTACTTGTAATTGTAGATATGTACAATGAGATGTAATTACTTGTATAATCTTGTATATCTGTATCTGTGTATAAGAAATGCCATAGTTCAGCAAACCACCAGCTTGTGCCCTTCATCAACTTTCCCCAAGATGTGCAAAGACAGGCAGCGCGCTGCAGCCTGCGACCTCCGCTCCCGCGGTGGTGGACGTCACGTCAGGGACCTGGGTATGATCTACCCATGGTTGTGGTATTATTTTGATTTTTGCTGCTTTTCATTTTTTGAGAAATCCAAAGAAATCCTAAGAATGAAAATTGGGTGAGCTAGGTAATCACAGGTTACTTGGTTTATCCACAGTCGTCTTTCATTGAATGTGTACATTGTAGATTTTAGTGATTCTGGTGGTTTGATCCCGACTTGCTCCAGCGGGCACTCTAGTCTAGTCACTGTAGCTAGCTTAGTGAGATTTAGCATGATTTCGCTATCAGACGGACAGCATAACTGTTCAGTCGAATGCAACTCTAAGGTGAAGGGAGCAAGTGCATTGAAGTGCATGATTGTTTCGGACTGTTTCGGATTGTTTTGGATTGTTCCTTTGGTTCCTTGTGAGCAAGAACCAAGTCATTTTTTGATATCGAGCTGCGACCTTTGCAACTGGTTCCTCCAGTCGCTTGTGTTTGCTTGTTTTCAGGTAAACGTTGAAGTGGAAACTGCATGAAACTGCCATCTCAAGTCAAAGTGTGTTGAAATGTGAGATACAGATAGCCTAGGGAGCCCAACTCCGGAAGTTCGACCGGCTGAGAACGCTTCACCTGCACGCTCGCATGCTGCAGCGCTGTTCTTTGGGAGTGGCGTGCAGCAGGACGGGTTCGGGACGGGTTCGGGACGGGTGCACTGCCAGGTGCACCGTGTTTTGGCATCGCTGTCGTTGTGGCTGTCGTTCGGCTACTCGGCGAGTGTAGGACCCGGTGCACTTGCCACCAGGGGCGCTACAACACGTGGCGCGGCCGCCCTCGAGGCTGGCATCGCTGCGAGGGCCTAGAGGGCCTAGGAGGAACATGGAGGAACTACAACGTTGAAAGATGTTGAAAGAACATGGAAAGCATTGGATATCATTGGATGGTAAGAATATGTAAGAATTCTGTGAGAGTGGAATGTGTTGAACAAGCAATCTGAGGCTGAGCCGTTTGGTTTACTTGTCCTGCAGTGCTGTGCACTGCTTTGCCATTGGTTCAAGTAGCCATGAAGAAGTTGCCTCAAACATCGGCGAAATCAAGAAATGTTAGGAGAATCATCGCAAAAGACTCTGAGCAAACATCCTTGACATCGTTTGACCTGGAGTGGCAATGACATTGACAAAAAGAGGGATTGGAAAGTGTCTAGTGACATCACTTGAAGGGATGATTTGCTGTGAAGTCATGGTGCCATTTTCAACATTGTGAGTGTTGACATGTCTTGACCATTTGACTGCATAGAACAGCTGAAAGTGAAACAATGTCGCAAGCCAGCTTCAACTGGGTGAAAACCATGGAAAACCCATCAGTGAAACACCTTCATGATCCCAGCGCGACCCATGGCTGCGCGTTCGCTGCCCGTTGCAAGGGCAGAGGTACGAACAGCGGCCCTTGCTGCTGAGCTGCTACAACTCGGTGTTTCCGGCGGATTGTGCCTTGGCCTCCACGAGGATTAAAGGACCAAAGTTGACCAAAGTTATCACTTTGACTTGTATGAAAAAAGTTCTTCGCCGATTCAATTAGTTATTGTCTTTGGAGCAGGAGATCATTTTCATTGATTGCAATTATTTTGTGACACTGCTGGATATTTTTGCTTGAATATATATAATACGTTTGAAATCATTTTTGTCAGCAGCTCTAGGGAAAGCTCAGACTGCTGTATTGGGTACACTTAGAGATTGTTTGTCCATGGCCAAATATATTCTCCAGAAAGACAGGTGGTTGTGACTAAGCTGCCAAACTGTTGCCCAAAGGCTTGTGGGTGAAGTGGCTTCTGCAGTGAGCACTGGCGATGGGTTGCTGTTCAGAGGCAGCGATGGTGTTGGCGAATCTTGGCAGTGTTTAGATGTTGCGGACTCCTCCAGCAGGATCTTCTACATTGCTTTTAGGCAGAGAGATGTTCAATATTGTTCAATGTGGTTTCATTATTTCAGGAAAAACAAGCTCGTTTCATACTGCAGTGGCAGGAAAATCAGGAAGCAGAAGCAACATGAAGCAAAAATCCCTAAGCCACGGATTCCTCGGGATTCCTCGGGATTCCTCGATCGCCTCAGGAGGTCTTTGCCGTGGCATGTCTCTGCTCCATCCCGATGGTCTCGGCCTTTGCTGCTGCCCTCCTTTGTTGTGCTGAGCCCTCGGGGCCCTCGGGGCGGCACCCGGCTTGGCCAAGTAGCCCAAGATACTTTCAGGTGCTGGCAGTCTTTGCAGTGCTGGAGGCTCTGGGCTTAAACAGAGTTTACGAAGTTTACATACGGTAAGTTTACCACTTTTTTCGTGCTTCAATAGAATTTAAGAGACTACAATTTGACATGCATAACACATGAAATTTTCACCATCGCATGTAACCTAATTACATGTAACTGTAACCTACATTTTCACCTACGTGTATCTACGTATCTATTTGCCCAGTTGAGGTGATTTTCCTATGCATCACCGGTGCATTTCAGCCATCCATCCATGCCCTGGCCTGGCCCCTGGCGTTGGCGGTGTGTTTCAGCCGCTCCGCCGTGGCGTGGAGCCAGCGCTTCGACACGGCCGAAGGGCCAACCCCACCAGGCCACGCGGTGGCCGCCCGGCCCCCGGGCCCCGTGGGGGCGCGGCCGGAGAGGCCGGAGAGGTCCAAACTTCGCCAGAACAAGGTGGTGGAAAAGAGTTCTTCGGCAAAGGTGTTGGGAGGATGGTTGTATATATATATATATATATGATGTATCTGATGTGTATTTGATATGGTTGTTGTGCGGCAATTGTTTGTCAGGTAGAGTTTTGCAGATGAAGCAAGGATTAAAAAGCACACAGTCTGACTTATGATTTTTTGGCGTGTTGTTTGCAGAACGGTTGCAGTGGTTGTGGTTGTGCTTGTGGTTTATTTTTGTGCTTAGGTCAACAGACAGAGGTCAAGGTGAAGTTGCACTTTGAGGAATTGAATTTTCACGACGCCAGCGAAGAAGAATGGAGGGAAAAACTTCTGCAGCATTTTCATCAAGATCAGGGTATTTCTGCTGATGCCTGTGCAAGTTTGCAAATTGAATTTGTTGAAGGCGCCGTTGTTGCGGCTGTTGTTGCGTCACGCGTCAATATATGCGGATGCATCCTGGAACAGAATGAGGGGTCAAGCTCAAAGAGCTTCAAAATTTTATAATCCATTGTAATCCCAAGTTTGATTCTTCAAAATACGTAGAAAAAATGGTACAGTATAGGATCTAAGTCTCCCCGCTTGCAGGTAGTCTGGTTGCAGAAGTTCTAGCACCACCTGAAGCACAACAGGCTTTGACCATTTTGGCGGCTCCGCCAAATCCCGTGGTTTTGAATCACCAGGGCGTGGTCGCCTTTGCCAGCATCACTGTGTATGGGAAAGGCGGCCAAAGTGGCTATTCGGTGCAACGAAAGTGTGCAGCAGCCATGGTGGCAATGACTCAAGTGAAGCGCCTTCAAGCCCAGTTGCAGACCGATTTGGAGGAAGTGATGAGCTCCTGTCATCAGAGTATCAAGGAGACGACAGTCGCGGAAAGTTCGAAAGTTCAGGGGATCTTTGTTAAGTTGTACAATTCTCACAATGTTTGATAGTCTCAAGATTTTCATTTTGGTGCTAAGGATGTCTCCAATTGACAAACAAATGGTTGGTTTCTGTGGAACGGGGGTCTCAGGACCTCGATGGAAAGGTGCAGGTCTTAGAGATGGACTCCGCAGAACAGCAGCGCAAAGTTCAGTCCCTGGAGGTCGCCGGGGGTCGCTGCACATAGGGCGACATTCCCAGCCGATCACAATGGCCAGTGTCCAATATGCCACTATATGACTATATTCTTAATATGATACTATATGCCGTTATATGCCACTTAAACTGAGTAAACACACACTTTATGGCTGAGCCCCTTTTCTTCCATTCATGGCGTGTTGTAGTTTTCAAGCCACTGGCAATCCTAGAAGTCAGGAGAAGGGCCACGGTTGCTGTAAGACCCGGCCCACCGACCCAAGTAGATACCTCTGCCAACACAAGAGTGACTAAGTGACACCGAGAGTTGTCGTGTCTGTTCATACTTAAGGTATTTTACGGTACTTGATAACTATATTAATATATGCTATCATTATCTATCATGGTATATGTATGCATAACTATCTATAGCATTTCGGGTTCAACGCTGCGTAGCAGCTAGCACAGATAAATTTTCGCCGCACCACAGCAATGGCGTCAAAGGCAAAGCATCAGGCAACAGGAGACACCCCGGAACCAGCTTCGAGAAAATTGAAATTCGAGAAAGAAAAGAAAGAACATGAAGATGAATCGATGATGGATGAAGAGATCCTGTTGCGAACTATCCGGGAAATCCAAGAACAGGCATCAGCGACCAAGGTGCAGGCAGCCTTCCTGCTAGCGCAACATGCAGATGCACAGAGAGATAAAGCAAAGAAAGAAATAATCTTTGGAGGATGGACAACATTCACACCCCCTTCTCATGCCGATCTTGAACTACAAGGGCTCCTCATGGAAAATCAGACAGACTCAAGGGAGAGATACATCAAAGAAACAGCAAAGAGGGCAGGAATCACCAGCAACTACTACCGTGACTGGACTTACAGCCATCAAACCAGAGGAGACACGCTCTCCGCAATCACAATTGTCACAGTCACACAACCATGGCAAAGATCCAAGTTACTAGACTACGTGAAGAAGAGCGACGGCCTGAAAGAGAAGTTCTACCTCAAAGATGAGGAAGAAACGCAATGGGAAAAGCTCACCAAAGCCTTCGGCAACGGGCAGCAAAACACAGGCAACACAATCAAGATTCAACCGCAGATCTCATTATGGGACCGTACTACGGGAATCCCACTCAAGGTAGCTATGAACATCGCCCAGGAACAGCAAATCCCCTTCAAGCAGAATTGGAGAGATCACACTTTGGTACACAAGGACTCCGCAGAATACATCCTATGGGCGCACTTCTCACCGGAAAAGGGCAAAGTCACAGTGTACCTCTCCACAAAGAATATCCCCGACCCTGATGCGTTCCAGAGGTTCTTTCTCCCAAAGTTTGATGAGTACATGAATGGCAAAGGCAAAGGAAATGGCAAAGGAAAATCAATGGCACAGAGCGCCGCCAGCACCGAGAAGGACCCTTTCCACTTACCTTTGACGCACACATCCCACTCGAGTACGGCAAGGTACCCCTTCATGATCGACGTGCGCATCGTAGATGACACCGTTTCGCACTGGGAGGTTTGGAGGGAACTCTGGCAAGAAGCCGTTGCAGATGCCACCCGCCCCTACATGGCAGCAAGACCTTCTGACCGGGAGCTGTGAAGTCTCACCCCGCCGTGTCTTAGCCGTAGGCTTTTTCCCGACACCCACCCACAACATACGGTAATGCCGGGCACACAAAGTATCGCACAGAAAGAAACCACATCACAAAAGGTCAATGCCAGCAACTTAAGGTTCAGACGTGACAGTGGCTACGGCCACAAGACCTACGGGTCTCTCGAGGTAATCTCTTGGTACTCTCAATCTTTGCAACAGAAGAAAGGCAGCCAGACACAAAACAAACACAGAATTGCCAAACTAACATACAACAACTTATCGCTCCATAATCAAGCTTTGTCACAACCTCTAGAGGCGAATTTCCAATCAAATGCAGCGCACACAGGCCCCCCCATGGCAATGCGGGAAAGCCGCACTGAACGTTCTAAACGAACAGACGGCGGTAACCAACTGTCGAACCCAAAACTGCAATCAACTGATTCTACGAAGATGGGCCCCAAACGGAAATGCCGTTCTAATACTGCTTTACTTAGACGTCGAGTTAACAGAGCTAGAAACAGAAACATGCATAGGAGATCCTATCGTCATTTAAAGACACAGGCCCTTGCTTTGGCCAGGCAGGTGCCGCTGTTCAAGGCCCAAGATCCAACGGACAATCTTGAGTTTCTTGATTGGTTCAAACCGAAACCTTTTGATTCCCACACACATACTATTACACATGAAGAGTTTTCATTAGGATTTTCTGACTATCAGGACAATAGTTTTAAGGATCATGGGATCACCGATTACAAGATTGCAAGTCTTAATTGTAGAGGTCTTGCATCACCTTCTAGCCGGGAAAGACTTGTCCACACCATGAAGAAATACCATTTAGACATTCTTTGCTTGCAAGAAACAAAAATTAATGTTAACTCCATGGAACTGCATGATGGTTTTAGTTTTTATTGGTCTAGCGGAATCAAAGACGAAGACCGCAACAAAGCGATAGATCTCAAACGCTCGGGTAAGGGGTCAAGGGACAACCCCGAACATGGACAAACCTTCAGAAATGCTATTGAACATCTTGGGGTTGGCGTTGTTCTACATCCACGTATCAGAAAATATGTTTTAGATGTTCGACAGCACAGTGCTAGAAATATCATGGTATCATTGAAAACTAGATGTGGTGTCCTGGACATCTTATCTACTTATGCGCCTCAGGCGTGCCACCGAGACTCACAAGCAGCAGAAGCGCATTACGCTGAATTAGAATCACTTGTGTCAATAAACTATGCCTTCGCTCCTAAATTAGTTCTTGGAGATTTCAATGCAAGATTGATTAAAGCCCTTCCACACGAGACTTGCGTAGGACCTTACACTTTTGGGATCGAGCGACAGGATCTTGATTTTCTTAGTGATGCCCAGCTGGAAAACCGTTTCAAATTTGTAGAGTTTTGTCTGGAAAACCAATTTGTGGTGAAAAACACATTCTTCTGCAAACCCGAAGCTGAACTTGTGACATACAGAAGTGTAGGGGTTAAGGACTGGAGCCCTCCATGGCATCCACATCAATATAGCCAAATGGATTATATTCTCGTTAATGAACCATGGAAAAATGGTATCACAGATATTTTCGCCACAGAGGTGCATGACATTGACACGGATCATAAGATGTTGATTGCCAACGTCCGTCTAAAACTGAAGAAGAAAGGCCGTGTCAAAACTACTTCACGGATTAAATTTCATAAACCTTCGGGAGATGAAATAGCCAATTATAATGCTTGTGTGGCACAAAAAGCTGATGATCTTCAATCATGTGATAATACTGACAGTTTTGATTTGCTGAACTCAATTCTTCTTGAAAGTTCGCAAGCCACGCTCCCAAGATGTCATCCAGAGCAGAAAAAGGATTACATTTCGAAAGATACATGGGACCTTCTAGAAAAACGATGGGAAGCCATTTCAAACCAAGATTCGGCCTTGGCGGAAACGCTGAGCAAGGATATAACCAAGAGAGTTCGACTTGACAAAGAGCAACACTTACTGAACGAATTAGAAGCGGTTGATCAAGATGGTTATAAATGTTATAAATGGGATGGATTGAAAAAGATGAGAGCCAAATTCACTCCTAATTTTACTAAGTTCAAAGATTCCGCTGGCAATCATGTTCCATACAGTGACTACCCGCAGAAAGCTGCAGACTACTTGGCGACAACCCAATGGAAATGCCCTTCAGCAGAAGACCCAGTTGCACCTTCAAGGATCGATAGCCCTTTGCAGGACGGCAGGTACATCGTGTCTGACGACCCTTTCACAATAGATGAGTTAGATGCTGTTCTAAAAAAGGTTAAAAATAACAAAACTCCAGGAGTAGATGGTGTTCCAGGAGAGCTTTTTAAATGGCTTGACCAAAATAATCGGAAACTTTTCCTTAAGGTTGCTAACACTTGTCTTAGACATGAGGAGGTGAAACAACACCATATGAATGCTGTCGTTGTTAGTATTTACAAAAAGGGCGATGCTTCGTCTTTAGCTAACTACAGACCCATTTCTTTGCTAAACAGCTGTTACAAAATCATGGCGGCCTTGGTCAAGGAACGGCTAGACTCTGGGCTAGATGCATGGATCTGTTCCACACAGTATGGCTTTAGGAAACATAGAAGCACAGCCCAGGCCATCTTCCTGGCCAGGCGTCTCCAGGACATAGCAGAAAAATCCAATGCCAGATGTACACTTGTTCTATTAGACTCGGAAAAGGCTTTCGACCGAGTATCCCAAGATAAACTAATAGAAACTTTATATCGCTTGAAGGTACCCGAAAAACTCTGCAATCTGATCGGGAGTTTGTATAACGATCCCCAATTTAAAGTTTGCGTGGGAGAAGCAGAATCAACGTGGAGATCGCAGTGCTCAGGAATTCGGCAAGGATGCCCGCTTTCCCCTTATTTATTCACCTTGGTTATGGGAGCCCTTTTTGCGGATGTCATGGAAGAAATCTATACGCCCAGACAACTTGAACCGCTAGATGGTGTCTACTTCAGTAAAATTTTGTATGCTGACGATACATTGATTTTTGGAGCCAACACACAGTGCATAAACACTTTCCTTCATGCCATCGAGCGCCACTCTAAATATTTTGGCGTTAATCTTAATTATGATAAATGCGTCAATCTGACCGCCAACCAGCGACAAAGCTCTGTGCGTTTTGCACAAGAAGGACCGGCAGAGGGGGCATTTGTCCCAAGGAGGAAATCGGCAGTGTATCTAGGGACCCTTTTGACGGATTCCTTTGATAATAGAGCAGAGATTCTCAACAGAATAGGGGATTGCATTGCTACATGTCGGCGCTTAAAGCTATTTTGGGATAAAGCTAACACTTCAATCAAATGGAAAATCCAAGTGTTCACGGCTATCATAAGATCAAAACTGCTATATGGTTTAGAATGTATACAGCTGACCCAAAATGAAATCTCTAAGCTCAATGCTTTTCAAAACAAAACATTACGACGTATTCTCAAGAAACCTCCTACTTTCATAGACCGGGAACAGACCAACCTGAAGATGTATGATGAGATCAGACAGGAACATGGGTGCCATTTTGAACCTTTCGGAGACACTTGGAGAAAAAAGAAATTGAAACTTCTAGGGCACATGCTTAGAAGTAGCAGAGCTGACCCTTTGAACCAAGTCACGTTTGCAGCAGATGGACTTCGTCCCCGTTCGATAGACAAAAGGCGGCCAGGTAGACCCAGACTAGATTGGCTAACTGAAACATATAAAGACGCCTTCCAGCACATGTATGGCCACGATCAGTTTTTTGACCCTTCAGATCTTGAACACATGAATCGAGTCAAACAATGGGCTACACAACGGATTGGCCCTTTCTAAAGGGGGCAAGTCCCAGGCCACTGGCCTCTCAAGGTACTCTCGTGGCAATTTCATAAGTGCAGGTGTGGACGGCATTGTGAATTTATTTGAGGAGTTCTTTTTATTGGAAGGGTGTGGTGTCGGTTTGTACAGTCTCAGTTTTTACAATTTGTCCGTCGGGAGCCCATATGCTCGACCGAAAAAATGTATGTATATGTGAGATATTGTGCTATCTATCCATGTATTAGCCATGTATCTTGATATCTACTATACAGACTGAAATACATCGATAAATCAAACAATTAAATAAATCAAACAACTTAAATAAACAACACATAAACCCATGTATGTGGATATATATATATATATAAATTTAATTAAATATATATATATATTATTACATACATATCGTCATGTTGCTTCAGGCCAAGTCGAAGCTTCAGCTGCGGCTGACCCACAACGAGCACCTGGTGGCCCCCCGCGAGAGGGTCGAGCCACGAAGCCCCGAGGTGAGCCCTGAAGCCGTGGCGGCCATGGCGAAGCGCTTGGTGGAACGGACGCGGAAAGACTTGGAGGCACAGATGGCCGTGACTTGGAAATTTCCAGAAATTTCTAGGTATGTCAATGTCATGGTCTATCATTGATTATGTTTAACCATAATTACATAATTTAACCATTACATTCAAATTCAAAACTAATGCGCTGATGGATTTGCTAGTGGGCGCCCTGAGAGTGAACTTCAAGCAGTTGCGCATCAGATGGGGCGGTTTTGGAGAAAAAAACAAAACTAGCTGGAGGCCTCATATGTCATGTTGCCAACAAGTTGTAGGTTTGGGTTTGGGCACGTTTATCTCAGTTTCATGCAAACTCCTCCAGGGTGAATGGAGAGGACATAGGTCGAAATGGTGCATTGAGTTGATGAGAATCAAGACGGCTCGCACTTGTTGGATTGTTGAGGTTGGAACGGTTGGAACGTGCTGACTATGGTCGTTTAAATTCTCCATTTGTCTTCAGTTGTTTAATTAACTTAGGTGCTACAGCATCAGTTTGGTCAAGTCAGTCGTGAATTGGAAAGCCTCAGCCGAGCCGCTGCATTGGCACGCGCGGGTGACTTCTCGTGATTCACGCAGTAGGAAGCAGGGAGCGTCGCGGGTTGATGAAACTCCACTAGGAAGACAGTGTGGCTGTTCGGAGAAACTCCCTGTGTTTGACATGAAGAAAAGCACTGTGCTCAAGTCAAATTTTAACGCCACGCGTGTTTGTGCGTGTTTGGTGCTTTTGGAACTGGCAGACGGCCACATCAACATTTTTCACTATGGCGCATATCAGGACCATCTAAGGGACCATCCAAGGGACCTTCCTATCAGATTGTGAAGCGCATGATGTTCAGCCCATCTGTTTGCAGTATGACCCCTAGCCTCCCTGTGATGTTTTTTTGAGATTCCCCGTTCACATCATTCACCAATGAGCAACCATCAATCCATTGGTTGATTTTCCAATCCATAGTTTCCACCCAAAATCGCTTCAACAGTTCCATTTCAATCTGCTCTCCAACCATTCTTCACCATTCTTCTGACTTGGGGATTTCCCCCACCATCTTCCCATTCTCCATCATTTTCCATCATCCAATCAGCTCCCATCCAGGTGAATGTGATGCTTCCGCTTTCAGCCTGCGGAAGTACCTGGTGGATGCCTTGGTCCGTCCCAGCAGCCTGGAAGATGCCCAGCAGCTGGCGCTGCGGCTGCTGAGCCAGGCCCTGGATGCCGCCACGCTGCTGTCAGCCTCGGCCCTGGCGCCGGCGCCGGACGCCGAGAGCTACGCGGCAAGAGCGCCGGTGGAGATCTTTGCGAAGTATGTCACTTGGCGGAGGAAGAGAATGGAAGAGATTTGAACATCATTTAAGCATATTTAAGCCATTGAACCAATTGGAATTCAATTAGTAACTGGAGTTCTGAGTTATTGGGTCATTTTCATTGGGTCATTGTTTGTGGGGAAGCCAATGGTATGTATTGGAGTCCTCCATTTTGGGAACACCCATGAAAAATGGGCTGACTTCAATTCTTCTTGGATCGTTTGCCTGTTTGTTGTACGTAACGTTGACCAATGTTGACCATTATATACGTATTTATATATATATATACATGTATGCATACATACATATTTGCTGTTTCCATTATTTGCTTGTGTAAAAAGTAAAATATTTCACCGATCGACCAGATGCATCCCATAGGTTCGAATTGCATATGAACTTGTTTGCAAATCGTTAGTACTAAGTGGCTAGAGCATACTGGAGCCACCAAGCCTTCTGGCATCTTATGGAAGTGCTCTCTTTCGGAATCCAATTTTCCCGCAGCCCCAGGAAACATTGCAAGAAACTCGCCGCCTCCACGAAGAGTTGGTGGCAGAGCGTCTTCAGGAGCTTTTAGCCACCAGCCATTCGGATGCTTCGACGGTGCTGCAACCAGTGCCTGCAGGTGCTAAAGGACCGAAGGGACAGAAGGGACCAAAGTTCCTACCACCAATGCCAGGTATGCCAGGTGGATCGGGATCCATTGATGCCGATAGGGATCCAGATGGATCGCATCCCGACTTTTCTGGTGGATCCTGGGGCTTGCACAACGGTCATGCTGGAGCATTTCCCCCGTGACAGCCTTGCCGGAGAAGACTTTGCATGGGGCCAAAGGTACCCAAAAGATTGTACATAGACTTGCGTCAAATACGAAGGAGTTGCACAAAGTGCACCAAAAAAAGCTAATGAACTGCCCCACTGCACCAAGTGCACTTGCGGGCTTTCTGTGACACGAAGCTGAAAGTGAGCGTTGCTGTTTAAGATTGAAATGCAAACCATGGACCTCATTGGAATGAAGTCAGAGCGCGGAAGAACATTCTAGATATTCTATGATATTCTAGTGTTTCACATGGTGTTTCTATGTGCTTCTCTTTCCCGGTCCTGTGCAGATCCATGGACATCATGCCGAACAACGCTGCTGGACCGGTTGCAGACATTCCAGGCTTGGGCAGCTGACCGCCAGCAACCTTTCACCAGCTCAGGAAACCGCCTTGCGCTAAATGGGATAGATCATGATAGATCATGAATTCATGATAGGTCATGATAGATCATTGTGAATCATGATAGATGAATTGTGAATCCTCCTGTTTCCTTGCGATTGTCAAGGTGCAAATACAGACCTGGAAGGCCGGGTGACGGTGACCTGGTCGACTTGTGGACCAGAACCAATGAAGATTTGGTTCAGGTGGTACTTGCACCATGCCGCATCAAAGCAGAGGACAATGTCTTGAGGAACAGAACAGACTTAGATAGACTTAGATAGACTTAGATAGACTTAGATAGACTTAGTGATACTTTGTGAATTTTTGCGTCGTAAACCGAGTTCGCGGGTCAGGCACCAGTGAGGCGGAGTCCAGCGAGGCGCTGGGGTTTGCTTCGCAGACGGACGATGTCGGACGATTGGCTGGTCGCTGGTCGTTGCCAGGGCTCAAGTGCCACCTCCGATGATGACGAAGGCGCGTTGACAGGGCGGGCGCGCCGACATGCTTTCTCTTTTGGCATCTTTTGGCATATCTGGCAAACATGGTATAGATTGGTATAGATTGGTATAGCATATCTTTACATTGAACATCATTGAACTAGAAATGTGCAGTGGACCATCTGTGTGAAATGTACTGAAATGTAAGACATTTACCATTGCATTTTGGCCTGTTGGACAGGCTCTGAATCTGAAGAGAGAGAGGAAGAGGCGCAGAAAACTCACGAGTCGCAATCAGCCAAAGGCCAAGGTTTGTCACGATACCGAAGACATGTTTACATTTCTATGCACATCTAGTATCTTTTCAGACATCTCGTGGACTGCATGGCTTTGTAGTATTTCACTGTGGATCATTGTGGATTGTCCTTGAGCCTTTGGAATGGCGCCGACAGGATGGCAGCGAACGTCGACGCAGCACTAGAGAAAGCCAGGGCCTTGCAAGCTGTCAGTGCAGTGTGAAGATCTGTGGCCTAGTTACAGCACAATATTGCTGACAAGAAGAGTTTCCTGAATTCTTTATTGTGTCATCTCCATCAATAATTGTGGATGCGAATACCACCTAGGCATAACTAGGCAAATCTCGTAGTTTGGTCTTCTTATGTTTCTCACACTAATCAGCTTGACTCTACTAGCTAAAATTGATGGATGAACTGCTTGAAAGAAGGGAAAGCGCAAATAGTCAGATAAGGATCCCGGACAGAAGGAGAGGAGCCCCTGTAAAACATAGATGCTCTACAACTCTACTTGAATTCATGCTTCATGATTCATGATACACGATGCATGTAAAGGCCTAGATGTTGTTGCTTGAGAGCCTAATGTGAGAGAGGCGAAGCTGCAACTTCAAACAGCTCGATGAATCTTCAGGTGAGGAGTGGAAGCCAGCAATGCCTCGAAAGCACATCCCGCACAGCATTGGCATCAAGCGAAAGGCTAGGCGATTCGCTTCACGCCAATTGTGGCAGGGGTTGTTAGATGTTGTTAGATTGTTTTGCTGGCACCAATGCTTACCCCATTGTTGAGGAAGTCGCTTACCATTGTCTACCATTGTTTACTTTGTTCAGTTTCAAAGACTTGAGCCAACGATTCACATCACAGCTGAAAGACACGGTCGGCTGATCAACCAAACCAAGAGAAACTTCGGCACAACAGGCGGCCCAGAGACTTTTCCCCTCCTTGAGATTCTTGACATCCATTGGTATCCGATGTAATATAATATATATATATATATATTCTGGGTTTGTCCAAAAATTACCTAAAAATCCTATAACCATTGGGTCATCATAAATTTCACATTCTAAACAGCAAGAAACAATCATGTTGATCCATTTTGGTGGTATTCCCCATTTTCAGACACCACAAACCAACCCTGTGCAACAAGAGATTTCCAGTGTTGCACTGGCTAAAATTCTGTGCAGGTTGAGGATCTTCCGGATATCAACACTCTTTATGAGCCTCGAGAGCTTGCTCAGCTCTTTGCTTGCTGCCTCAACTGGGTGGCAGGATTCATGGTTGGCTTGCAGAAGAATTCACATGGAATATATGGGATATGGATGAACGTTTCTAAGGGGAAAAAAATAAAAGTTCTTGGATTTTGTTTGGATCATTTGGGTACCCAATTTTGACCCACAACCTCAGGAAGCTAGTGACCATGCTGCTGACGAGTGATCATACCAGGGAAAATCGAGATCTTGAGCCCATTTAAGTTGTGGAACTGATCAGAAAACGGAAGATACGGAAGCCAGTGGGTGCCCTATGTGTGCCCAGAAAGCTGTGGATTCCTATGTGCACCTGGTGCTGTCTCCGGGAGCACATGTCCGGGATCTCAACTCGTGGCTCAACAAGCCATCAATTGGTTCGAAGGTAACAAAGATTTGCATCGTTTTTCTCGAAATTGTTCACCAGACCTATCCCGAAAAAAATACAGTATGAGTTGTCGTGGCCACACTGTTGCCTGCCAAGCTGAACACTGAATTTGGCTGGTGTGAATGTAGGATTGTTGCAACCTCCTCTCCAGGTGTAACTGTGCAAAGCTGATTCCTTGTTTTCATTTCCTACTTGTACCAAGGTTGCTCACACTCCAGAGATGTTCTTAGCATCAATGCTTTCGAGCCTCCATCCTGCAGCCAGAGAAAGAGAACGAGACCTGCTTGACAGGCAGGGGGGGTCCAAGCATCTGAATACCGCCGGAAGAGGGGCCCTGTCTTTTCCCAAAGGTTTGAAAGACAAAATCTGCACATTCAGTCTGTGTCAAGAAAACTGCAAGGGACGTTTCCTTCTACTTGGCTCTGCGGCATCATGCCCCAAACCTAGAAAACCAAGTCTCTCTTCCCATGACTCGTTGATCTCGTTGAATCGTATTGCTGTGCCAGGGAGAGACGGCCCATCACCCCCAACACTGACATCGGAGGCAGGTCAATGCGCACAGAGACTCCCAGACTCAGGGGTCTCCCACTAGAAATGACTTGATCCCAAGACCTAGCCCTGGATATTGACAAAATCAGCGGGAAGTAGGAAGTGGACTTGTTCTCAAATTGGTGTGAAAACCTTCACAACCGATAGGGGACCACCCACTTCGTCCATTGCGAGTAGTAGGTAATCTTGTCCGCAATTCATATATAATAATATATAATAATATATAATATATATATAATATAATGTAATATATATAATATAATATAATATATATATTATATATATAATATATATAATATATATAATATATATAATATATATAATATATATAATATATATAATATATATATAATATATATAATATATATATAGTATATAATATATGATATAATATATCATATATGATATAATATATAATATAATATAATACAATATAATAAAATATAATATAATATAATATAATACAATATAATATAATATAATACAATATAATAAAATATAATATAATATAATATAATACAATATAATATAATATAATATATATTATATTATATCATAATATATATATATATTATATAATATATTTTATATAATATATTATATATATATATATTATATAATATATATATATATTGTGTTTGTGTTATATATTGCTATTATTATTACTATTACTAAGTACTAATTACTAATCACCAACTACTAATTACTAATTACTACTACTATTACTACTATTATTACTACGTAGTACTACTGCTACTGGTACTGCTACTGCTACTGCTACCGCTACCGCTACCGCTACCGCTACTGCTACTGCTACTGCTACTATGTTTAATTTATTGTTTAACCCAGTGATGGCGCTATGTTGGACACGGAGCTTTGGTTTTCTCCCAGGTGCAGGAGGCTATTTGCGAGACAAAGAAGGGCCATTGGTGCTGCGACCCATTTTTTGCAGGTCCACGTGGCCCAAGTCCGTCACGTGCTAGTCAGTTTTGAGGCAGTTGTGTTGGCCATTTTTGGCTACGTACGGGCCTGAAAATGGTGTCTACCCCCCAAATGGTACTTTTAGTAGGGAAAGTGGTGATTCACCAGTGGAATTAGAGGTACTTGAGGTATTCTGTTTTCGGAGAAAACAATTGATTACGTTTCCATACGTTTCCACAAACAGGTGCCAAGAAAGTGGGAAGATCTGGCCAGGTTCCTTCTGGGCTCCAAATTGTGCGGCAGCCGGGATTCACCGCATCGATACCAAGACTGTCAGGATCCAAGTGCTGCGCTTGCAGTTTGTTCCAGGGAACCACTGCCATGTTGCTTAAAGATGAGGAATACACGGAAGCTCTGTACACAGTTTCTTTTGTGTTTGAAAGAACTGTCTGACTCTGGAGATCTTTGCTCAGAGTCTCGTATAGTTTAGCTGTTGTATATAAGTTTGATTGATCCCAAATATGGCTCTAGAATGAGTTGCAAGAGGATCCAGAAAAAGACCCCAGACATATTTCAGCCTGTTCAGGCGCGATGCAATCAAAGTGTGTATTGTATCGCTACCGTGTCTTCGTTTGTTTTCTCTTGTCATATCTTACCTTGACAATCTTGACAAAGGTGTCGCCGCCTTTGATGCACATGCATCTCGCTACGAGGCCAGCTTCTTTTTTCTGAGATGTCTTGGGACAAGCAGTGATCGATGTCACTTTTGAATACTTTTGGGCAATCTACAGTGGGGCATGTGGGGCATGTCATGAAGTCTTTCTACACAGCCGAAGTTGAGGCCTTCTTTGGGATGCCGCGCAACCTGCTGCTGCGCGTCCTTTCAGGTGCCAAGGGATGCCATTTAAAATCGAATCATACCTGGTCATACCGCCATACCTTCCGGACCATTGACTTTCCGCGATTTTCCAGTTCTGGTCCCGATGAGGCATCGTGCTTCCACCTGGTTGTGAAGCCTCCTTGATGGCCTCAGCCTTCAGCGACAAAGCCATTCGCCAGCTTCCGAACCAGGCGCGACGGGCAAGTGGTCGAAGTCGATTGGGTTTCGTCTGAACACATGGGGTCTACAGCGAGCCTACAGGCGGCCTACAGGGGCCTACAGGGGCCTACAGGGGCCTACAGGGGCCTACACCGTACACCTAGTGAAATCTACTGGCTCATTATGTTTCGAAAATGGCCAAGTTTTTTGGAACAGTATACATCCCTATTTCATCCAAGTTCCCGATCTGGTTCCCGATCTCCTCTCGTTGGCCTCCGCCACTTGCACAGGTGAAACGATTCTTAGACCATCACTTGCGCAATGCCATGGCCCACTGCGAGGCCCTGTGACACGCCACAGCAATGAGTCGGGTAGCAACGGGTTCTTTGTATATGTTTGTGTGTTGTCCACTGGACATGTGAAATCACAATGGTTGGATCTCATGATCATAGGCACAATAAACGTGATGGTTCTTAGATGTTCTTAGGCACAATAATCACCAATATTATTTATGTGTATATATATATATACACATATAGAAAGACATGAAATGAATTTCAGTGCCGCCCTTGGCCTTGGATCCTTCTTGCATTTGAGACATTGCAAGAAAGGAACGGCCATGGTCCAGGCCCGGCGGCAAGCTCTGGAGGACAGCATCTCTGGTCTTCCATGGGTGGACCAACTGCTGCCACTCGGTGCTTTTTCGCGACACCGATTCCAGGATGGTTTATTGGAGGCTTCATGATATATCATGATATTATGGTGATATATCGTGGTATATCATATATCATGATATATCATGATATCGCTTATTGGTAAGATGTTGGGATTTTTCCCGAGAGCGTCTGAGCGCAGGGTTCTTCCAATAGTGGGGGTCTGTAAAACATCTTCTCATCTTCACATCTCATCTTCACATTCTCTCATCTTCACATCTTCTCATCATCTTCACATCTTTTCATCTTCACATCCTCTCATCTTCACATCCTCTCATCTTCACATCTTTTCATCTTTACATCCTCTCATCTTCACATCCTCTCATCTTCACATCTGCTCATCTTCACATCCTCTCATCTTCATATCCTCTCATCTTCACATCTGCTCATCTTCACACCTTCCCATCTTCACATCTGCTCATCTTCACACCTTCCCATCTTCACATCTTCTCATCTTCACACCTGCTCATCTTCACATCTGCTCATCTTCACATCTGCTCATCTTCACATCTGCTCATCTTCACATCTGCTCATCTTCACATCTGCTCATCTTCACACCTTCTCATCTTCACATCTGCTCATCTTCACATCTGCTCATCTTCACACCTTCCCATCTTCACATCTGCTCATCTTCACACCTTCCCATCTTCACATCTCCTCATCTTCACATCTGCTCATCTTCACATCTGCTCATCTTCACATCTGCTCATCTTCACACCTTCTCATCTTCACATCTTCTCATCTTCACATCTGCTCATCTTCACATCTGCTCATCTTCACATCTGCTCATCTCTGCTCATCTTCACATCTGCTCATCTTCACATCTTCTCATCTTCACACCTTCTCATCTTCACATCTGCTCATCTTCACATCTGCTCATCTTCACATCTGCTCATCTTCACATCTGCTCATCTTCACATCTGCTCACCTTCACATCTTCTTATCTTCACACCTGCTCACCTTCTCTCTCACGCCTTCTTTTTATCTTTCTCTCTTAAGGCCGAGGGTGGTGCCGGCGGCGAGTCACGAAACGTCAACCCTTTCGCACGAAATGAGGGTCGATCGTCAAAAACTGATGTAAAATTGCGATTTTACTTGTCCCCGAGCAACCCTTTCGCACGAAATGAGGGTCGATCGTCAAAAACTGAGGAAAAATTGCGATTTTACTTGTCCTGGAGCAACCCTTTCGCACGAAATGAGGGTCGATCGTCAAAAACTGAGGAAAAATTGCGATTTTACTTGTCCCCGAGCAACCCTTTCGCACGAAATGAGGGTCGATCGGCTAAAACTGAGGTAAAATTGCGATTTTACTTGCCCCGGAGCAACCCTTTCGCACGAAATGAGGGTCGATCGGCAAAAACTGAGGTAAAATTGCGATTTTACTTGTGCCGGAGCAACCCTTTCGCACGAAATGAGGGTCGATCGGCAAAAACTGAGGTAAAATTGCGATTTTACTTGTCCTGGAGCAACCCTTTCGCACGAAATGAAGGTCGATCGGCAAAAACTGAAGTAAAATTGCGATTTTACTTGTCCTGGAGCAACGCTTTCGCACGAAAAGGGGTTTGTGTGTACGAGCGTTTCTGTGTAAAGATATTTGTGCGTAAAAGTGTTTGTGTGCACAAGTGCATCTGTGTAAAAGTGTTGTGTGTAAAACCTTCTGTGTGTAAAAGTCTTTGTGTGTAAACGGGTTTGTGTGTACGAGTGTTTCTGTGTAAAGAAGTTTGTGTGTAAAAGTGATTGTATGTAAAATTGCGTCTGTTTAAACGTGATTGTGTGTAAAAGCTTCTGTGTGTACAAGCGTTTGTGTGTAAAAGCAGCTCCTGTGTGTAAAAGGGTCTGTGTGTAAAAGTGTCTGTGTGTAAACGTGTCTGTGTGTAAAAGTGTCTGTGTAGAAGCGTCTGTGTGTAAAAGCTTCTGTATGTAAAAGCTTCTGTATGTAAAAGCTTCTGTCTGTAAAAGCTTCTGTGTGTAAAAGCTTCTGTGGGTAAAAGCTTTGTGTGTAAAAGCGTCTGTGTAAAAGCGTCTGTGTGTAAAAGTGTTTGCGATGCAAACTATTGTCTTGCACTTCTCACTATTTTGTCTTGATACTCCTCTTCTCGACTGCCTATAACACAGCTTTCATATATCGTTTCTAATATTGCGTCTCCATACTAACAAGAGAAGACCCTGCTCCTCTACGCTCTCGGGCCATCCGTCGTCTAGTTTGTTGGATTATCCAACAGATTTGGATTATTTCTGAATATGAATGGTAAAAACATGCGCGGCACCTTTGAGGTGGTTGGACCCTGCGCTTCTACCGAAGGTGAGGAGATGCATTGGGTTTTAGACCTTCCAATGGTTGGATTTGGACGGTTTTTTACGCATTGATAGTATTGCACAGTTGGTTACCTTTATTAAAAAGCCCAGCCTCTTCTTTCCATTCCAAGACATGACAAAAAAAATGCTGCCCAGGCAGGGGCGGGATTGAAGTGGCCATGTAGATACTGGAATTGAGTGTCACGCATTGTTTTGTTGCTGAGAGGTAGATGAGGAAGCGGACTTGAAAGAAAAAGAGACGCCCAAGGGGAAAGACTCGAAAGACCCGAAGGAAAAAGAGAAGCAAAAGGAGAGCAATCGTTGAGCAATGCCATGCAATTTGCAAGGTTCGTGTCATTGCTTGTCAGTTTGTCATCGATTCGTCGTCACATCCCTATTGTGATGGGGGGTAATGTCAAACAATGCCATGGCCATATGGCCTACAGAGACTTGTGCCATTCACTCAGTTCTCAGACTAATGTGATTTGTCAAGTCAAGGTGCTTCCCGTGCTCACTGCTCTGCAACAAAAAAACCCACAAACTGCAATCCATTCTCTTTTGCAGCTCAGCGAGTTGTGCAACATACCTTGCATGAGCTCTTCGTCACGGTTTTGAGAGACAGAATGATGAGGAGAAAGATCCCCCTCCTCGAAGTCGCCGGGTCTGAGCCCTGGTGAAGATTTCCAGAGGGTCAGAGTGGTTTGGGCTGCCAACTCACATCATGTGCAATCATTTGCAGAGGGATCGCAAAAAGAAGCCCACTGCAATTGCCATGGTCATGTCAGGGAGATCGGCCAAAGCTGGAGCGCAGCCCCACGCAGAATCTGGAGGAGCCACGGGCTGCCAAAGTCATGAAGATGAAGGCTGGGATTGGCTGGAATCGGTGAATACTTTGGTTTGGAGCCAAGGATCGATATTAGATGATATTAGGCTGCATGCTGCATTATGATTATTATGCATGACTATGGGAAGATACTGGAAGATACTGAAAGATATTGGAAGATACTGGAAGCCTTGGTTTGGCAGTTTCATGGAAATTCTGTCCAGATTAAAGCATCGGAATACATTTTGCATGGGCCGATTGTGAGATATTGTGAGCAGCACCTGCAGCCATCAATGTACCATTGTAGCATGACTATTGCCTGCAGTTGTGGCTTGCGTTAGCCAAGGAAATGCTTGAACGCAGAACATGTAGTTCAATTCATTCATTAAAAGTTGAAAGAGAATCATTTGATGAATTTCTCATGAAACTTCCACAGCCAAACAGCCAAAAAATTAAGCCGTCAGCCAGTGCTGCCAGGCACCAGAGCCAACCTTGCGTTTGCCTCCAGGGATTTGGCCGCCGCTGCCTCCACGCTGGGTGATGTCGGAGAGGTGCCCAAAATGACTGTATGTAATATACACACACAGGGTGTGTTATATACATATATATATATTACATACAACTATATTACATGCAATTATATTACATTATATATATATGTACTCTGTTGTATTATACTATATATAGTATAGTTACACATATTGTTGGGATAGGGGACCCGATTTTCAAACCCCTGTGATTCCATGGTATACCCACGATGGAGTCTGAACATTGGCTGTGCCAGGGGTCTTGAACAGTGGAAAGAGGGCATTCGTCAATGGGAAAACGAGGTCTATCAGCAGAGTCGGGGCACTTGATAGTTTCAGATGGTGCGAGCCGGCGATGGGACATTTGGACTTCAGAACTCTTAAGAATCCATGAGAAGGTGCAAGAAACATGTTGCTGAAAGCCAGTTTGTTCAATGTTTAACAGTTTTCGAGTTTTTAACTGGTTGGTTTATTCTGTTTTCGCGTTTCAGCATGTTGTCCAGGTCCATCACAGCTGCGCGCTTTGTGCGGAGACTTAGCCATTCCGGTGGAAGTGATGCCACTGCGGTGCGACGAGAATGAGGACGTACCCTTTAAGCTTAGAAGATACACATCAAACTGAGTCGCAGCGACAGGGTGATTCTCCCTGGTTTTCCATATTTGCCCCCGTATGAATAGTATGTCGGGTATCCTCGTCAAATTTGAGTGATACATAGTGATACAGAACGGTAGTTTTCCAGTTGTGGCATTAAAAACCTGACCTGGTGTTCTGAACAGCTGCCCAAGAAGCGTGGAGATTTTATGTAAGCTGGTAGTTGGGCACGAGTTGAACGAGAAGAATTCGATGCAGACGTGTATTTTTCAGAGGACTTACTGTAGTAACACTTAGCAGATCTTAGCAGCAAGTTTTCTATGATACCAGAATGGGCAAGGACCATCTGGGCAGGGACAGTCGTTGCAGGTACGAGAACACCGCCAAAGTGGTCATGGGTGAACTGCTCTCCAGTCAACTCTTGGAACCTGAGGCACACGCGCAGCGCCTGGGATATGTGGGCCAAATTTGTGTCGGTGAAAGCGGGGGCTTAGGCTCGTGAATAACAGGTTCAACTAAACTTTAAAAGTGTTATGTTGAAATTAATTGTTTCTTAGATATCACGAGCTCACTAACTTCTAGAGTATGCTGGGTTTTATGAAGGCCCCTGCAAGCTACTTTTCGGGAATGTGCTGCTTCCTTTCTTGCAGGCTTCATGAGATGAATGCCTATAGAAACTAAAGGTTTTCCGTATGCTCTCTGTAGGAGATGGGAAAATTCTGAACAAAGACAGAATTCTAGCCAGTAGAGGGAGTGCTGTACATGTATTACATGGTATTACTCACTATAGAGCCAAATGCCTCCTATCCCTTGAGGATTTTGAATCACCCTGTCTACAGCCATTGGAGGTATTGCACTTTGCGAGTCGTTTCCAGCTACTTGGTGCAGACAAGCTGGGCCTTCTGAGATTCCGAAAATGCAGGCGCAGGTGCAAACGATCCCATCTCGGTCGATCCTTTTGGTGGAGGAAATCAGATGAAATCACTCGGGACACGACCAACACGACCATTCACAGATTCCCCAGTAGAATCCAGTAGAATGGTGCAACTGTAAATATCCGTTCTCATCTTTCAGGCAGACCACCATCCAGCTAAGGCCACTGTTCACCCGGGTTTTTGACGAATATGCGGACGAGCATTCAGTTGGCAGACTTGGAAGGGCAAACAGTGCGGCAAAATGGATGTCTTGCAGCGTAGAATGAATGGATTCCAAGAAGATATTTGTACATATCCGGAATCCGGATACAGATCTGAGGACTCGTGTGTTCAAAGGATGGAACTGTTGATGGAACTGCTCACTTTCACCCCAAGTGTGTTTTTGTGTGTTTTTGTCATTTGCTACAACGTGGCCCAGCCCTCGAGCCTGGGGAAAACATTGGTCACGCAGCTGGACGCTCTAAGACTCTAAGGCAGACTTGAACCATGGTGATGCATCAGCGTCGAGCAATTCGGAGTGTGCCGGGCATCCTGGTGACCCATTTGTGTTTGTGGAAACTTTGACTGTGGTACTTGGCTATTCAATTTATCCTTGGCAATACATGATTATTATGTATTATTATAAAGCCATCCAGCCAAAATACTCGTATACATTGTCTTACAGATTGTCTTACATCCAATTCAAAGCCCGCAAAATGGATGAATACATCCAAGAAATCAATGGATGACCGATGTTCACCTTTTTTGTGGCTCCACCGATGTCCACCGGAAAGGTGACACCCATAGTGCCGCCCAGTGCCCAGCCGCTCAGGGAACTGAGCCCAGCACACCAACGGGACCAACGGGACCCACTGCTTCGACGCTACTCCGCCAGGGTGCGGAGTCTCGGAGCAGATCCAAAAGGCGCGTGTCTGGAAATGGGGGATATGATATGATATGAACTGATATGACCCATAGTTGTGGCCATATATATATAATATATGATATATATAATATATGATATATATAATATATGATATATATAATATATGATATATATATAATATATGATATATATATATGTGTGGCCATAAGATGGAAAATGATGATCAAGCACCTGAGATGTTATTCTTCCCCAGCATTTTCAGGGAATTGCTGGCCCAGGTCCATTGCGCGGAGCCAAGGCTCGGACTCTTACGGTTGTGAATCTATCCTGGATAAATGACAGAATCACATATTTTTTTATGGTGAGCCACAGCATGTTTTCTGTGCTTTGAGAAGACCTTTTCTTAGTTTGGCACTGCCAGTGCTGCACAAAACTTGATGAGACTCTGAGAACATCTAGTGATGCTGGCAGAAAAAGGGCTTGTCTCAACAGAGGGTACCCTAAAATTCCTAAAATCGAATGGTGGATTTAATCAAACAATTCATTATCTTTACCATTCACATTGGCATTTTAAATGGTCAAACCAAGAATTGTACTTGCAACCGCCGAAGGGAGATGAGAAGCAACCTCCGGCCAAGACTCTGAAGCGAAGGGACAGTGCACCGGGTGGTTTTTGTGTTGCAGTTGTTGTTTGTACCATACCGTGTTGCGTTGTAGCAATAGCACACAAATTTGATGGTAGAGCAAGCAGTCTTTGACCACTTCATTTAGGTTTCATCAGGTGATGCGTTGCATGTGATTTTGCATGGTTTTGCAGTATAGACCGGCACAGCCAAAGCACCGAAGTTATTCGAATATTACTATCACATTCACGGCTGGTCAGATTGAACTGAATGGAGTAGAGCTCCAAGACCTAGGCTCAGATATGCTGAGATATGGTGAGATGGACAGATATTCCATGTATTTCCAAGTTTGACGATTTTGACGCAATGCACCCTGTGTCCATGGAACATGAGCTGCTCCGCAAGGAGGGGCCAGCAGATCTCATGTCATTCAACGCCTTCTTTTACTTCTGCACAGAGTTTGAGCTGTTTCCAAAGCATGCGTTCGAGCACCCAGAATCACCCACTGTACCAACCTTGCGGAGTTGACAGGACACATTTTGGTCGATTCTGTCATTGTCTTGGCAGATTTTGAAGGATCTCTTGTTCTAATGCGGGCATCAAGATGTTCCACGTTTGTGCACGGATGCAACAGTAAAAGCGACGGATGCTTGCTGCAAGACTCATAGGCAGCACGAAAACATTGCCTTTAACAACGCTGCAGTATTCTGCCACTACATGTATGTGACTGTATGTGTATATATATATAGTTGTAAATTATATAGTTGTATATGTAATTACGTACAACTAATCACAACCATAATACATAACTATGCTTCATTGCATTTTGCATGCCGTATTGTTGCGGTCATTCATGAGGTCCTTTGATGAGCTCAAGATGATTTACGACTCCGCTGAAATGGTCGAGGACTTGGCCATCGACAATTTGGAGGTTCGACTAACCATGACTCACCACTGGTGCATCTTATTTACTAAGTGGTTATATACATGTCATATATACGTGTATATATATATATATATGTATATATAGCCTCGTCCTCCCTCTTGGAACTGCGCACAACCCGAATTAGGTTGGTAAAACTTGTCAATTCCGGGACGAATTTTTGTCCCGGAATTGACAAGTTTCATTAGGGTCATCATCATCATCATCATCATCATCATCATCATCACATCATCACATCATCATCATCATCATCATGATCATCATCATCATCATCACAACATCATCATCATCATCATCATCATCATCATCATTATCATCATCAGCAGCAGCAGCAGTAGGATTATATTTTCATCATCTGCAAGTCCACATGAACGTTAACATCCCACCCCATCCCCCCCACCCCACCCCGCGTGTGCGTGGCATCAACTGCTTCCGCAAGTTCACATGAACGTTAACATCCCACCCCATCCCCCCACCCCATCGTATGTAGTTCCAAGAGGGGGGACAAGCCTATATATACACACACTAGCCACATATAATTGAGGTATACCCTGTACGATCATATATAATCACTATATAGAACTAGGTTAGTTATATTATGTTTATATGATGTTTATCAACCACTTACGATTCCTGTGATGCACATCCAAGCATGACTGTTCAAGACTGTTCAAGACTGTTCAAGACTGTCCGCAGGTTCCGCAGCGCCGCACCACGCCACAAGTCTCCGCAGCTTTGGCTGCGCAACTGCCGCGGGTGGGAACGGGTGGTTGGAAAGGAAAGGAACATGGGGATGGCTCAAAATTCTCTTGACCCTTAAATGGATGGTTAAGGACTAGAAACGATTGGTTTTGAGGGCCCATTGTCACCCCTTTTGTGAGTCATAGCTGCAACCAGAGAAGTTTCTTTCGACTGAGAGCGCCTGAGTCGATCAGTCCGTGTCGGCAGGTAGACTTGTCTTTCATGGATAAGCCCATGCTGGAGATGAGTGATATGGAGTTTGTTGCTTAGTCTCGTTTCTGACTTTCCTTGTGCGGTGGCGGTTGCCGGAAAGGGATTCCGGGATGGAATGCACAATCTACGACTTGCCGGTTTCAAGACATACCCTTGCTTGCTGAATTGCGTGATTGACACATATTGCCACTGGATTGCTGACAACCCGCCATCAGTCTGCCAACAGGTTGCAAGCGACCTTCTTCTTCGCTGCGTTGGAACAGTGGTGTGGACCTCAGCTATTTGGTGATCGCCTTTGTTCGTGGCGAGCTCCTGGACGAAGAATTCCTGACACAAATCATGCTATGCTTAAATTGAAACAGATCAGGTTTGTCAGGAGGAAGTCGTACGAAGCCTTGGACACTGAAATCTTTCCCGATTTCCAGTGTTTTGGGCCAGGATGGAGAGTCGTTTCCTCCGCCTTGCGGATTTGGTCGTGCAGCGCATGCCTTGGAGCTTGGAAGAGCTGGAGGTGCATAGTGGTACCACATGTGCTGACCACAGTCGCTCCATGTTTCTGGGGAGTGCAGCCCAGACAGTTGAGTGGTTCATCGAATTACATGATTGTAAGATAATCCCTTCCTCCTAATACTAAACGCCCCCCCATTACTAAACACGGCAGGTAGTTTTTAGTATTAGGGGGGTATTTATTATTAGGAAACCATATTGATAAAATTAAATCCTTAATAATAAAAACGATTTTTTCCGATCTCAAAATCAATTAAATTTCTTTATATAACGCGATTAAAATATTGCCAAAAATTGGATTTCGAAGCTTCCCCCTAATATTAAATTAAAACCCTCAATAATAAAAACTATTTTTTCGATCTCAAAATCAATAAAATTTCTTTATATAACGCAATTAAAATATTGCCAAAAATTGCATTTCGAAGCTTCCCCTAATATTAAATTAAAACTCTTAATAATAAAAACATATAAAAACTATTTTTTCCGATCTCAAAATCAATTAAATTTCTTTATATAACGCAATTAAAATATTGCCAAAAATTGCATTTCGAAGCTTCCCCCTAATACCAAATTAAAAACCTTAATATAAAAAAACTAAAAAAAATCGGACGGACCCTAATAATAAACACCCCGGGGTGAACTATTTTTTAGTATTAGGGGGGAAAACCCACAAATGGTAGGTTGATTTTTAAATTGTTTTCTAAAGGGGATCAATTAAAAATCAAATTGGCCAATCTGAATTTTTCTGAAATTGGAGATGGACGCCTGTTTTTAGTATTTGGGGGACGTTTAGTATTAGGAGGAAGGGATTAGTTCAAACTAATTCAAATATATGTATATGTAACGCTGCCATGCTACTGTACATGTTGATGCTGGTTTTTGACTCTGACAATAATATAGCTTCAAATTACTTTCCTCGAGTGGTCCCCGCCCTGACACATTATTCTGACATAGTTTCTGACATCCCATCTGGAAGTATATATCTTGGAAAAAACAATACATTCTTTCTGGCATGTACTCTGACATTCTTTCTGGCATTCTATCTGGCATCTATTCTGACATACTTTCTGGCATATATGCTGACATTCTTTCTGGCATTTATTCTGGAATCTTTTCTGGCATTCTATCTGGCATTCTATCTGACATTCTATTCTGGCATTCTATCTGGCATCTACTCTGACATTCATTCTGCCATTCATTCTATCTGACATTCTATTCTGGCATTCTGTTTGGCAGGGGGCCGGTATCGGCTGGTGGATATGACGCCATTCCTCAGCCTGTCGGTCCTGGGCTTGATACCCGGGAGCAATACCAGTCAGACAGGCGGTCAGTTAACCCAGTCTGCAGTCCGGAAACGGAGAGCCAGGCTCAGACAAGTCAGGTTGCTCATCGAAAAAGATTCGCATTCTGTTTGGCATGTAGTCTGACATTCTCTCTGACATGGGCACTGCAATCCCACTGAGATCTGGAGCTCGCGGTTGAGGTTCTGCAGTGCCCACTGACCTCTCTGGAGCTTGCTGCTGAGGTCCGGCAGTGCCCACTGAGATCTGGAGCTCGCGGTTGAGGTCTGGCAGCGCCACTGAGACTCGCCGTTGAGGTCCGGCAGTGCCCGGTAGAGCTCGCAGTTGAGGCCCGGCAGTGCACACTGCTGTCTGCAGGATGATGGAGGAGGACGGGACGCACCTCTGATAAAATCTAGGGGCCCTCACGTGGCAGGCGGGGAAGAAGAGAAGAATTGAGAGCCGCCCTTGTGCTTGGACATTGCCCTACTTCCTTTGTAGTTGGAAGCGCTCAGTTTTTGCAAAGTTTTTGCTTTCCAGGAATTTGGCAGTGCATCTGTTGCCCCACGATTTCCAGAGAAAAGGATGCGGCGCTCTGCGATTGCAGCTCCCAAGGACCCAGATTGACAGAGATGGCAGGGGGAGTTACAGCATTTTGCCGCACTTTTTAGTCTTGATGTGTTGAACAATCTGTTGGGATTTGTATGTATATAGATATATTTATTTACATGTATGCATATTTAGATATATACAAAAACATATAAATATACATATAAATATGCATATGCAAATATATATATATATACATACATATATACACATGTATACATATTATAATTATATATGCCAGATTGTCTGCTCTGTGCTGTCTTGCTTTTTGAAGTCAGAAGGCCACATGATGTTTTCAGCTGAACTGCCTCCCACAAATTCAAACGGCTGTGCCTTTGCTGCAGCTGATTCTGCTGAAAGGAAGAGGCTTCACAACCAACATCACCGTCCGTCGGGGCGCTTTAGTTGAGGGATACTGGGAGGTGGAGACAAAAGGAAAGTGCAAGCGAGGAGTCCATTTTTTGTCAGTATCCATCTTGAATTGGATTCAAAGCAGAATCAGTGGCCCCCATGTGAATTGAAAATGTTTTGCAGAATATGTTTGCTGCACTTGGATATTTGTCCAACATTTATGCAGATATACCTGTTGGTAAGGATTGCTGGGATTCATAGATTCGTATCTCTGGGGGGTGTAATGGCATGCTGGACATTGATGCAAGTCGTCCCAACAACGACCCTCTGCGCCTGCTTCCTTTTTGTTCCAGACTGTAGCCACGTGGGCGACCCAGGGCAATTCTTCTCTCACGTCAAGACACTCGGAACAAGGTGCGTTGACTGGGTCACGTTTGGCCTTGTAAACAGGCTAAACATTGTCAGTTTCACAGTCGACAATACGCTTACTTGATTGGATGCGTGTGGAAGATGGCAGAAATGTACAGCAACATCGATGCTTATGGAGCCTCTAGTCAGTGTAAACTACTCATGCATGGCACTCAGCCAAATTTTACCACTCGCTTACTACGAGGATGAAGATTGGAGCAGTCTTTATATTGTGTGACGGACGCGCGGAACGAGATTTGCGCTTCCTGGAGACATCAGAAAGATTCCTCTTGACCAGGAATTGAAGACCGAGGAGAAGAAGGTGGTGAAGACGGTCACAAGCAAAGAGGAAGAGAAGAAGGAGAAAAGGGAGGACGAGAAGAAGGAGAAGAAGGACAAGGCAAAGCATCGAGTAACAGCACTGGATTTCCACGGATCTCCTATGCACATTGAGGACCACGAACTCGTGTGGCTTTGTCCAAAAAAGCAGTGTCTCCAGTTCCAATGCATCGTCAATGTTCATCATGTTTTCATGTTAGATAAGTGGCAAAAGATTTGGGATCATTTGGGTAGAACTCCAATGGATTCTCATGGATAATCATCATTTTCACCAGCCAATCAATTGACTTATCCTCATGTCTTATGTGTCCTCCATTGCAGGGCGGCAGGCTGCAATTGGCGCCATGGCTCACTCTCAGCTTCTCGGCAAAGATCAAAAGGAATGACAATGACAGAAATAAACAATATTGCAATAAAAACAACAAATTATACTGGTAGAAAACGACACCGACGCCAAAGCCGATGCCGACACCAACGCCACCAGCACCAGCAGCACCAGCAGCAGCAGCAGCACCAGCAGCACCAGCAGCACCAGCAGCACCAGCAGCACCAGCAGCACTACCACCACCAGCAGCACTACCACCACCAGCAGCACTACCACCACCAGCACCACCCACCAACAGCACCAGCACCAGCAGCACTACCACCACCAGCACCACCCACCAGCAGCACCACCAGCACCACCAGCACCACCAGCACGACCACCAAGCAGTAGCAGCAGCAGCACCACCAACACCACCAACACCACCACCAACACCACCACAAGCCGCCACTACCGCCACTACCGCCACAACCGCCACAACCACCACAACCACCACAAATCCCAACCGCAACTGCAACCACAACCACAACCGCAACCACCACAACCACAACAAGTACGACGACCACGACCACGACCACGACCACGACGACAACGACAACGACAACGACAACGACAACGACAGCGACAGCGACAGCGACAGCGACAGCGACAGCGACAGCGACAGCGACAACGACAACGACAACGACGACAACCACAACAACCACAACAACCACAACACCACCACAACCAACCACCACAACCACCACACCACCACAACCACCACAACCCCACCACAACCACCAAAACCCACAACCACCACAACCACCACAACCACCACAACCCACAACCACCACACCACCACCACACCACCACCACAAACCACCACACCACAACACCAACAACCACACAACAACAACAACCACAACAACCACAACAACCACAACAACCACAACACCACAACCACCACAACAACACACAACCACAACAACCACAACAACCACAACAACCACAACCACAACAACCACAACAACCACAACAAACACAACAAACACAACAACCACAACAACCACAACAACCACAACAACCACAACAACCACGACAACCACGACAACGGCAACGAAATGTTTTTCCGGCCTGAAAGGTTTCTATGTACATAATTTTTATTTGTTTATATAATGACAGATACCCTTGCCATATGCCAAGCTGGCAGGGGCCATATGCAAAGCGTCTGAGGTGCAAGCGAACTTCTGGAGAAACTCAGCTGACTTGGATCCCCAAGCGCTTGACATCATGGGGTGTGCGCATGATCAGAACTGTGTATTGTTCCAGTGGAGCTGCGACATAAAAACCAGGAGGAGTCACTAGTTCACTCCTGTCCATTTTGACCCCAAAGATTCGGTGTTTGCATGTGTTTGCAATTTTGCCAAATTTGGCGCCAGCACCATCAGTCAGTTTCAACTTAGGATTGCTTCACCACCAGGGCAAGGGCACTTGCTGAAGCCGGAGGACAGACACAGAGATGGGTCAATAGTGTACCGAATTTTCGACCCATACCCGCATGATCCCACAGGTAAAGCACTACTAAAACAAAAGTAAGATCAGATGCTGCGTCCAATGGGATGTTTGGGCCCACCCTTACCTCTGGCACCCGTCCTTGAGGAGTTTCAGCAATGCTTCCGCATGCTGCTGAAGACTTCTTCTCCATCGCCAGAGATCTCGGTGCCTTGCCGTGGAAACAGAGCGAAAGAAGCTGCTTGAACCCAGAAGCCAGAAGCAAATGGATTTCATGTTTGGGTGTGCTTGAACATTTGTATCGTTTTTCTGTCATATTGGTCATGGACTTTGCCAGTGGCGATTTGCTATTTGAGGTGTATCAGCTCGACAAAGTGTTGTCAAAGGCATCGGTTGGGAGGGCCTGTTTTGGCAGACAGCACCCAGTACAGTAAACACTCATAATTAGCTACGATTTAGAAGTGAGATAGTTTAGATGGTTCACTCAGTTTTATGAGTTACCTATCAAAATGTGTGATTTTTCCATAGCAAACTATTAAAATTACAAGAGACTAGTCTTGGTCACCCATGATATACATATTAATTAAATACATATTAAAACCCATGTAAATCATCAAATCAGCAAGATATCAACTCTGGTTAAGCCATGTGAATAGCTCGTCAGGCCAAGGCGATCTATGACCAGACCTCAGTGGCTGGCTGCTTTATGTTGAAGCCCGATTCGGTGCCTCAACACAGATTCAATGGGGAATAGATGGAGGTGTCCTAAGTGGGCTACCCCCAAATCACCCACGACATAAGACCATTTTGGAATTGAAAGCCATGGTGACTTGGGAGGGACGCTTTTAGCCACGAACAAGCAATCCTGTAGCCATAACTGCTCAAACTCTAATATCCACCCAATTTGGCCTAACATGATATATATATATATAATGGGGGCACAATGGGGATATGATATGATATGATATGATATGATAATAGCTAAACTAATTTTGATCTGAGTTCATTGATGTTCATTGGGTCAAGATGTTGCCTTGCATTCTGTGCACATGTTTCCATTTTGGTGGATCTTGGACAAATGCCCAGCCATCTAAGTGCGGGCCAGCTGGATGTTGGTCTTTGCATAAGGAGCTGTCATTCTCTGAGCGTGCCACGCGGGCGTTCTTGGAAGCTTTGGATCGGAAGTTGATGGAAAGGTTTACCAGGCGCCTAGATTATGGAGATAGTTGGTTCTGTCAAATTCTTTGCAGACTCTATCAACCCCTTGTGTTTTGAGAGCAAACAGCAAGAGCACGCACTAGGATCTTACAGACATGGATGTATTGTGCCCACTTGATTGCTCAATCGATGACACTGCCAGGGGCAATGGCAGCAAACTGGACAGCCTGTTTGAAGGTGAGGAGACGGTCACTCCATCCATGTTGATGCGGATGCTTAGATGAATAGAACATTGATTGGTGACTCAGTAGCTTTTATTGTATAAAGACATGGGAAAACTAGGACACACCAGTATGTTGAGACAATCCACCTTTGGAATCGAGGACATGTGAGGCCTCATGTGTTCACGGTCTCAGCATATCGTTAGACGCAAGATTTCATGTCATGTTTGGAGAGCAGGTGTTGAATCAACCTTTCGCAGTGGTATGGGCTCAGGAAAGCTGTCTCCTTTGCTCTCAGCCCAGATACCATCCCTGCCGAGAAGGCCCCAGCGAGATTTGGCTAAGTGTGGCAGAATTGGTCAGCATGTTGGGATTTTGTTGGGTAAATAATTACAATGATGTATGGACTATGTCTTGCCATGTTTGTCTTGCATGGACAGTGGCAATATGGCAATATGGCAAAGTCATGGGGGTACCCCGAAATCATCGAAAATTGGACCATGACTTTGTCTATTAGTATTGAAACCCATGGTGACTTGGGGATCCCCCATTTTGGAAAGCCTCAAGTCCTCAAGATGGCAATATCCAACGGCTGGTGGCCAGGACCTCGCTGTAAGCCTGGCTCAGATAGGTGGAAACAGAGAGACAGGCGGCATGACAAGGCAGGGCACCATGGCCCTGGGCGATCTCCGGGATCACCGGATCACCGCAGATATCTACAGATCATAAAAGATCCAACATGATCCAACCATTGGATGTCTGAAATATTCTGAAATCATAAAATCTTGGATATCATAGGATATCATCATGGATATCATAAGGTTATATTTTTGGATATCATATGATATCATATAAGGTTCTCAGTTATCAGGTTGCGACATGTTGCGACCAGTGACTCCGCAGCTGCCACACTGCCAGGCCTGTCTTTTTCCGTGCATTGTACTTGGCGCGACACCACCGACACATGCAACAGACGAAGACCATCAAGGCTGGCAAGTTCAACAAGTTCAACAAAAACGGACGGGAACGACCTGAACGACTCCAATTATGTCTTGTTGTTTTTTTGGTGTCGACTACCAGAATGACTTGGAGAGTTTGAGAGCGTCAGATGTCTCCACCATCCGACACTATCCCCAAAGTGGACAGATTCCTTGCTTTCAGTCAGGCACGCTCCGCACTTCTTGCGCAGCAGACTCGCAGGTCCGCAGTGACAATCGACAATCATCAGTTTCTTAAGAGGCTGAATATTTCACAATATTTCCTCCTAAGAAGATCCAAAGTCTTGAGATGTCTTGAATTCAAGACGCCTAGAATTGGTACCCTTCTCCACCGTTTTGAGCTTGAACGGATTGAACATCTTCTGATTCAGCTCGCATGCTGCAACAGGAGCACTTGGTGGCCGGAAGGTAGCCATCCAGCGCGGCAAAGCTCCAAGCAACGAGCCAAAGGCGGCCTCTGAAGTTTCCAGAGCTGTGGTGAACACTGTGGCAACAAACAACTTTGGGATGTGTTGTTAGTTAGGTTCTACTGGTTGGTGTGCGCTGGTTTGTTCGATGTATCCTGAATTGATAGGAGTCTTTGTATCATTGTGCGTGTTCGTGAGTATAGTTTGGCTCATAGCTTGCATTTATATACCTAGCCTAGGTTTGTGTGCATCCCAAAACCGTCCTTCAGCTTTGCTTGATTGGGTCCCAGCATATAAAGATTTTGCAAACTTCATCTTCTGGGTTTAGATGGGTTTAGACTCCACTACTCAGAAGTGGAATAGGACATTATTGAGTGCATATCAATATGGTGATTACAAACCGATGTGAGTGTCATAGATGGGCATGTCAGGTGCCGTGCAGCTGCCAAAGAGAAAAGGCCCCGTGCTGAGATAAACAATGTTTGTTCTTTGTTTTTTTTTGTGAATACAGATAATACCAGAGATGATGAACCTAACTAAAGCTTTGCAGGTTTGCAGGTTTCACTGCGACTACTTCTCCAAATGTCCAGATGTGACAAATTATGCCCAAGCTCTCTCAGTGTTTTGGCTGGCTCCGAATTTACCAGACCCCAAGTTATCCAACTTAACCAACTTATGGTTCATGTTCATTCAAGTCCATTCATTATCATTTATAGGTACATGTTCCAGGTTTTCATTATTTTCATTGGATAAACCATGGTAAACCATTGGTAAACCTTGAACCACTGGTAATGATAGATTTACAGGTAACCCCACCCCTCCAAGAAACCATGGCGATACCGCAGATCCGCGCAGGCTTCCGTGTGGCGGCCTTCGTGGAGTGTCTGGTGAAGTTGGCCTTGCATCGCTTGGGCTCCAAAGGCGGTGACGACTGGGTGACTGCGGATCCCGGGATCTCCCTGATAATTCCAAATCATGACCATCCATATCCAGCCATAAACGTGTGGTAATATTGAGATGGTTAATTGCACCTTTATGATTATATGTGACCTTAGAAGGTAATATTGAGATGGTTGATGGTCTCTTCATAGGTCAATGTGGAAGGACAGTCGTGTCCTTTGCTCAATGAAAGTGTGCTGAGCTGGTGGTGTTAGATAATTACAGCCTTGCAATCGTGTTTGTGCTGCGCGTGCTTGAGTATAACGCCTGGTACTTTGCACGGAAGCAGGTGCATTGGAAGTGACGAAGCCGTGTTGCAAGTTGCTGCAACTACTAGTATGGAGACAAGTTGCCTTGACTATGTTGGAATATGTCTTGTGACTTGTGGGTTTTTAGCCAGTTTTCCCACAGAGACCAGCCGCGCACTAGCATCACTTCAAAAAATCCACATATTCCATGCGGGCTGTGGGAGGTCAGTTAGAGCTTCAACGTGGGGCGCCAACCTGGTGGAAATGCACCTGGCTGCTGAATCTTTTGGGGCTCCGCTTCACCGAAACTGTGAGAGATAAAGAACATGAAGACAACCTGAAAAGGCTCATTGGGCAGGCGCTCGTTTTGGGTGGAGAATGTGGTTTTCGCTGTTGCGAATTTGAGGTTTGGATGAAATGGCTTGTGTTTGCTTGGTGTTTTGCATTTGTTTTTGTGAAATTGGAGTTTGCATTTTCAAGAGCCTTGTTTGCAAACAGGGGTTTGACCTGACATTGGCATTTCACCAATTGGTCGTGTCTAGATTGAAGTCGTTGAAAGAACAGCATTGATCCAGAGCAGACGGACGCTGGAGATCGCATGGGCTCAACGACCCCGTCAGTCCCATCATTATCCATCTTTGATGATCTGTGGAATCTGTGAATGTCCAAGTTTGATCAAGTTTGAATGTTGGTCCAATGTTGGTATTGTTGGCGCTCCTCATTTGTCGCCTCACACAGGACAGGCCTGCAGTGAAGACGAAGGACCTATCGTAGTGGGATGTTGCTAGACCTTTCCTTCAAAACTTGTGGTCTTCACGGATTCATAAGAACAAGAGTTGAAAGCTTCAAGGTTGGCGCGATGTTTTCTTAAATCTATTGTTCACTTGCTCGTGGTCCCACAATCACAGTTCTGAATTCTGGTTGTATCTTGCGTCTGAAATTTTCTGAATGTGTTTTCATTGTTCTCAGATGCCATGAGGACTTAGATTTCTGGTGGTATCGAATGCACCAGACGGACCGTCCGCGCTACGTGCCGTACAGCTGGCTTGGCCTTGCCTGATTGATCTGCTCACTTCTTTCTTCGACATATTCTTCACATTTCTTCACCTATTTAGCGTAATCAATTTTGAATCATTTTGAGGTGGGTTACGAGTGGAGGCACCACACAAATTGCCACGGACTCAACACATCTCAACACCAGATCTTGTCGTCATCTCCTCATCGTTCATGGCAGGCCTTTGGAGCGATTGGTGAGACACAACCCGGACCTTTTCCAGCCCTGGAAAGCAGAGGCGACACAGTAAATTGACCATATTGGGTGATAGTTATCAATCCATTCATAGGGATTTCTAAGGAACTATTTATACACCCATCAGAAAGGGGTTCCCATTGTGGGATGGATGAGCATACCCATGTTTACGGTGTTTTAACATGTTTTAACGTGTTTTAACCATACTCGAAGGTCCATCAAGAACTTGCAAGACATTCCTTCGAATATGTGTGTGGAATTGCTCTGCAAAATCTGTCATAGTTCTGCACAATATCATCGAATCTTGTTGAAAAAAAGTAGGAAAGGTTTGCAGGAGATGTGAAGCCTGCCACGCACATAATATATACGTATATAATATATAATATGCTATGCATGCACTAAAGAGATACGCATTGCAGAGATACGCATTGCTGTGCAACTGTCAGCGGAGCAAGCATGTGTATCAGCAGGAAACCTCTACAGTGAGAACATACCATCACAGCAGCGCTTCAACATAGTCTGAGATAAGTTTAGTGGGACATGCATTAGGTTGACCGCAACTTCAAGCGTGGCGAGGCGCCAATTCTTGTGCCGGAAGATCGCAAAGGAGTCTGTCCAGAATGCCAGGTGCGGATCTAACATGGTCGAGTTGATGCGGCACTGCGCCACCACAGAGAGAGAAGCATGGACTGTTTTGGGATCAGAGCTCCCTCTGCATCTGAAGCCAAGGGCCTAGCCTTGGACAGGAGCAGAGAAGTCCCAGTGGATGGGGTACTCCAGGATGCCTCTCTTGCGTCTTGGCACTTGTGGTTGTCATGCTTTCTGGGTACACAGGGCCTTCAAATGTTGATGAAAAGCACCCTTAAGCGCCTTGAAAAGATAGGCACATTTGATCACCTTTGAGTTTGTCACATGCTGTGATCAGGCAGAGATATGTCAGATATCTTGTCTGTTGATCTTCTTGGCACGATGGACCAAGGGATGTCTTGATAGTCCTGGCGCCCAGGCTCTGAGATTGAATCCTTCTGCTTGCCCTTCGAGGGTCACATGTTCTCAAATTTGGTGAAGGCTTCCTCGGTGGGTGCGCTAGGCTCTCAGGATGTCTCAGGATGTCTCAGGATGTGTCAGGATGTGTCAGGATGTGTCAGGATGTGTCAGGATGTGTCAGGATGTGTCAGGATGTGTCAGGATGTGTCACTGAGGAAATATGGACCTCTCTTGCTGTCACTGCAGTGCAACCCAGTCACCACTTTTTCGATGACTAAGGAATTCCGAGGTTTCCGACATGTCATATTTGAGCCCACACAGTGAGTCGGGTGCTGAAGGGTCCGGGGGAAAACTCGAGCAGCACTGCAAATGTAGCGCTTTTCTGCAGAGTTTTAGAATGTTTTAGATAGTTTTAGGCGGATTGCGTCAATGTTGGAGGTCATAATTTTCAGATGCTCTAGCGATTGAAATTCATGCAAGACGGACGGAAAAGCAAAATTGATCAAACTTGCGTTGGAAAAGTTCGACCACTTGAGCAAAGAGAACACATTTTGGACGTGGTGGATTGCAGCTGCACAAGGATTTCGAGAAGACTTGAATCTGTCATAGCCCCCAACTCATGCAATGCAAACTCCGATGATGTTTTTGCCTTATGATTAATTAGGATTAATTAGGAAGATGCTCTCAAACATGTGATCAGCTGCGCTGAAGTTTCACCAGATTTGCTTATGGGTGAGGTTCGTCGACGAAAGCTGGGGGCCCATGGATCCAGCTGTTGCAAGTGCTTGGTAAAGTTGAATCGCTTTCCGGATTGGATACTCAACCCATCTCAACCCATTGGTTTCGAGCGCCAAGAATGTTCACCCCAAGGCGGAAGCTTCCAACTTCCCTTTGATGCGGCGGAGCTTTCGCAGTCCTTGATCATCACATGATTGGAGCAAACACAAGTCTGCATTTTTGAGGTGCTGGTGGCATGCCCTAAATGTGGATCAAAAGAGCAAGAAAGCTCCCAATCTTCATGCTAATCTTCAGATTCAATTGGGATGTTTTGACGCCTGCAGTGTGACAAATGGCTAGTTACAGTTCGCTTGGGTAGGAAGGTTGTACAATGCTGTACACTTCCAATCCAGCAGACGCATTTCAGTTTCAGTCTAGCCGCAAGATACTGAAGAAATATAGGTCGCACATTCGCAGGCTTGGTGTTGTGTTCGGGCTGCCAAAGAATATCATGAATCACGTGAAGCATAGCCCATGCATCGCCATAGCAAACGATTTTTGCCTTCAGTGTATGCTGAAGTGCTGCAGCACCACATCGTGGTGATGCAATTGTAGCTTAGGGCATCGGCTTGACTGGGCCGTCGTTTGGAAGATGAACCATCTTACCGACAAGCAAGAAAAGGATAGAAAATAATATAAAGGAAACAAGAATTATGTCTAGATCCCGCACTTGATCCCTGCATCCTTCCGAAAGTCCGATGCACCGTGCGGGTACGCCGCTTGAAGAGTTTTTCTCAAGCACCCTTCGGTGGGTATGGCCAAAGACTGCTGCCGCCAGAAGGGGTCCCGCACGCCCTGCGCTGTTTTTTCTTCGGTTCCGAAAGACTTCAGAAAAGAAACGATCAAAGCATCGA